AAAGCTCAGAGAACACAACAATTAAAAGAAGTTATAAATGACAGGAGGCACTTTTGATAATATTTACAATGAAAAACACTTTCAATCTGGATAGTTAGTTGAAATTCAGAAAGGATGAATTAAAATAGAACCTAACAATAGTTCTATAATTAGAAACAACAAAGCAGTGCAACTAAACCAGCCATTTTTATTGAATTCCCAAATACAAACAGTTAGTTAAAAAACCCACATCTCAACTGCCTAACATTAAACACAATGTGCATTATGCATAAAATGTGTATACACAATATTAACATATCTCTAGTCTGAGAAAATTAATGTCAGTGTAACATGTAAATGCCAAGGGGGGGGAACTCAAACCAAACTACGCCCTGGGGTAGTTCAGATGGTCACTCTGATTTCAACTGAGTAATTCCAGAATTTACCAAAACCTGAAGTGTTTGAAAGGCTTGTGAGGGCTTTTTTTTAATCCATAATTTCAACAGAAGTAAAACTCATTTACACAACAAGGAATATTCAAGAATAAGTTAAGCTGGATGGACAAACAACACGCATCATTTCAAACAGTTATGGGTTCCTGATAACTCCTGGAGGCTGGGAAAAGATTCAGAGCACTGAAAAAGGACAAACATACACCCCTTGTCTGTTCTTTGGGGGAGACAGAACAAGAAGCTGCAGAGATGTTTAACATGATGTTAAAGACATTTATTTCATGTGCATATCAAGGACAGCGCTCTCCAGAGAAGGGACAGTTATTTCTGAAGCAAACTCTTCCTATCAATGGCATCAATGTTAAAAAAGGAGATGCAAGATCAAGGGTACTACTGATAAACTCAAGAAACAGAAATCCACAGAGGGACAATGGGTAGTGCTGCACTTGAGAACACAAAAATCCATTTTCAATGCACAGATACCATCATAAACATGAGAAAAGGAATGTGCAGTTAGAAAATAACACCAAAAAAGGTAATCAAAGACAAGGAAGTGTCCTTCTAGTGTGGCTCACGTGTTTTGTACAGTGTTCCAGCTCTGGCCAGGCCACTGAGACACAGACAAGCTAAAAGGATTTCAATTACTTAGCTCCATGTGTGATTTGGAAAACAGGCCGTAAGAAAAAGCTGAAGGAACTTTTTCAGACAAGACACAGTAAAGAAATAATATAGAGTCTTCCAGTAGATAAATTACCTCAAAATTACAGCAATTTTTTTCCTTCCCAGTCTAACCCCTCCTTTTAGAAGGCTTGATCAATTCAACAGCAGCGATCTGGCCCTGATTCTGATCCCAGCTGCTGACTTGCCCTTACTGGAGCTACAATTTCAGTTGTACTTCCAAGATACTGTGGATCCAACTGATCTCACTTCTGGTATCAAGGAGAATTCCTCTCCCATTACCTGATAAAATACCACAGTAGGACACAAGGTTTCCAAGGTAAATTTTTCTCTTGTTGAAGCACCCTGGAGTTCATATAAACTGATAGATCAGCTTGAATGAGTTACCTACGAGATCCAACACCCCCAGAACAAGAGCTCATGAACAGATCAGCCTCCCCAGCACCAACAGGAACAAACAGTTAGAGATAAAGGGGAGAAAAACCAGGTGTGGGGAGGGAGGAATCTAATTAAGCCTTTTCATACAAGGTCCATTTACTGGCTTAACCCAGTGACCTTGGAATAATGAGGACACAGCAGAACTGAGAGGTATGTTGAATCTTAGAGACAACAGGGAATCTAATACAACCTAGTACTTCAGATATTGGAAATATTTTCCTTTAATGAGCTTTAACATAAAAAACCTAAGACTGTGCAACTTCACTCTTAAATTATTACTGCATAATAATTGCATAATTGCACTATTTGGCCTATCTTGCCTCATCATTCTCCTGGTTTAACTCCTTTTTTCAACATGAAACTATGAGAAATGGTTCTATAAGGGGTCTCTGAACATTGCCATCTTTTTACATGCTGAGTTCAACAGCTGTTAACAACATCATAAGGAAAGAAGAAGAATGGGGGGGGAAAAAAAAGAATATACCCTTGCTGTCGTTTCGTCCTGAAGCTGAACTGTCTTTACACATTCATGACCTGTACTGTCCTTTCTGTGGAACATCCTTTGATCCTGCTGCAGAGGGGAACAAAAAAGTGCTTCAGATGACTCACAAAACAAGAATGCAGAATCTGATACTTAAATGGCTTGAATGTCAACTTCAGGTTAGATTTAAACGTGGTCTCTGTCCAACCCAATTTGTACTTTCAAGTAATTTTACATAAATCCTGTCATATAGTCCCTTAGAAGTTAGAACCATAAATAAGTTAAGAGCATGTTTGGATGTCTAACTAGTGTTAAATAGAAGGAAGTTTAAGTGCTTTTCTTACCAAAACAGTTAATTTTAAAATATTTCCTGCATAGGAAGGGCAGCGTGTGAATTCTTCAAATAAGTGATCCCACTCTATTGTTAAATGGCCCAGGATTTCCACTTCTTTCACATAAATCACTCTCCTGTTCAGAAAAACAAAAAAGTTAATACTCAATTTGTCCCTGGGACTAGAACTTCGCTGGAAAAGCAAAATAAAACATTTGTTTAAGAAGGCATTGTCTATGACAATTAAAAGTGGACCTCACAGTGGACCTGTATTTCCTTAATACATTCTCAGACAATCACTTTGTCTTTAGAACTTGATGATTCTTGTGGGGCCCTTCCAGCTCAGCATATTCTGTGATTCTGTGATATATCTGGAGGTGCAAATAACTAAATCACCCAACTCTCCTTCACTGACACTGCTGCAGCAGGAATTTTGAGGTGTCCTTGTAAAACACACATGGTCTTACTAGGGATGAGCCTATCTCATACATCCAGGGAAGGTGGAAATTGGTGACATATGAGATGTCGAGGTCAGAATCCTTTTCCATCATCCAAATGTATTTAGGAAGTTTTGAGTCCCCAAACTGTGCAGCCAAGACTGGCGACAGCCTGAATTTTAAAAATTGTCTGATGAGTGAAATATTGATTTTCATGCTGCTACAAAAGCTTAAAAGTTCATTTAGAATATCCTGTAATTAACAAGATTGTAAATATGTGCATTATCAAACTGTTGGCTTGACTGTTAACACTTACCACAAGGTAATTTGAAAAATTAAAAGCAAAGAGAAAAAAAAGAACATTTCCGTCCCAGTACGATGAAAGGATCACTGATCTCAGAGTAAACTGTTTTCCCAAATTAGTATCCAGCATTGACATCATAATTAAATTACATTTTCCATAAAGGAAACAGAATAAAATATTTTTAAAATCAAGAAAGAAGTAGATAAGGAAGGTACATATGCAGAGAACAGCAATCAATTTAGACTCAGCCAGATGTCTAATCCCCAAGCTGAACTCATGCCAAGCCCTTAGAAAGCCTTCAAAACTTAATACCTGTTGGTAACAATCAGATTTGCTCTTCTGCCCCTTGGAATTGCACAGTGGTATCGATACATCTCTTTTTCCAGCTTTTTGATGTGCAATTTCTGAAACAGAAACAATTTTGGGGTTGTACAAAGAAAATTCAAAGTGGTGCCTTCAATTCCAAAGCCTTTCAAAAAGCTACCTCACTGCAGCAGTAGTTTAAAGGCAGGCTCAGGGTGAGTCACTGAGAGGTCTGATCTGTTCCCCTCCCAGGTGGAACACTGACACTGCAGGGTCAGACTATTTCTTCAGCTTTAATTTCCTTTCTGTGCTAATAATTGTTTAGCAATGTTCATTCTGCTGCACCCCACACTGCAGACTTGATTCCAGAGGGAAAATCCTGCAACAGTACCTTTAAAAGGAGGCAGCACATGACCCAGATTCTTAGAAAGAAACTATCAAGATGCAAACTCTCCATGCACCTCAAGCTCAGGTTCTGAAGCACTGGACAGATGTGCCTATTCCACATCCAAAGTGTGAGGGTAGACAGAAATGCAGATTAAATTACTCATCATGTTTTGCTTAGGCAACTACAACTCAAGTGACAAACTGACTATAGAAAAAGGTTTGAAATAAAGTACTGAAGTACCCCTAGGATTTTTTTTGGCAGTTACTAAACTTTTTTTTTGTATTTCATCTTCTGTTCATGCAGTTTAACTGAAGTTTCTGAGCACATGTTTACATTCCATCAACACAGACCAGCACTGAACAGTCTCACAGTCATCCCTCCATCAGACTCACAATAATACTGGATTAAAGGCAACAAGATTCACACAGAGACACATGAATGTATTTGTGGGAAAGGAATATACATCAAAACATCACGTAGAGAAAGACAAAAGTCTGAAATTAATAATGATAAAACCCAGCCTCAAAGTGAGTATGAGAAGAAATCTGTGCCAACTACTGGTTCTCCTCAAGTGCAAAAAATCCTGACAAAACACACATTCCACTTGTAAATAATGTTTAATTAGTAAAAATTAGCAAGGTAGTTACATAGGTATAATACAATGCATGTTAGCTTTGTACCCTCCAAGTCAATACAACCACCTGTTTTATCATACAATATATTTTCATGAGAAATGTGAAGTTTCTTTGTAGGAAGATGAGGGCACACAAGGAAGAAAGCCTGGATGCAGAATGCTTGCACTTCAGATCAACATCTAGCAAGTGCCTGCAACTGGATGCCCCAAAATGGGTTTGATATTCTTCACAGCAAGGTAAGATGACTTTCAGTTCATTTTACAGCTGTTACTGTGGAATTCAGCCTCTGTATAACAGTAACATCCTCAAGTTGTTTCTGACAAACTAGGAAGAACAAACTGAAGAGGAAGGACTAAAAATTGAGTACGTTTTTAGCTATTTCTTGTAAACATAAATTTCCTTCTGTATTTCCACAGTTGGACCCATAAAACTGATAAGATGACAACAGGAGTTCCACTTGACTCCACATTTATCTAAGGTCAACCATACAGGCTAAGAACTCTACGTAGTTTAAGTAACCAAAATTGAAAGATCAGCTTACATAAGATTCAATTAAAAGAGGGTTCAACATTTCTTTATATCTGCATTTTATTTTCATATATTTACAAGTTCAACAAATGTCTTAAAGTATCATCATGTATCACAAACGATCCAAAAATCCTTTAAGACCAAAAGTGAATGAATATTCAAGACTGAGATCAACAGCACAGCTTTTTGCTGGACTAGCTCTCTAGTGATATGAAATTTTGAAATACATTTTAATACAGCATTTTTCAGCAATCAAAACCATAGGGTTGACACCTTCTATAAAAAAATATCCCTTTCTGACCATCTTAAAAATTTCTGAAACTGTACAATGTACATGAAAGGGACAAAAATATGCCAGCAAGACTCCTTATCTCAAAGTGGCTTCAAAACATTAGAACAAAGATGGCAGGACATTACTAAAACGAAAATATGAACTCCCATTTTACACCTGAACCACAGTTGTTTCAAAAACAAGCGAAAAATTTAAGAAATAGAAAACCCACCAGCATATGAAGACTGGAACTCAAAGGCTGCAATCTATATTCTAAACCCTTTTGTTGAACATGAAGAAATTAGACATGCCACATATTTAAACAGATTTATTCATAAGCATGTTTCTCTATTCAGGCTCAAAGCTTTGGAGAGAAAGCCTGTTTCTCATCACTTCAGAACCAATCCCGGTAGTATTTTTAGATTTTCCATGCAATATGTTACTAAAGGAAGAGTTCCCTCTGGGGGCTGTGCCTGCAAGATGCAGTATTTCCCAGAGCTATTCCCAATCCACCTGATAGATGCCAGCACAGTGGTGGGGCCATTATGGAAAAAGGGGGCTGCACTTGATGGAAATCACTCCAGGATCTGCACACTCTTAAAATTCAGACATCTTTCTCAAAAGCTGTTCTTTTTATGAGCACACCAGAGCACTTTGAAGAAGTTAAGTCATTCTTATTTTCCATGGCAGTGAAAGAACCAGTGCAGATTTCCCCAGCAGAACAGGGAGGCAACCAGAAATAGAATCTGCAGCTCCCTGCATAGGCTGTGCTCGCTCTCTGCCACACAACAGCCTCACCACCCTGCCTCAATTATTCATGAGGTGTTCTACATTCTTTATAAAGCTTTAACTGGGAAATGAAACTAAGTCCTGCCACAGGCAGTGAATAATGGATGAGTGCACCGTGTCAGCCCTGCAGAGCTGGGGAGCGCAGCCTCCTCCCGCAGCACGGCAAAGCCCACCAGGACAAAGGCCCTGTCACCCCTTCCAGCACATCCCCTCAGCTGCAAACACTCCTCACACAGGGATTAAAGCTCAGGAGAACTGGAGAACAGTTCTAGAGCTGCCCTGTTTGTCCTGTGAGTTCTGCAGCTCTGCTGTGCATCCATGTTTAACCAAACACAGCGTCCTGCCCGGTCCCTCTGCACGAGCCCGCAGGGTGTCCAGTGTGACCTGCCAGGTCCTGCATGGGCTGAGCACATCCCTCCACAGCCCACATCCATCAGATCAGCACTCCCGGGAAAAGGAGCTGTGGAAACAACTTTACCAATCTACTCCATCTGGATCCTGTCCTCATTCTGCACCTTAAAACCCACTTACCAGTGGAAAAAAGTAACTTGTCTTTTAAGAAGCTCCTCCCAAGACGAGCTCTAATGCCTACCAGTGTCTGTATTTCACACACAACTATTTAAATTACACATTTTTTTCATCCAAGCACTGGATTGAGGCATCCACTGCTTCAGGTAACCTTGCAAAGTTTCAGCCTTGGAAGCACATGTTTATTTTAAAGGGACATATGCGTTAGATGTAGTTAAAATAGATGAGAGGGTGGGGATTCTGGTTAAACTACTTGTTACATGGGATCAAAACTGCATCCAAAAATAAACAGCACTTGTACCTATTGTGATTAAACTCGTAAATGCACATAAAACTGACTCTCTGACCCATTTTTCTGTTAAATACCCTATTTCCTATGAAGACACTGTCCCCTCTTGCTTCTAATTTACATTAGAAAAAAAAACCTTCCCAACACTCACCTCTAGTATAATAACCAATTAAAATAATTTAATAATTTAAATAATTAAAATAATTGATTAAAAAAACTCCCTGTATTCAACTAAGTGACTTCCTGAAAGAAACAAACTATATCTAGTGAACTATACAGAGTTAGTTTCCTGGTTAGTATACAATTCCAATCTGCACCATTTAGATCTAAGAAAAATATAAATACCAGATGTGCAAGAACTGCATAATATCCAGTTTTCAGTGTTCATTGTGCCACCTTTTCCTTTTTTTCTAGATGTAAAAAATATAGTGAAAAAAATAAAAAAAACTCAAGAAGACAAAATGTGACCTGCTCAGTATATTACAACTTAATCACACTTAATCAGTTTAAAAAGAAAAAAAAAAAATCACTAAATGCTTTTTTAAACAATTTTGAATTGACCACTAAATACTAAAAAAGGCATTGGCGGCAGAGATGTTTCTGTTCAACATTTTTTCCCATCTGACAGGCAAAAAATTTGCTCTGACAACTTGTTAAGCTTGGCTTGCTCATTTCTAAGATGCTGTATTAGTAACAAAATTTATGGCACCACTTAATTTAGAAATAGATATACAGATATATATTTATTTTTTAAAATATATCTATGCGTTTGTGTGCGTTAAAGTTCATGTTAACAGCTGAAATTATGAAATTATTGAATAATAGTGAATAGCAAATCCCCAAAAGATTCCATGAATGAAATCCAGAGTCCACTAAGCTGCTGCATGTTTTAATTGAGAAATGTTCATAAAGAAGTAGCAATAATAATTTGAAGGCCTAGTGGGTGATAGGATGTAAAGCTGACAGGCCCACAGCATAGCACAGAAACCACAGGTACAAGTTTTCTCAGCATTTAAATGCAAACAGTATTTCTAGATCATGGAATCAGAAGCACTTTCACAGAAGTCAATTCCATTCGACGTCACTATTTTACATTTTGCACAAAATGTTGCTTTCTGCCTCATTCCACAGCCCTGGCTCTACCAGAATGCTAATAAATAAATAAATGAACTCAGGATCTAACCTACCATAGTTTTTTTCCCAAGTGCCTTCTGTTGTTGCCATTCATAAGGAGCTAAGCATCCTTAGAAAAACAAATATACGGGAAACAAACTCTCCCCGTTTCTCCCATCTTCTTCACTCATCTAATCTTACTAAAGATGGTCATTCAAGTTTGTTTTCTTAGCCTGGACAATATGAAACACTGTTTTATTCAACTGCTACACAGAAAAGATATGGATGAAGGGGAGAGGACATGTTAAATGCAATCATGCCCTTAATCTAAATATTTAAGGCAGATAAAAGACCATGACAGAAATAGAGAAGAAACATGTAAAATGTTTACTCCATTAGTCCAGTTCTTGCTGCGTGTGCCAGGAGAGAAGGAGAAAGAAAAGAAACATTAGAAATACAGCAGGAAATAAAGATTAAAAGACCACCTAGAAGCAAGAAGCAAATATGCAAGTTTTGGTCTTCATATGTTAATGTGGACAGTTATTTTACTCTTTTAGCAACAAAATAAGCATTTTAAGGTAAGTTTTAAGAGCATGAAGCCTGAAATACAAATTAACCAGATTCTGACTATCCAGGACTGGAAAACTAATGTTATTCCTGCTCCATATGTCAGCCCCATCCATCTGAGGGAGCAGGCTAAGAGTCCACACAATGCCTGTAGCTATGACAGATTGCTATTATGAACAGCATAAGGAAAAACCAAAAAAAGTGGTATTTTGAGAATTCATGCAGTTTTTTCAACTGCTGATACGACCAAACCATTCAAGCTCTATTAATCTTTTTTAAAAGTTGCTTAGTTTGTAAACCAACCTCAGCTCTGTTATTATGCCAAAAATTAGAACTGAGTATCAGAACGGTTTTGTTTCCAGATATTCAAATCTTAATCCTAATAATTCTTCATCCCACTACCCCCTTCCAGAGCATGAGATAAGTGATTGCAGACCATAAAACAGCAATGCTGCAGTTTCCTTTCTGCATTCAGCTTACTCCAAGCACTGGGCTTTCTCTGCTGTCCAGGTTTGCCTTATGGAACAGGTCGGGGCAAATTTTTCCTACAGTTAATGACTGCCACACATCCCTGGCAGCTTGTTTACAACTTCTCTTTATGGAACCTTGAGGGTTAGAGAGTTTTAGCTGTATTTACAAAGCAAGCCATACCTCAAATAAATCATAGCCCTCAGCTTCCACCCTGTTGTAGGGCCGGATGATGCCGTCCTCCCGGATGAGCCGTGGGGGACGGAGGTTGGACACTTCTTCAGTGGGTTCTGCCACCCTGCCATGGACAGTGCAACAGTATTCTGGTCAACTGAACACAGTTCTGAGTTTCCCCAATGTATCACTTGCCACATATCCCACTGACACTTCCTGGGCACCCTCCAGATGCAAAGACACACAGCTAATAATAAATCAAAAGTAGCATCAGCCAATTAAAGAGCTACAGAACAATTTGGAGAAGTTTACTCCCAACTGCAGATAATTTACTGAGGGTTCTCAAGTATATTAAACACACTACCTAAAGGCGCCCTCAAAACACAAGAAGTTCCTGCTGACCAAATTTCTAACTGGGAATTTTTACTCTGAAAATTTCAATGGTCTAATATTTTACAGTAAGTTTAAATGACATTTAGGTGTTTGCACTCAATAATACACAAAAGTAAAATTTACACAACATCTTTAAATTACTTTCCCATCAGGGGAGGGAGTAAAAGGAGAAAAGTGATTAGTTATTGTCTACCTGAACTACAACACTGAAGCAGCAATTTCCAGATCATTATAAAAGACATTCATTATGGGCTACAAGACATTTCTCAACCTCACAAATCTTCCTGCATATTGTACTTAACACAAGTAATTGTCTGGCACTACTGGACCAGTTTACCCCCCGGTACCCAACATAAGGGGAGTTTAACCCTGCCCCTTGCCCCTGTACCTCTGGATGCCCTGGAAGGTGCTGCTGGCCATGTCCACGATGCCTCCAGTCGGCCGGGCCACCACTCCCACCAGCCCCTTCCCAATCCCTTTGAAGAATCCAGCTGCTCCTTCTTTTTTAGCCCCTTTAAAAGAAAGGTAATAAAAAACCAAAATAGTTTTAGTGACCTTGAAGACATGAAGCACAGAATTAAGCCATTGCTGCTCCAGGCTGCACTAAGGAGTGGTTTGTATTTAAACAGCCCACAGCCACTGACTCCATACAATCCACCCGGACAAAAAGTTGTCCATGGAAAGTCACACATTGCTCCCTGGTCTGTTCAGACACATCACTGTTCACTAAACACCTCCCCAGGCTCCAAAGGCAGCAGAACTGAGATGTTCACAAGATTCTCCCTCTCACACTTTCAGCCTGGACTGTAGGCCCATAGATCAGTTCTTACAGGCTGACAGTAAAAAATATCCTGAGGATAGTCAGATGCACAAATATAATGGAAGATAACTACTTCTATATGAAAATTACATGTCTCTGGTGATACATAACTATGGAAGAGCCAAAAGAGGGTTTAGAAAACATGTGTGTTCATCCACCAATGAGACAAGGACTACACACCAAAGTATCACCCAAAAGCTGTAAAATACAACACTGACTCCCAACACTGAAATCTCTGTGACTTAGAGATTAGTAAGAGGCATTTTATCTTGGATAATTTTCATTATCTATCATACTGATAAATTAACAGGAATAAATACTGATTTCAGTCATAAAACCAAATTTCCTTTTTAAGATTTTTCCAACCTTTGGAGTCCCAAAAAATTTTAATTTATTTTATTATTTTTAGTATCTTTATTCTGGCTTTAAACAATAAATTGGGTACTACAGCACCCCTAACAAAATACATCATGAGCACAAACCATTCCTTAACTCATACAAAGGTTGAAAAGGTGGTAAGCCAATAATAAAGATATTTGAGGAAATCATCGTATAATTAGAAATATAAATCTTGCTATGCCTTAGCATCACCACACTTAGATTGATATTTCTTAAAATTACAAAATAAATTGTAAAGGACTGCAGTGCAGTGCAGCCCTAGTGCTTACCTTCCACTGGTTTAGTGATTATGCCTGTCACACCTCCAACAACACCCTAAAACAAAGAAGATAATGAAGTTCCCACTTAGGAACTGGAATGCTGTAAGTCCAACTGGCCAACCAGTTGTCTCACATCCTTCACTTTAAAACTTTATAAAGTAAAGTTCAGGATCAGAAATGCTGTCTGGTTGGGGTTTTGGTTTTGTTTCTCTCTTCGACTTTATATTTTTAAGAAAATTATAACTGAGGGAAAGTAGAGAGGGGGAAAATCTGAACCAGTTGAAGAAACATTTATGCTGGCAGGACTAATAAATCTGTTGTATGGTAATCAGCAGTCTTGCAACAATTAAGTAATTATTTCCCTTTCACTACTAAGAGGAAGCTGCCAGAATTCCCAGTCATGAGTAAGTGATACCAATTAGGGCAAGGTAAATTAACAGCAAATAACTCTCCACAAGACTGGAAAGGTCAAGTCGTTGAAAGACACTAAGGCAGATGAATGAAAATGCCCTGAGGTAACTTCCAATATCTTAGAAACAGTATCAGAATCAACTCCACAATGTTTACTATTTAATAACTACTTAGAGATAAGTCCACTGTTTTTATTTGGAATGGAGTGTGATGGAAATTATTAGAAGACTTAATCTGCAGTCATGAAATACAGACCTCTCAGTCATTGTTTATGTGAGGTTTTTCTCACAGAGAGAAATAGAGGTGATCTTTCAGCAACCAAAAAAGGCTCCCAATTTTAGATAACCAAAAAATAGTGGTTGCACAGCTTCTCTTTCAGAAAAAAAATATCTCCAACCTAATGTAGTACTTTTATACGTATTCTACTTGCTTCGTGCTCCCATTCCTTAAAGTCAAGAAAATGTAGCAGTTTTGTACGACCTCAGCATAGAGAAAGCCATTTCCACCACAGTTCACAGCCACCTGACCGGAATGACAGAATTGACTGCAAGGTCAGGTGAGGGCCCAGTTACTTTAATTACCTCACCCACTGGCTGAACATGAGTAACTGTTTATTTATACAACTCACAGGAGCAATCAGTGTCACTCCTACATTTTTCCTTTCCCAGACCCTAACATCAGTTCCCCTGACCAGAAACATGAGCTCAAACACTACCCTGAGGCTGCTCTAAACCACTGCCTGTTTGCCTCTCCTGTTCAGCTCCTGAGCTGACAAAGAAGGCATCAGACCTGCTTGCATGTAGTTTTCCAGCTTGGGTTACAGGCTGGCACATCACACACTCTCCAAGCTCATACCCGTAACAAGCCTTTTCCTCCCTTGGCCAGGCTCTCCCCAAAGTCCTTCGGCTGCCGACCCATTTCCTCTCTCCTTTTCTGCTGGAATTCTTCATCCAGAGTAATGGCAGCCAGGCCTTTTCCAACAGTGCCAGTGATCCTGGACACCACCCCTGCTGCACCACCTGAGGGAACAGGGCAGACAGAAAGAGTTCTTGTACAGCTTAACAGCAGACAACACAGGAGAAGTTCCCAGCAAATCCCCTTCATAGTCAGTTTAGATATGATGAATTCACATGAAATCCCACAGGTTGTTCATGAGAAGACTCCAGCATCTGCTCTGAAGTCCATACACACAGAAAAAGGGAACTCTTACATCACTTCACTACATGTTATACAGCATATTGAATGAAATAATATTTTCTCCAATTACTGTAAGACACAGCTGAATAAAAACCTAAGGTAATTGTAACAGTAGCTGGTCTTAATAACACTTCTCAGGCTCCTCCAGACATTTTAGGTCCATTAGAATTCTGTTTCTTATTCATCCACAGCATGTTGCTAACTCAGTTACATATTCAGTGTTTCTCAGTTTGGTTGCTCAGTCTACAAAGCAGACATTTAGACGGTCTCAGGTAAATTAGATGTGAATGATCCACATCACAAATACTGACAATGGTGTGACAAGCTTAAATACTCATCAGGGAAATACCATGGAGGTATTTATCAAAGCAGTAACATACCCACTGTGTGGCCAAGGAGACTCTTAACACCAATCACAAAGCCTTCAGCAAATTCTTCAGGGCCTTGAACAGCACCCTAAAAATGAAGTTTATTAGAAATAGCAAAAACTATGCCTTGATTCATCTGCTTCAAGAATAACTAGCCACTCCTTTACACTGATGCAAGTAAGGTCACATGATTATGTTATTTCTTTAAAATTAACATTAAAAAATTACTTTCATACCTGTTCAGGGTGTGGATTACAGTGACAACAAAACTACAACCCTACCAGTATATTCTATTAGCCTACTATAAATATACAGTTAAAGAATCAGGGAGTCATACCTGGAATGGCTCATAAAAGAAAGCTTCCACTCCCTCAGACAAGCCTCTGATTAAGCCAAATGGATTTCCAAGAACATCTAATCCAAGCACAAGGACATACATCTGTTTCAGGAACTAAATAACGAGGGGAAGAAAAAAGGCAAAACCCAAAAGCAGTGTTATGAGCTGTTGTTACACACAGTTCATGGCAGAACCCAAAGGTGGTACATTTTTTAATTTACCACCCAAGGAAGGTGTTGGAATACTCAAGTGTCCCTACTAGAATGAAGATAGGCTTAGGCAAATGATATATTATATGTATAGACAACTAATATTACTGAACTATTACATTTACTTTTACTATTACTATTACAACTATTACTGAAGAAAGATAAAAAGAACAGAAGGAATAATTTAAAAAATTTTAAAACACATTTAAGGACACTTCTGTGATCACATTTTCATAATTGTGTCACCAGATCCCTACTCCAGTACCATGAAACAAACAATTAGTAGCTTTCAGAGGTATTCACCTTTTCTTTCCTATTTTCTACATTCTCTAAAGCACATACTCAAAATTTTACAAAAGGCTTGACTAAATCAACTTACTTGTTCACTGTAATGTCTAACAACTCTCTTCATCAGCTGATCTCTCTTGTAGAACTGGTATTTAATTTCAAAGAAAGCGAGTCTGAAAGACAAGTAATCACATATTGGTTATAGATACCCTTCCTCCTTCAATTCCTTCAGATAATCCTGAAGCCCAATTCTCTTAAAAAGGACCCCAAACCCATTATCCCTCCATTCCTCCTTTCCCTTAAGGCTGTAAAAACTTACACCTGAGTCAGTCAGCAAAGTTTACCGTGGATCCAATCATTAAGTGTAGAGTAGCTTTAGTCAAAGTATTAAAAAAAATCCACCAATTTTATTATCTTACTTGAAAACAACATCATCCACATCTGTCAGAGTGGCTCCAATGCTTTTCAACAGCAAATTCAGGGAATGGATGGCTATCATGTCTTCCCCCTTATCTGATGCTTCTCCTCCAGAGGCCAGAGACAAACTCAAATGCAACTGTCAAGACAAAATTAGTAAAACAAAACAAATCAAGACCAAAACAAAAACCCCAAACCACAGCAGACAGATTGTGTGTGCATATGCAAAAAAATTAGCAGTGAAAGAGTGGTAAATGTATTTTGACTCTCTGACGAAATGTGCAATTTCAACAAACATGCTTGTGCTCACACTGGTATTAATTTGATAATATAGGTACCTATTTATATTTAACATAGGTATGTAGTCATGTTCGCATGCAGAGGAGTGTCCAATTGCCCTAGAAGTTTCATTTTACACAGTAAACCTCTGTGTAAACAATGAGTTAAAATTTAAATTGATTTACTTTACTAGCTTGTGTGTATTTTTCCAACTAGTCACTCTTTGGAGGAAATAAGAACTTTGATTTGTCTTTGACACTATAAAATAGAAAATTTTTTTAGTGTTTGTGAAACAAAAAAATTCACACACTTTTCTTAAGAGTGGAAAGGGCAACAGAAAACTATTTTTCTCTTTCCTTTTTCATCACCATAACCAATATTGTCCCTTCTAGTCACTCACGAGAGGGCACAGCAGTTCATCTGTATAATTTGACTGTTTCTACATTCCCAGTTTTCACAGTCTTCCCACTATCCAGTGGTTTCAAATATCAAGATAAGTCTCCTGAAGTTTGGTGAAAAAAAAACAGGAGAGGAAAAAGAAGTCCCTTCCTGTACTTAACAAGCAGCTTGTCTGACATTTCAAATAAAGATGCAAAAGAAACTTAAAAGTCCTTACTGTTTCTTCAACAGCTTTAGCCAGATTGGGCAGAGGATAATGTTTAAATATCACAAATGTCTTGTTGCTCCCAATGCTCTCCCTGGCTTCACCATTCTCTTCTAAGTTTATAAGCACAATCATATGAGAAAAAAAGTCCAAGAATCTAAGAGCACCCTAACAGACACCTAGTGAAATAACTAAAAACCTGAAGTAAGGGTTTATGTGAGAAAAGGAAAGGAAGTAAATTTTTTCCCTCTAAATTCTTATTCAATCTGATAGGCTGAGAGGAGAATTCTGCTAATTCAGCATAATGTCTAATTACTGATGATCTTTCTTATCTTCCTTCAAAAAATCCCACTGCTTCAAGAGAGACATGAAGACAAGCCCATGGAAGTGTATTTTATAACAATTTCTGATACATTACTTGGATACCTTCAGGCCAACATTTTATCTGGCTTTCATCATTATTACATTGACTCTCACTTTGTGATGATTAAGGGTCTGTTTGTACTCATGGGTGACAAAGCAAGTTTTCCAAAAAAGTATTATATTCCAGAGAACAAAACCCCCACCAGGGATGTATTTACTATAAGGAATTAAGAGATGACCAATATCAGGTGTTGTATTAACCAAAAATCTCTCTAGTGCATACCTTAATTGGAGAAATATGGAAATGTTCAAAGAAGCTGAGCATTGACAGGTCTGTCAGGGAAGACTCCATCAGCTCAGTGTTAAGTGCATCCACATCTTGCTGAATTAATTTAGACTGGTTTTGTCATTTAAAAATGAAAAGGAAAAAAAAAGGAAGTTAATCTCATCAGCATATACATAATATAATTAATCATATATCTAAATGTACGTCATATATATAAAGAGTAGAAATAACAATCATAGTCAAATACAGTTAATTACTTAAATATAACTGTATTAATTTATTTCTTGTATCCAGGGTAAACAAAAAAACCCCAAAACCAACAACACAAAAAAACCCCACACCACAAAAACAAAAAAACCCCTCCCCACATACACAACAATTCAACAATTTCCAGGTCGTCTTTTCATTTTATACTATACTGATATTCACTTAAATTTCTCAGTCATTTAAGGTATCACTTCCATAGGTTCTTTGTGGTATTTTTTATTTCCTCACAAAATTACAATTTTTATACAGAACATCTGAAAATATAATTCCTAAGAAAAAGAAACTTGTAAGAAAGACTCTTCTATGTCCAGCAGAACAAAAGGGGACCTGAGGGTCCACCTATGTAAGATTTTAGAGCTGTGAAAAATCTATTCCTTCTACTCTCTAAAGACAAGACACTGTAGACTAAGACAAATACAAGCCCACTCTGTAAAACCTGCCCTTATTTCTCATACACCCTTAACACTCTGTAGCCACAACTAAAACCTTTATGTCACCCATTAATGAAACATTGAAAGAGCAGAAAACAGCTACACATACCCAGGTATCAGTTACTCAAACTTGTCATTCAGTAATGGTCACAGCCAAGGTTTAACAGAAATACCAATACTAATTGAAAACCATTTTATTATGTCCCTTAATTCACATTTGTGAAATGCAATATTCACCTATTTAAATGGAAATTTTCAGGAAATTGCAACACTAAAACCATGAAGGCCTTGTTCCAGCAAAAATCAATTTTTCTCATACATTACCCTTTGTCTTTCAGCTTCTGGGTCTGTAGATGGAGTGAAAAGTTCACTAAGTGCTCCTAAAAATCCCTGATCAATTTTCAGAGCCATTTCCTGGATAAGAACCATGAAGTACCTAAAACAGGAAAACCAAACGTGTACTTGGAGAAGGTGAACTGAAATATCACCTGCTTGCCCTACAGAACTGAAGCTTTGCAAGATTCACAATCTACAGTATCAATTGTCAATGTACACTCAGAAATGCTTATTGACCACACAAACCTACATTACTGTAGGTTATTCAACCATAATACTTTCAAAATTTACCCAAAACCCATCACCAAATACTTTCTACATTCCCACATTACAGTTCCAGGCCCTTCAAGGATAACATAACCTGAACAACACATTTCTTCCTCTTATCCAAGTGCCTCTCTTCAAGTCACATTATTGAATATTTATTTTATTAAAATTCACCACTCTCAAATATTACACCCACACTAGTTGGGTAGAGATATTTGCATTAGAAACCATCAGTACAGTGTTTTTTGTCTCATTTTTAGTGCAAAAACTCCAGCCATAGACATATTCACTAAAGAACATTTTACACTGTTCTGGGCCACATTAAGTCATTTGTTGTTAGAACACCAAACACCCACAAACAGGCAGACACACAACTCTGGTACTGTAGTACCAGATGGACATAATTCTGATTACTAAAGAATTTGCATAACAGCCCCATCATGTGGTCAGCCCCTATTTTCTAAAAACAAGTTCCTTTTAGAACAACATTTTTTCACAGGAGACATTTAAAAATTCAACCAAAAGTCAAGAGTTGTTTGGATAGGAGAACATAAACTGCAGAGCAAAGGTCAATTCTAAAATATATTTAAAATATATTAAATCCCTAAAATTGTGTTACACCACACTGTTAAACTCACTTGAATTGCAGCACTTTGCTGTATTCGTTGAATCTAGTGATGACGCTGATGTCAATGAAGGGTTTTGGTTCTAAACAGAAAAAAAAAAGCTAAGGATATGCCAAAAATAAATTGCCAAGATACTACTTGGCTGAATAAATCTGATATGGCCATATATCAAATTTATAATAAATCTGATAAGGCTTTCCCTTACCTGAATCCAAAGCAATTGACTTGGGAGGGAGTACGGGGTGGAACACAACAGGAAACATGGATCCTGGTAATTGATTATCAACCTAAAACATCATGGCATCATTACAGGAATATTTTAGTGACATGATAAACACAATTCCCATTTCAGAAGGCTTGAGAAACTTGAGACTGTGTTGAAGAAGAATGTCATCCTTATTTGGGGGGAAAGAGGGCAGAGAGAAAGGATTGCTCTGATTTTATTGTGAAATGGTACCCATTAGTTATAAAAGGTCAGATGGTGGGAAGTGTTGTACAAGGGATGCTTCCAGAGGGTCACACCCATGGAGACTCCCAGGGGCCACACTGAGGGCACACACTGACTGGAACAGCAAAAACTGCCTTCAGCCAAAAGTAAAACCAAACTCCTGCTCTGGGCACCACAGGCACCAGCTTTGGGGATAGTGCTGCACAGAGATGGATAAAATCAAAGCCCTCATGTGCCTGCTGTCAGAGACTGAAATGGTTAATGATTTATGCATTCTAGGATTGCCAAGGGACTTTTGCAAGCTTCTGCAGGACTTTTGCATTATACCTCTGATGGCCCATGAAAGCCCATCCCCCCCTCTGCCAATCTTGAAAGGTGGGAAAAAAACCCTTTTGCCAGAGCCCTCATGGGAACTCAGCACAGACCCAGGAGCTGTTGGAGGCTCGTGGCATGGCCTGGGACACTGACCATGGATATAGTAACTCAGAACTTCTTGGAGTGTGGGGGCTTCCCTCCTTCCCCCCCAATGGATCAAGGCCACCACTTCAACTGACAGACATGGAAGCTGCAACTCCCAAGTTCCATCTCTGGACCCCGTGGGTGGTGACTACAGACATCTTTCCACTCTCAGCTTTGCTTTCCCTTCCTCTCCCTTACCCTTATCCTGTCTTTCCTTTCTCTCCCTTATGCATTTTCCCCCCAGGGGTTATCCCTATGACAGATGATATAGATGACAACAGCCAAAATGCTAACATACCTGTTACAACAAAATTGTTAAAATGAACCCTACCTATATGTGTTTTCAGACACGATTATTCAGTGTCGTTTCACTCTAATCCACCCCAAGGGAATTATTGATAAGAACCTGGGTTACCCCCCCCTTTTTTTCCTGGGGTGGGTCACAACACCTGCTCAGTGCACAGACAGGAGGGAGGGCGGTACCTGCAGCCAGTAGAGCTGAGCCCGTAAGCTCCTCTGGTGAGGGGACTGTTTGAATTCCACCTGAATTCCCGACAGGAAGTTCCGGCGGATGCTGCACCTGACTGGGAGACGCATTTCCATGGGAAACTTACTGAAGTTCACCTGGAAATGTAAGAAAGCAGAGCTAATGTAGACAGAGATAATCAAATGTTCTGTTCCTGTAAACAGGCCAGCAAATAAAACCTGTGGGTTTCCTTATTTCCTGCTCTGATCACATGGCTACTGGATTACTCCATACATTCTCTGCATGGAAAGTAACAAAAATCACAAGTCAGTCTGATAAAGATACGAAATTGTAGCTTTAGTTGCCCCAAACAGAAACCTCTGTGCCATCTTAGTAACTATTTCTTCATGAGTTCTATATTACACTGGATAATTATAGATATTTACACACAGTTCACTACTTTCCCAGCTGATGCTTTTAACCTGATCCTGAAATACGAAGAAAGAAAAAGCTTTCCTTTATTTGGAGACAAATATAATGATACCATGTACTATAAATGCACCACTGCCATGTGCAAAACCTCAGTGTTCACACAGCTGAGGGGATATGCATGTTTTGCAAATGAAAGGATGATATAGAAAACAAGCCTGATTATGGTACTATAAAATGCCTGTGTTGAACTTGGCCTTTTAAATACATTAAGTTTATGCATGGAACACAGGTATGGACAATTAATGTCTGAGAAAGCTCAGGTAAGTCAATTAATTTCCAGAGTCTGAACACTACAGGCTCCTTTACCACCTCAAGCAATGGAAACTGCAGCTTACTAAGATAAAACTAAGGTTTCTACAAAGAATTTAAGGAACCTCAATGTGAATATAAGGTTCATAACTAACATGCACATACCACACAAAACCAAAATTCTTGGAGACTTTTACTTCATAATACAAGTCTGGATAATGCCTCAATATTGCCTCAGTATCACCACAGTAGAAAAACATTGTACTGTGTAAAATGTGTAACTATTCAATTAAAAAGATTGCTTTCTGTTTCTCCTAAAACAGCATCTATCCTTACTTAGCAAAGCAGAAATCTGTTTTAGCTGTTGCACATGTTCTGCAAACACTTAAACTCCAAACATACCTCAGTGTTGCTGTCCAGTTTATGCCAACCAGGACCTTGGAAAGCTGTTTTTGAGAGATATTTCTGATAGGCTTGTTCCAACAGGTTTATTTGCTTTTGATTAAATGGTTTCCACTTGTGCCTTGGTTTCCTTTCCCAAACAACACCAGAACTGCAAGACAAATAACAAGGTTAACAATTTGAGGCTTTATACCTTTCTTGTGCATGCAAACGATGTAAAATATATTATTCTAATTTCTCAGGATCAAAAAAATTATTTCTCTAATATAAGTTAAATCCTATTGGCTCTAATTTCACAACAGTGGTAAAGGCAAAAAACTTATCTTTAATTAAAAAGGTTCCACCTAATTAAATTGGAAATATGTCCCTTTCAACCCTAGTACTAAAATTATAACAAGCTGTCAAATTTTGATTTTTCAAAGGAGTATTTAGACTTCCCCGTGCAGTACCTAGTTATTCCTATGTAAGAGATTTCTTTTTTATTTTCATTGTTAACTAGAGAAAGTCCAAGGCCATGGATTGACAGGTTTATTTCTTGGTCAGGTTGCTCCAGCTCCTCTGCTTGTCGTGCTTTAGAAACCAAAGCAACATCATCTGTGAAGAGCAGCACCCGCTGACGCCCATCCAGGAAAGACACCCAGTGGATCTGAGTGTTGGCATTGAAAGGGAACTGCCCACAGTCATCCTGCATGGGGGGAAAAAGGTATATTAATGAGTAAATCCATGCTGCTGCTGTATGTTATAAGCAAGTTTACAGACACACACAAAGCAGAACTCAGTGTTCTCCTTGTTTGTTCGCTTTATGGCCTCATGATGATTCGGTTGCATCTTGAATCCAGACACTGAAAACGAGTTGGAGGTTGGGATATTCCAATTTGGAATTTAAGTGTTACTTTTCACAACAAAAATTGCTAAAAATTAATTGCAAAAATCTTCTGGCTATCCACCCTGAAAATTCAGGGCACTTTGGCTTTAAATATTTGCTATTCTTGATTTCCTTGTGAGTTATCATGAACATCAGTGGCATGAAGTTAATAAAGATGAATCAGTAATTATACAAAGAATTGCTAGAGCTAACAATAAAAGCTATCAACTAATACACAATGCCATCCCATTAGTATGTAATAAAGGAAAAGAGGGGCTTTTTCCTCTTTTGTAAACTAAACATTCCAGCAATATTTGTGGTTTAGAATAATATTGGAAATCATTAGGAAACAAAGGCCTTCACAGCAATGCAAAAGGTAATGGGAAAGAAGGCAATAAATTATAAACCACAAAACAGCAAAACCATACAACTATTAGGATCTCTGCACTTCAAATGCAGATATTCCTTATTTTTTAATTTGTGAGGCAAAATTAAGATAATCGAAGCCCTTTTCTCAAAAGTCCCAAATAATCATAAATGTAAACATAATTATACAGTGAGGAAATCAGTTTCAAAGTAAAAAAACATTTTAAATGTAAAAAATTTGACCCAAAAAAGTGTTTATACAGTAAAGCTGACTGGAGTTGGTTAACTGAGTTCACAGTTGAGTGAAATTAAACCCAGCAAAACTGAAACACAAACTTACTTTCCTGTCCCTCCTTTTAGCTACTAATCCTTTTTAATTTTCCTAACTATGCCCAGTCAACAGAAAAACCACCTCTGAAGAATTCAGTTTAGTGTAAGGTGCAAGCAGGCAGCTCTTTAGAGACACACACACAGGACTTTATTTGGCCCACATTCCAGTTAAGTGAGAAAAACCTTCCTCCATGAATGTTTGCTTCCCATTCTCCAACAAAACACTTGCTCTGTCTTATCCCAGATTTACCTCTGCTTCCAGTTCCACTGTCCCTGTTTCTCTCAGTCATTTTCCACCTTGGTCATTATTATTATTTTGCCCCCACTTCACACGTTTTCCTGTTTTAGTTCTGCCTGAGTTACAAACATGGAAACAGCTCTTAGTGAGCAATTCAGAATTCTCTGCTCCATACAAGCATTTCCCACAGGAAGTGAGAGTCACAACAGTGGGGGTTTTCTCCATCTTTAGGGAGATACTTAAGGCAAATGCAGCACTGCGGGAAAACTGGTGAATTACTCATCCTCTCTACTCTTTAGATACTTCCACAGCTCCTACACTTGATGTTCCTTCTTCCATATTCACAAAAACCAGAGCAAATGCAAGCTGCACTTTGTGTCTGATCCTCTGAATATATTAATCTAAACATCCAAAATCTTGCTGCTTGACAGGAGGCTCAAAGGTCTTTTACAGGACAAGACAGACATGAAGTTACTGAGGAAGCTTTCTCCCAGACAGTTTCAACCTTGTAACAGTCCTAGCTTGGTTCAGCATTTACTTCTCCCCTTCTGAAGTTTACCTTAAGTAGGTCGTGTTCACCAAAATTTTGGCAGTAGCCCCAAGTCAATTTTCTTGGTTTGGTTGGATCTGTCCAGGCAAACAGGCACACCTGCCTTGGTTTCAACTCCATTTCCTCTTGTAATCCACTGCAGGGTAAAAGCAAAGCAGCAAAATAACAGCATTCACTGGTTAGGAGCAGTGGTGGAAGGGGAGCAAGCAAATCTTGCTAAATCCTCCACCCCTCCAGCCTCCTGGGGTGAGGTGGGAAGGACCCAGGCCATCCACTCCAAACAAGGCCAGCTGGAGGTTCACCAGCTCTTGGTGAACCAGGATTTATACTCCCACTTTATTCTCTCCACTTTCTCAAACTATGAGGAAGACAAAATACTTCATAAAAAGAATATGAGAAAGAAAAGGTGTTTTCATCTGTTTTTCAAGGTCCTATAATGGTAAAAGAGAACTCCTTTCTTCCCAAAGGGTCCCCCCTGGTTAAACCATCAGTGGTGAACAGTGTCTGTCACCTACCTCTGTCTGTATCTGAGGGAGTCCCACGGGGTGTGGTTCACAATCAGGGCTGGGGCAGCTCCCTCATGGTAATCAGAGAAGCTTATGAGAGTAGAGTGCTCAGAAACATTCACATCCACCAGTAAGCCCCCATTCTGCAGAAGGAGTTAGACAAAGTCTAGTATTTGTTCCATACATAAATTCAATTTAGAACAGACTAAACTGCTATTTTTAGATCAGTCTTTCGCTGGCCTCTTACAAATGAAATAAGGAAATGTCCCCTGCATTACCTAGTAACAGCAAGCTCAAACACACTGATTGCTGACTTTAGGCAGGTATCAGCAGCATCCACAAACCCCTTGTTGATTTAATTGAAAAAATATATTAAAATTAAAGATTTCTATTAATTACTTCATTTGGCCAAGTTCAGTAAAAAGTAAAGGTGATAATTCCCTTCACTTTCTGTTACAAAACTTAGTCACATTTAAAACTGCAGGTTCCTGCATACTCCTTAAAAATGTGAAGGTCTAGACAAACTTTAGTGTAAGTTTGTAAAGTACAACAAATATAGCAAAAGAACGTTAACAAAATGAGCAGAAAAGTTCTGTTCGTTAAATCTCTAAACATTTCACCCTGAGTCTTTCTCCTAATGGCTTCCCAGTATATATGCAAGATATTTCTGAAGCAGGTACAGCACCATTTTTCTCATTTGCTTATACAAAGGAGGTACTTCATGCTTTCCCTTTGGGATTGTCTCTTCAGACACCTTTCTCAAAATGCTCCTCTAGCAAGATAAATTGATTTTTCTGCTACATTATAAGGCCTGGAGAAGAGGTGGGAGGGGACACATCCACCTTTGAAAAAGGTGCTTCAGGAGACTTGGAGAGGTGGATTATCCTCACAACCACTTGTATTTCAGTTAGTTATGATGAGCAATACATCCAAAGCCCTGTCTGAACATGCTACATTTATATACACATTCCCTAATGCTAGGCTAGGGGGAGTTCTGAAATCAGTAAGATTCAGCTGTTTGACTCATAAATTAGTTTGCCCACGAACTGTGTGTGTCCAACATGCAGTGGATTATCAAGAAAACAAAAAATACAATCCATTTTAGGATAACTATTTAAACAAACCGAAGGCACCCAAGACATTACCCCTGCAAAACCCCAGATGTCAGAGGTGCAATCTGAGCATTTTACCATTCTACCATTTGAACTTAATGGCAATAGAGCTGTTCATCTTCTTAGAGGGTTAACTCAAGTAAATCACCCTGACTACACAGCTATGAAAACAACAACACTGCAAACTTGATTCACAACCTTTTTTCTGCCTCAGAACTGAAGGGCAGTGTATACACAGTTTGATCTGGATGATCTTGGTGAGTCAAGCTACCAGAGGGCTACAATGGAGTTTAAGAACAGAGCACACAAAGGCAGTCTCACCAATTCTTCCAGTCTCAGCAGAGTCCCATTATCCTGGGCATTAAACAGGAATGGTTTGGATGGGCTGTCATAGCCAACTACTCTGACACAAAGTTCACCAGATGAGTTTTCAGGCCAGAATGGAAGACACTGTGAAACAAGAAATACCTGTGACTTTAACAGTTCTTGTATACTCAGTACAGTGAGCCAGCAGGAAAACAAACAGGCTGGTGACTATTTCACATGCCTTAGTTCTTACCCAAGTATCTCCTGATGAACATCTCAGCTACATTTACTAAGTTACCCAAACTGAAGGACTTCATTAATGTACCAACACATGCAACCTGTGCTGCTCAAGTTCCCCTGAGCTGTGAGGTACCCATGTCATCCATCACAAGTGACAGCTCCCATGAGAGAACTGCTCCTTCCTCAAGTGACACCTAGAGACCAGGTGTTTGTCTACAACAACATCCAAAGGGAAAAACACGAAACATTACCTCTGAAGCTGAGATATAATTCCATTTATTAGTTGGAAGAGAGCCATTAGGACCAATTTCTCCAACTTCAAGTTCCAAAGAAGATTTGTTTGCTATGGTGTAGAATGGAGTAAAGGTAACTATCCTGGTCAGGTTAAAACTGCTCATTTTGATGCTGACTCCAACCTGTCAAACAAGGACAATTTGAGCAAACAATCAACAGCAAGCTTAGAAGAAAAGTCAGGATGGAAAAAAAGGAAGAGCCAACACTATAATTACAAAACCTGGCACACAACACTCCTGCTCTGAACACCTGAAATAAAAGAACCAAATGACACGGAGTAAAGTCAGCAAATTATGCAACGCAATTAACACAATAGTCAAGGTACATTTTAGCTGTAGCATTTTGTAGCTGTAGCATTTGTGGAGAAAACCCAACAGGAATCCTCTAGAGTAAAGAAAGACAACCTAAAATGACCATTATCATCAGAAAACAGCTAAAGAACATATGGAAACACAACTCCCCACATCTTTATTCTGCTTACTTGTGGAAATGTAGTCTTGGATAAGGACTGCAGATCTAAACACTTGCAGTTATGAATTATGCTGTGAACTCTTCTCTCCATTATGCACATTCACCATTGTGTTTTCAAACAGCCCAGAACTGCATATTTGTTATATAAACCACAATTATGAATTCAACTGAAACTTCTGTTGGTGAAACTACTTGTTGACAGGTGCAGACCTGAACAGCTGGGGCATAAATGTTATTACCCTAAGTGTTAAATATTTCCATGCTTTAAAAGCAGTGGAAGAAGTGAAACAAAGGCCTTAATGAGGGAAAGAAGTCAAGGCAAAAGAACCCCAAGAGAGCTTCCTAAAACACAGAAAGATATCTTACCAGGTAGTCCATGTTATTGGCTGAACACCTCACGCATCCATAGCTTCCTACAGTATCAAGGGAAAAGCTGCTGGACCAAGTGCTGGTTGAAATACAGAGCTGGATCTGCAGGCAAAAAACAACATCATGCAAAGTAATTCAATAAATTCACTGTAATCCTACAGCTCGTGCATTATGGAGTGCAATCGTATCACACAGAGCAGTATAAGGACAACACATCAGTGCTTTCAAAACCTTCTGTAAATTTAGATAACCTTAGACAGTAGTATCACTATTCATATTCTGATTAGTCTGTGCCTGAGTTCTGGAGAAGATGTTACAGTACAAGGTAGGAAAATAGAGGAGCACTCATTGTCTGCTCCTGGCAGCACACACATACATGGCAAAAAGCCTACATTTTGGGGTGCTTCACGAACTTGAAGAGGTGGGAGGAATAAACACTGTTTCTTCAACCAGTTTTTCAACTACTGTTGGGTAAGAAGAGTTATTTAAAAGGAATGAAGGGCCACTTCTGAAAAAATCTTCTACTGCAGTACTCTTCACTTGACCATGCAAACATCACACCAAAACAAAAAAAATCAAAACTAAAGAAATATGTTAAACACAAAACAGCATATTTACAGTGTGCATTTTAAATGTCAAAGTACCAAAGAAAGCAACCGCCAGATGAGTGTTTAGACTTAAAAACTACATAAAAATATTCTTTATGTGAAATATCTGTGTGTTTTCCCCCTCAGAGCAGGACTTTCAAATCAGCATACCTTATTTTTACTAAAAATGTTTTTCTTTTTAAATGAGAACAAAACAATGTCTCTGTAGTCTGCTGGGTGCTTCACATGAGTGTCTTCAGCTCGGTACTGGAGCACACGGGAAGTCTTGTTGATGATCCAGTAGGGACTGAACACGGACAGGACCAGGCGGCTCCCGACCCTCCTGGTGTGGATGTGCACATCCACTGTCATGGATGCTGCAGAGTGGGAGGTGAAGCACACGGGGAAAAACTCAGGCATCCCATCGTGGATTTTAAGATGCCCATTCCAGTCTTTGCCTTGATATTTTAACAGCACGAGTTCCATTATTTCTCCATTAATTCTCGAATGGAAAACATCTGCGGCGCTCCCTTCAGTTAATTCCCGGGCTTCTGCTGTTCCCTGGAGCAAAAGCAGAAGAGGCAAATTAAGATTTTATTATATAAAATTAAGGCATTCAAAACCCAGCATTTTATTGTCTTGCAGGATGCACATTTCAGGTATCTCAGTACAACGTGTCCTAATCTCCCATCACTTTTATTTGGGACTGATCCTCTGAATAATGTGAGATCCATTGCACTTTTCTTGCAGGACAGTAATAAATTCTTAATTAATTCTTAGTTCTGGATTTCAGGAAGGCAAACTAGTTCCAAAGTATTCCCTGCCTCCACTCACTCCCTTCTCTCCCCCTCCTTCCTCCATGATTTCCAAAGGATTTTGGCAATGAGTTCTTACCCCAGTGCTTACACTCCTGGGTGTAACACTGAGCAGGACAGTGCTGCAGAGGTACAGCCAGGGCTTTTCCCACTGAGGATCACCCAAGGCAGAAAGCCAGCAGTTCTGCCACACTATTTAGCAGCACACCTTTGCTCAGGCAGTAGCATCCCACAACAACAGCTTTCCTATTTTTTCCTAATAAACAGTGTATTTTACTGTATGGAATAATGGCCAGGTTTCATTAGTCCAGGATGTGAAGACAACAAGCAGACCCATCTAGAGGTACAGTGACTTCAGAGAGAGATTTGAATTACTACTTTCTGGCTCCTCAACCAAGGCAATGGCACTCTGTCCTACGTGCTGTGACTCCAAGTACTGAAGGACAGTGAAGGTAAGAAAAGTGGGAATAGTGCCATTAGGATGTTGCACAGAAGTGGAAAAAAGATCTAAATGAATGCCACAGCCAGTTCTGCAAACAGGACACACCAGAACAAACAAGGGTGGTGGTTCTAAATCCTCAACTCTGTTGTATTTACTAATATCACTCAGATTTCATGAAGAAATATTAGATACTGAAAATATTGCATGGAGAGGGAAATGGTCTGTGCAGCGTCCTGCAAAAATTCTTCCAGTTTGTGCAAGGATGACCCCACAATAATCATCAGTAAAGAATCAGTGTCAGAATGGAGAGAAGCTGCATTTTCTATGTGAAGAAAAGCTCTAGAAATTGTAGATCCTTTGTCTTATGCCTCTTCTTGTGAAGCAAAAGACATCTTGCAAAACACAAACAGTATCTCAGAAGAACGTAAAAGAAAAAGACCAATCCAGTACAGGATTCATATTTAAGGAGCAAGGCAGAGTTGGCCAGGTACATCCAAAATCAAAAAAAGGAATCCCTAGAAGTCCCAGAATCAATCCATGATCTGCCTCATTCATTTACAATATAAAACACAAACCCCAACATTCATTATCTTACACACTACATTCATCTGCACTTCTAAGTAAATACAGTCTTACTTAAAATTGAGCAAAGGATTTACAAATAAACCCTAAAATAACTTACCTCCAGTAAATATCTCAAGGAGTATGGCAGAAGATTCCTCACAGTGAGTGTGGGGTACAGGTGGATAATGTAGGCTGGATCCCACTCCTCTTCATAGGGTGAAATAAAACTGAGTTCATCAGGTACAGCTGTTGAGCTGATGATCAGGGGCAGGAAATTGGTCTCCATGGCTGGGCACTGTAACAAGCACTTCACTTCAGTGCTCCTGTGCAGCTCCTCCCTCCAGGCAATGTAAGTGGTGGACTCTCTGAACTGCCCCTCGAACACCCCCGTGGGCCGGACATACAGCTGACACCTGCAGGAAGAGGGACACAACAGATTTGTACTGACAGACAACTTCACCCACTTTAAAGTCATTGCTAACACTCTACAGCACACTCACTACCTAATCAAACAGTCACTGCATCAATCAGGTTGGAAAAGAGCTCTGAGATCATCAAGTCCAACCTTTGACCCAACAAACCTTGTCACTCAGATCATGGCACTCAGTGCCACATCCAGGCTCTTCTCAAACACCTCCAGGGACAGCGACTCCATCACCTCCCTGGGCAGCTCATTCCAATGTTTAATAACTCTCTCTGAAGAACTTCTTCCTGATGTCCAAGTTAAATCACCCCTGGTGCAGTTAAGACCGCGCCCTCTTGTCCTACTGCTGGTTCCTGGGAGTGGAGCCCGACCCCACCCGGCTCCCCCCTCCTGTCAGGGGGTTGCAGAGAGTGAGAAGGTCCCCCCTGAGCCTCCTGCTCTCCAGGTTCAACAACCCCAGCTCCCTCAGCTGCTCCTCACAGCACTTGTGAATAGGTTTTGGATTTTTATCCCGGTCAGGAAGACTTCCAAGTGCAAATTCAAGCCCCCCCAGCAATGCTGTATTTGTGCATCAGACTCACAGAGATCAGCCCTTCAGAACAAGGAAAGTTTACCTGTATGAATGCAAAGGAACATGGAATTCTTCCTCAGGCCTGGATGTGCCAATTGCCTCCAGCACCCTGGAGCCTTTAGCCAGATTATAGATCATAAATGGGATGGAGAAATGGTTCTTGATCTGGAATCAAAATGCAGAATTTTCATTGCATTTCTGTGGTACAAATTTCTAAAGGAAAAAGGATGAATAACAAGAAGGAAAAACAGCAATAGCAGATTTAACCAAACTCTCTAGAAAACAGACTTTATGTGCCTTAAAACAAAATACAGTTCTGAAGGAGACAATACACAAGCATATGAGAAAACTCTTCATTTTAAGCCCCATGAAATGAAAAACATGCTTAAAATACCAAATTGCATAAAAAGTATCCTTAGTGTTGAGGATATTAGAAAGCCAAAAGGAAAAAGAAAAAAACGGATTTTCCATTTATCAGGAACACACACATATACAGAATACAGATCAAAATTCATGTAACAAATAGAGCAAACTACTTAATAATTGGCCTTTAAGTAACTTCTTGGAAAAGTTACAAAAAAAAAATCTCAAAAAAAAAGCTACTCAAAAAGATCTCAAAAAAGGCATTAAGTAAGAAAGGCCAAGTCACTCACTGAAGAGCAGTGCCTGAGCTTTGGGCTGGTTTTTACCTGCAGAGGGGACCGTACAGTGATGACCTTGTTCCCCTCTGTGGCATCAATCTGGACAATGATGGAGTCTGAGTGCCCAGCGAGGTTCCTGACGTTGTACAGGCGTCGGCCTGGCTTGGCTATGGGAATGCTCAGTGCTTCTTTATATCCCTGCAGTTCTGATCCACAAAAACATACAAAAATCTCAGTTAGGCAAAACAAATCACACTACCATTTCCTATTTGAACAGCTCCCAACAGTTCAACAGAACCCAACAGTTCAACAGCAACAGCCAGGATCAAATACTCTCTGGCAAAAGCACCTGAAATGGTACTTGAGTACCACTGAAGGAAAGCTTTAAGGTCCAAAGACTCCTCAAGACTGTAACTTTAGATCATGACTTATACATAGCCCAGGAAATACCCCAAGCAGTAAACAAAGGTACTCGTTGGGTGAGTTAATGAACTGCAACACAGAACATGGTCTTTGTATCAAGGCCAAGTACCTTCAGATGGGATGGGATGGAAAGGAAAACACTCAGGAGATTATGGATTAGTAGCTGTTGTATCCCATTCTCTTTGGAGTGTTTTCTGGCAAAGCTAAAAACCAGAAGCATAACTGCTCTTGAGTAGCTGGGTAACTACAGGAAGCCAAATAGTAGCAAGGGTAGGAGAAATGAAGATCCTGTTGAACAGGAGCTGGAATGCACAGGCCTGTGTCACAGGGTCTAACATGGTCTATCCATGACTCCACTAGAATGTCGTCCATTTCTCCAAAAGGGGAAGAAAAATTATTGTGCTTTTTACTCTCTGAAAAACTGAAGAAAAGGAATTTTACAAGTTTTTCAGAAGTCCAGTAGCTGTTTCGTGGGGTTTCTTAATTGGCATCAGTATTCAAAAGTGGTTCCAACACCATGTACTCCACATGCATTTCCATCACACTGATTGAACCCTGTTGATCCCACAAACAGAGCCCCTCAGCACAATACCTAAATTCAAGGAAAAGACAGAGCTCTCCTGGCGGTACAACGCAGACAACCTCCCTCGCTGGGGAGCTTCAAAGGCAGAGTATTCCAGTTCCATGCTCTGCCCAATTTCTATAGCATTCAGGTTTTCTTTTCCAGTGGAACCAACTATCCGAAAATTGGAGCTGGGAAGCACTTTGAGAGAAACACCCAGGGCATTTTTCACTATGAAAGGGGCTGTCTCCTTAAAGGAATAGTCAAACGTGGATGCAGTTGCCTCTGAAAATGCCTGGAATTAACAACAAATAAAATATGTCACACACAAATAAATATAACATATCCAGAAAGGCAATTCCCAGCAACTATCATTTTAAAGAGGGGCAAAATTATATATAGCAAGACCTATGCTTTGTAGAGTACTATTCCAGGGAAGTGAAGGTTACTTCCAGAGAATTTAATTTTATTCTGTGATTTGCAGTACATGTTGATGCTACAATAAGCACTCCTGCTTCTTACAGGGCATTTTTCCAGTTCTTGGGTTGTAAGAGAAACATAAGATCTGGGACAGAGAAATCACAAGGACATGGAACATGTACATACTTCATATTCAATCACAACTTATGCTTATAAACATTTGTTTGGTTCCACAGAAGCCATGGGAACTGACTGCCAAGAGAGACTTACAGTATTAGCAAGTACTTACAGAACTGCTGCAAAACTGGTTTTAATTTAGAATTAAAAAATAAATAGGCATAAGTCACATTTTGTAAAAATAGTTTAATTTAGTAACCAAAATTTCTTCACCTCTCTAAAAAAAAAAAAGGAGGGAAAAGCAGTCTAGATCATTCATAAGCACACCTACTATCACAAGAAAAATAGGGGGAAAAAGTATTTTTAACACACTGGACAATCTATTCCTCCAGTTTCAAGGTCAATCCTAAAATGCACACTTTTCTTAGTATTCAATAAAGGAGAAAAACTGGAAAGGAAGGTAAATTTCTCTTTAAATATTTGAGAAAGAGCATTGTAGCAAATAGTTGTGTTTATTGGAGCATTTCATTTTCATTTGACCTGCATGTATGACCCTTCCTTAAGTCCTGCATGAGCACATTTGTTGCTCCAACACAGAAGTTGCTTCTTTGAAAAGCTTAGCACCACCTTTTGCCAACCCTAAAGGACTAATCCCAGTAAAACTCCTCAGCCCTTCTAGGTAACATCTGTCAGAGCTGCAGAACAGCCACTGACTTGTGACTGGCAGCCAATAAAGTTCTTTAAAAAAGAAAAATCAGAACTTCCTACAGAACCAGATAATTCAGTTAGAACTACCTTGGCCAGGTTACTGAAAACAGCCAGACAACACTTGGATATTGTGATGTTCATTGTATCCTTGGAGGAGATGTTAATGGCAGTTTGTGGCTCAGGAAGCACAATGAAATCATCCCCAGGCATCAGACTTCTCTCTTGGACGGGGTTAGTCTTCATCTGAAAGAGAAATTTCATCAGGCCTTTATGAACACAGAAGTTACTTTTTCCTGTGTTAAAATAGGAAAAAACTTGACCTACACTTGATGATTTCACCAAAAAAAGTACAACTTGTAAACCTCAGATGCCTTAAACAAATATGGATATTTTATAGCAACACAGAAGGCAAGTTATTTTCTTTTAGTCCATGTACTGGACAATTAACATTATTCAGAAAAACTTTAAGATGTCTAAAGATTGATTTTTTTTTTCCAAGTGAAACTGCACATCTCCCTCAAATCAACAACATTCAGAAGGTCAACGTTCTACCACATAAAACTTTAAAGAAATTTAAAAATAGCTGCCTATTCAAACCATTTCACATAGTTCCAAGTAGTTTACATACCTCCAGTTTTAAATTCCATTGCTTCTTTCCTCCTTCAATTCGTTCAATAAGTGGCTCCCACACTGCATAGGTTTCATTGTAATAATGAATCTAAAGACATAACCAAAATTAAATAAAGGACCAGTTTCCTTCCAATAGAAATTATTATGTAAAATATTAATAAGAAAACAATCAATTTTGGAGGTTCTAGCATTAACTTTTAATGGCTTAAAAATTAATACACAGAAATGTAATATATCATAAATTTTTCATCAGTAAGATCATTTTTGAAGAGTTCATTTTCTGGCTTGCTTTGAGAGCAACCACACATCCTGGTAACACTGTATCTTTTTAACACCTTCAATTAACATCATCAAGTCTCCATCCTCTCCTACCCTGTTCAAGAGAACGACTTTGAGACCAGAAACTTCAATGTCACAAGTGCTTCATTGCACTGCGAAATAACAGTTAGTCTGAGTAAAGCAATCTCAGTCTGGTCCACTGGAACCACTCCTCTAACTCAGAGCAAACATCTGGATTTTAATGCCCTTCAGTCACTTCAAATCTGAATAGAAGTTGTGGACTCAACAGTTCTGGATGTTCCCTGGTGGAACCATGGGGACTTCCCCCAGAGGGATGTTTTTACAGGTGCATCTTCCAAACCCTCCCATGATTGCACAGCTGGCAATGAAAGAAGGCTCCTTGTACCTCGTGCTTCATTCAGAGGGACCTGAACAGGGTGGAGAGTTGGGCTGATTCCAACGGGATGAGGTTCAACCAGGCCAAGGGCCGGGTCCTGCACTTTGGCCACAACAACCCCCTGCAGCACTACAGGCTGGGACAGAGGGGCTGGAGAGCAGCCAGGCAGGAAGGGAGCTGGGAGTGTGGATTGACAGGAAGCTGAACAGGAGCCAGAGTGTGCCCAGGTGGCCAAGAAGGCCAATGGATCCTGGCCTGGCTCAGGAACAGTGTGGCCAACAGGTCCAGGGCAGTGATTCTTGCCCTGTACTCAGTGCTGGTGAGGCCACCCCTGGAGTGCTGTGTCCAGCTCTGGGCCCTCAGCTCAGGAAGGACATGGAGGTCCTGGAGCAGGTCCAGAGGAGAGCAACGAGGCTGGGGAAGGGACTGGAGCACAAGTGCTGTGAGGAGAGGCTGAGGGAGCTGGAGCTGTTCAGCCTGGAGAAGAGGAGGCTCAGGGGAGACCTCCTCACTCTCTGCAACTCCCTGACAGGAGGGGGGAGCCAGGGGGGGGTTGGTCTCTTCTCCCAGGCAACTCTTAGCAAGACAAGAGGGCTCAGTCTTAAGCTGTGCCAGGGGAGATTTAGATTGGATATTAAAAAGAATTTCTCTCCAGAGAGGGTAATCAGGCATTGGAATGGGCTGCCCAGGGAAGTGGTGGATTCTCCATCTCTGGAGGTTTTTAAGAAGAGACTGGATGTGGCATCAGTGCCATGGGCTGGGAACCACTGTGGGGTTGGATCAAGGGTTGGATTTAATGATCTCGGAGGTCCCTTCCAACCCAGCTGATTCTATGATTCCATGATTCTGTTCTTGGATATATATTTGGTAGACTGACCAACTAGAACTCAGGTGGAGCTGACCTGTTGCACAAGCAGCTGCACACATGGTTGTATGGAATTTTACCATGCTGCTTCCATAAATGGAGATTGTACCATCCTGGAATGGGATCTCCCTTTGAGAACAGAGCGTAATTTCTATCTTAACATTGAGCACAGTGCTACAGCAACAAAAAAAGGTGGGCAGTAATATGAATATTCAAGTAAGCCAAGCTCAATGTTCATATAGCAAAACTTGAACATGAAAAATAGTAGAGAAACAGAGAGGGCCAGATTATTCCACATAGCCACTGCCATTAAAATCTACTGTTAATTGCAAACTTCCTGTAAAAACCACATTATGCTTAGTCACACTTGCCCAACTGCTAAAGAACTCCTAAGAGCATTACAATTTAAACCTATTACTAATTTAGCACAGACAAAGTGTATTAAAAAGCTACTTGAACATCAGGAAACATGCAGAAGTGTTTCAAACTGCTAACAACCAGATCCCACGTACCTCCAGCGACGTGTCAGCAGTGACCTCCATCAGCGAGGACCAGTTTTTAAGGACACCTGAAAATGCAGATTCCACCAACAATAAAGGGACAGTCCGATGGCCCAGACCACACTCCAAGGTCATCTGAACTGATTTCACCACAATGTCAAACTTCTCCTGTTTCAGAACTTGTTCACGGTCTTCATAAGTTTCTGTTGCTTCTGTGGCTACATCAACCCCGAGGAACCAAGCATTGCACTCATCTATGGGCTTCACTTGCCACAGATTCTCAGAAACTTCAGCTGCTCCTCTGGCATCCTCCTCTGTTGCCTTGGGTTTTATGGCAGCCATAATGGTAATGACAGTATTCAAAATGATGGGTGAGATCTTGAAAAAAGAAAAAAAAATCTTCTATTAAAATACAAAATCTATTATAAATGGAAATAGCAAATATTACAGGTGCTCGTAAGAGATGCAATTTAAATTCCAAGAACAGAATCCATTCATGGACCTCCTCTTGTTTTCTTCTCCTACAAAAGGTCCCAGTTCCTCCCTCACAATCCCACAGGACTAAGAACAGTATTCTCAGATTGGAATTTCACTTTTGCCAATATGTGGTACTCCCATACCAGCAGCCACCACGCTGAAAAGCATTCCTTTGTTTTTGAGATCCCTGAGGTGTCCACAGAAGCCTGTTGGCAGAGTTCTGTACCCCACCACTCCAACTGGCAGCACAGTACAACTGTCAAAGGAATTCTGCCTCAGGAACAAGGGACTTACAGTTTAAGGCTTTTCATATCACACATGCCTATTTGTGAACTTTTTACAGGAGAATCAGCAACTTACATCCAGAAGTACCTTCACCAGAGACACAATTATTAGTTTACCTGTTAAGAACAAGGTATTTCACATTCTGGAAATCATGTTAACAGTCTTATATCATCCATGTACTTGGGGGTGTGTGCCTTCTTGTAAGACTAACCGAAGACAAAAATAGTGGTGGTGGCAGCAGGGGGAAGGGTTATTTCATAACTTGGGAAGAAAGTGGTAGGAGGAATCCTAGAATCTGAAGTATTTAAATGAGTCCTTTTTGGTGAAGGGACTGTCAGCACAAGGAACACATAATGACTTTTTCCAACATGGAGCAGCTCTAAAAATGTTTATTTCTAGAATTAAACTAACGGGGAAAATGCAAATTTTAACCACCAAAAACAGTTTGAGAAACACAGCTGTTCTTCAAAAGACAATTTAATAATCTTACCTTAATAGTAAGTTCTTCTATTGTTACTGCCACAGTCTGTAATCCTGAGGCATGCATCATATTTTCCATGACCAAGGAACATGGTCGTAACACCTGAGTGAAAAACATCATTTGATTATTAAGGTGGCTCCTGGAATCTAAACATTTCAAAAGGTCTTGTATTTTTTTCATTCCACAGGCCCAGGGCATGCTGACCCCATAAAGTAATGACATGTTTCAGAGCAACGGCATTTTTTCATACACCACCACACATTCCAGCACCCCAATTTGTACAACAGCAATTTTGCACTGGAAGATTAAAAGTCACTGAAATAAAAGCTTTTGACATAATGCTTAAAAATGCTTAAAAACAGACAAAACCCAACACACAGACTGACAGTACAGTCAAAAAAACAGTGGTTTTCTTACAGTAGTAACATTCTTGTCTTGTTTTTCTTTGAGAAAGGCACAGGCCAACACTTTGAAGCCATTCACTTGAGCAGTCATCCTCTGTGCATCCCTTCCAGATGTCAGAGAAAAGTCACATTGGAAAGAAACTTTTAAGGCAGGAGCATCAGCATTGGTCAAATTAGCAACAAATACAACTTCTGGGTCCAGAATCACAGCTTTTACTGTCATATTTGGCCGTACAGGTATTTCTGTGAAAATAAATTTAAAAAAAACAAACCTTGGATATAAAAGGTTTGAAAGCATTGCCATGTACATAATACTGAAACCATGCGTGAAAATTGCTACCCAATTATAGAGGTACAAATTTAACAAATAATGTCTCCATTTTTACAGGAATACACTGCTGAAACTGAGTATCACAGTGTTCAGAAATCAGCAGCAAACTGGTCAGAACTTCAGCTTTGAATAAACTGCTCAGTGCTGCAGAAGGACAGGATTAACTCTGTACACTGTAGTCAGCCTAAGCCCTGGCTCTACAAAGCCAAACTGGAAATAGTTATTTTAGGCTCAACACCTAAAGTGACTCACTTCTTTAGAGTGAACACTTACAAATCAAAGCCAAATTATCAATACAGAATTTCTTGCCTGAATGTTTGGTCTCCAGAAGGAGAGAATCATATTATATTCTCTCAGTTAAAAGCAGGACACTTTACCCTAGTGATGGATCAATCCCTTTGGTTCTCAGTGTTGTGGGAGCCTCCTGCACGCCAAACTAATCACAGGGGTTACTCCTGCCTAACACTTGCTGGAAATATCAGAATATCAGAGCTATGCCATGGAACAGGAGCCAGTTTGGGCCTCAGGGCACTACAGGAAAAGCAAAGGAAGTTGGACATGGTGGGTTGCAGCCAGCAACACATTTGGGTAGTCCTGAACATTCCTTGCAAGTGCTGTTTTCCTGGAGTGAGTATCATCCCTCCTCCATCACAGGACTTGGGCACATCTCCAACAAAGGGAAGAGGAGAGCAAGTGAACTGCTGACATCACCAGGGCAGTTCATCAAACCTCAGGGTCACTCCTGGTGCTCTGCCAAGGTCCCCAAAAGAAAGGGAGGGCTGTTGGGAACCAGCCAGACAACACACCCCACAGGTGAGGTCTCACCACAGCTCAGACAAGCCCAGCAACCACTTCAAACCAACAAAATACTCTTAGAAGTGGTCTTTCTTGCCCTTATGTCATCATGCTTTACCTCCAGTCCTCAACCAGAAAAAAGAAATCAATCTACTGTGTCAGTGGCCAATACCCACATTTTGAAGAACAAATTTATTTCTCAAGTCTGATCCCAAGACAGCGTCTTGAAAACTTTTGGAGGAATTGTTTTCAGTGTGAAGTCTTGCAAAGGAGGGGAATGGGGGTGGAGGTGGAAATTGGTTTTACAGACCTGTTTCTGGCTTGGATTTCCCAGAAGCAACTTGCTTTAATTGGAACTGTGCAGATCTTTCAGCTGAGGATGCTGGCATCGAGTTAATGAAAAAATCTGCTACTGTCAACAAAAACTCCATACTGGCACATATGTACAGCTTGTCAAGGACTGCAACAACATCAGTTCCATTTTTATCCTGCTTATACCTTATATCTATCATAGAACTGTCATGTGTGTCATCTTTCTTGTCTATCATTCTGGAAAACAAGTTTAAATAAGAAACATTTCAAACATGGATCTAGAAAAACAAGGATGCATAAGCAGTGCCATTTTTCCCTCCCCATGGTGTTTATAAATACAAGCAATCAGTGTTTCTTCCAGAAATCAGAGGGTATAGACTTTTCTAACAGAGCAGTAATTTCAATTTCAAATTAGTGCACTACACTTTTGGAAGTGGCACATAAGAATCACAGTGGAGTTCCAGTGCACAGAACTCTGGCTGAGGCTGGGTACTCTCAACTCAGCTCTTCTACACCATTTACTGGAATCTGCAAGACTCCAATACGTTTTTTTGTTTGGGAAATCAACATATAAAAGTAGAAACTTGCTTAACATGACTGAAATTACATCATTCATTGTTCAAGCACACAGCATGACAGGCCACAACTGGCAGCACTGCTGAGTTTTGTCAATCCCACATGAAGCGAGGCACAGAAGAAGGGAACAGTCCCCCTCCTGAGCTGGAGTCTTTCCATTTCTGGTGCATTCAAACTTACCTCGCAGTCACATTCTGAATTCCTTCTCGGAGATCATCCAAGGTACAGGCCTTGAGTTCAACTTTAATGTCCATGGAGCCATCTGAGAACATGTCCCCAGAGGATGCCATGAGGTGCAGGCGCAGTTCCCCGAGGCGCAGTTTGTCACTGTGCACAGGGAGCAGAGAGCTCTGCCCAGGGGGAGAGGGGAGGGCAGTTAGCACACAACAGAGCAATGAGCACGTTTCCCTTGCTGCATTTTGAGCCATCAATGAAGGATCTGATTAGCCTGGTGCTATCATCAGCCCTCCAACCATACAAATTAGTCCCAGAAACTCACTGAGGAAACAGAAAAAGCTCACTGGGCTGCAGTGAAGTTGTTTCTTCAGCACAGTGCTGGCAGTTGTTCAGAATGTATGACTGCAGGATAACCCATTTGAACTCTAAATGCCCTCCCAGAGGACCCCTCCACTCTTATCACACTAACTCATTTACAACACCTCAGCAATAAGTGGAAACTATGAGGAGAGGTTGAGGGAGCTGAGATTGTTCAGCCTGGAGAAGAGGAGGCTCAGGGGAGACCTCCTCACTCTCACAACTCCCTGACAGGAGGGGGGAGCCAGGTGGGGGTTGGTCTCTTCTCCCAGGCAACTCTCAGCAAGACAAGAGGGCTCGGTCTTAAGCTGTGCCAGGGGAGGTTTAGGTTGGATATTAGAAAGAATTTCTTTCCAGAGAGGGTGATCAGCCATTGGAATGGGCTGCCCAGGGAAGTGGTGGATTCTCTGTCCCTGGAGGTTTTTAAGAAGAGACTGGATGTGGCATCAGTGCCATGGGCTGGGAACCACAGCGGGGTTGGATCAAGGGTTGGACTTGATGATGATCTCAGAGGTCCCTTCCAACCCAGCTGATTCTATGATTCTATGAAACCATACGAAGGCAAAATTAGAATAAAATCCCATTCCAGTGTCTTTCTTCCCTGTGATGCTCATTACACAAGAGCTGCTTTAAAATGATACACAACTAACATTCACTGTATACAAAGACATACAAAGCAAGCACCTTCACACCTGCACAAAGTGTATTAAGTCATGAAAACAAGGGCACATTTCACGTCTTTCTCTTCTGTTTTCAGCACAGAAAATATATCCAGGATTGCTCACAGCTGGGGATATGCAAGAGGAAAATATGGGGCACATACACCTTGGATCTGCTTACTAACTATACAGGCACCATGCACAGCACCAGCACCATCTGAGCTAACAACTCCTGCTCTTCGGATTGTGATTTTTACTTTGGATAACTGGAATCAAAGCTTGAATGACCAAATCAAATGCTGGGTGGGTTTGGCTGGTTGGTTTAGTAATACTTTTCAGTGTGATTTTTGGAAATGCACATACATTCTCCAACTTAAGGACATTCTCTGCCCAAGAAACCTCGAAGCTCCACAAGGAAAGCATTACAAAGCCGACACAGCTGATGCAACTTTGGTTTGCTGTCCTGAGTTCTGCCCATGTGAGATGCCCACCCCACCTGTATGGTAAAAGCTTGGTCACAAACCTGATTCTTATCACTGTTGTAGAGAATTACGGAAAGGGACTCAAAATTGAAGTCAAATTTAAGTGCTGTATAACATTCCACAGAAGACTGAGCTGTACAAACACTCTTTTGTTCAGAAGCAAGAAGAGGACCTGGTAGCGAAAAGAAGACATTTTCACATTTCTTTAGAACACTGAGTTTGGGGTATTTTTGCTGTTGGTTTGGGGGTTCTTTTGTTGGTTGGTTTGGTGTTTGGTTTTGTTTAACATCAGAAAGTCACAAGAAGAGGAAAAGCTCTAAATCCTGAAGACTACTCAAAGCAATTCACACTTTTAATTCCTCAATATCACTTTGTTCTATTCAGGACATGCTAAAATTACCTAGCATAGAGTGGTTTAAGAACCTTTAAAAAGGCTAAAAGTGCCCTTGGTTTTCTGCAGTTCTGCATTCACTTTAATGAAGAATACACAAAGTATCAAGTCTGCTTGAGGGGTTTGCACTACTCTTCCTTCCTGTTTCTTTCCATAGTATAGCAACTCAACTATTAGACAGCAATCTTTTGACGTTGAGAATGTTAAGTTTGGGGCAAAAATGGGTTTTGGCAAAGTGTTAGCAATATTTTATCCAGAGATATGCACTGTTCACACTAACACACTGTCTGAACACTCATATTATCCTCAGTTGTTATAACTGTGCATTAACATTCTGGGGTAGATGATTTGGCATTTTTCTTTTTTAACCACCTGCACCTTAGAAGAGCCATTGACATGGACTGAAGGACACCATCCTGTAGAAGAAGAATCACAAAAAACACGCTACAGAAACTTCTGACCATCAAGATCTCACACTCCATGTATGTGCACACATCCCTATTTATAAGTGTTCATGTACACAGTACATATGCAAGTGAAAAGAATTCATATGCACACATTTAAGTGATAAATGTGATGTTTGGATTTACAAATAGTCCTCTGCCTGAACATCCTCAGCCTTGGAGTTAAACATACCAGATTCATGTGGAACTTTCCCTTTTTTAGGTATCTGTGTGAACTCAACATTCTCTTGCACAGCAGTTGGTTGGGAAGAAGCTCCCCCAAGGTTTTCAAGTAAAATTTTCATGATAACAGTCAGATCATCTTCACTGAGTGCAATCTGTAAAGGGATAAACCAAAAACTTCAGTTTGGGTGACAGAAATAATTTGCCTATTTTTCCTATAGTATATTACTTGTTATGAACAGGAGTTACAAGAAATAACACTCCATATGATAACCCCTTTCCAGTCTTGTAAAGGATCTTTGCCTGCTAAAAATGTGAGTCATTGATGAACATATGCACTTCTAACAATTCAGTAATCCCAAAACAGGACCAGATAACATTAAAACCAAGGCTTGCATTGTCTACACTAAAGCCTTCAAAGAGTTAATGAATGTGAATCCAATAATAAAATTACAGAATTGTGAAAAAACCAAGTACCAATAAGTGACAAAATGCAGCCACTTAGGCCATAATACAGTGTTAGAAGTATTTTTTCTACATTTGGTTATTTTTGTTTGTACTCCTTTAAATCTCTTAAATCTCCGTGCTTCACCAGTGCTATATTTGGCCATAGCACAGATACAGGAATGACACAGGGCTCAGGAACAACTATAAGGTGCCTCAGTTTGCTTTTACTTGTTTAAATCCATATGGGTAATGTAGGAAAAGAAAAAGTAAAGCCCTCCCTCTGCAAAGATGTCACCCACACTTTTAAATTGTTGTGCATTAGAGATACTCTTTTCATTTCTATAAATCTAAGAAACACTCAAATAACCTGAATGTTACAGGTGAAATTTGAAGTCTTAAATCTAGTTTTTAAAAGCTAACTCAACAGGCAATCTCAATGATTTTACTGACTACTGAGTCAAAGGATAGCTCCAACAGCAAAATAAAACTAGGTTTTATTCCATTTGCACACAACTACATCAAAACTATTCATTATACAATATCAAAGCTCCAACAGATCTATAAACTGGACAATAAAGCTGGAAGTCTTTCAACATTCCTAAAAGACACAAACTGAAATGAGTTTACATGCTCCTTGACTAAGCTGGGTACTATTCTGAGAAGATGTAACTTTTGATGTGGCTCTGATGTGACATGGTATTACCTGCATTGGTTTCAGGTCTCCTTTGATACCAATTGTTGGGCATTTATGATACCATGTTGCTGCTAAATTTCTCTGGACCAGCAAAGTCAAACTCACAGGACACAAAATTTCAGAGTCTGGTTGAGAATCTGTGGATATGACACACCTAACAAAAGACAGGCAAATCAGCAGAGGAAAAATATTCAGCAGTTGCAGAATCTCAAATAATATCATAGCAATCTAGCAGAATATGGGTATAATTATTAATTATTAATTTAAAAATAAGTATGTATGCTGACATGTGCTTACACCCAGGGATGCACTTCAGATGAACTCAGTTACTGTCCTATCATTCCGTTCTCTCCAAGAAGTTTCAGAGATTGTGTCCCTCTAAAAACACTCCTAAACTTGGCTTGGGGAGGTTTTTGGTTGGTTTTAATATGTTTTCATTGCCTATCATCTTTAAATAATAGAAAAATGCTGCATATGGAACACGATCACGTTTTCTTTAGGAACACTTTTCAACTCAGAGAAAAACTCCACATATACCTCGATAGTTTCAAATGGGTCAGCTGCACATCCATGCTGTCAATGACTGGAGGAAGAGGAGACTCATCTGAAGACACCAGCTTGAATTCATTCTGAACTCTGATTAAGCCAAGATCAGCCACCAAAGCGTTATATGAGGCTGGGGATTCAGGAATAACTATAACTGGAGCTTTCAGGTTGACATCCATGGAGAGGCGGAAGCTCTTCCTGGCAAAGTCCTTCATGCTGGAAGCTGCCATTTCTGCTGCCTGGGCAGTGACTGCAGTCAGGGCTTCCTGGGCTGTTTGGAAGTTGTTGAGGAAGTTCTATGGAGAGGAAGTGGAAAAAAGTAAGAGTTCCATGAAAACAAGCCTCTCAAAAAAAGGCAAAATGTAAAATTAGGAAGAATAGTCCAGCTGTGGTATAAATATGAAACTCCCCATTTAACCACGCAGGTTTCAAAAGACAAAAAGATTCAAATCATGCACAAGCTAAGACATTGCTTGATTATTTATTTTTTAAGATACTATTAAAGTTATCAACTCCATTATTTGTTTTGTCATCCTTCTCCTTATTTGTCACTCTTCTAAAAAGCACTTCTAAAAAACACTTCTTCAGCAAAATACCTCTATGTGCCTGTACACCAGCTCACCACAAGGGAGAGGTCAAAAAGAGCTGGTTACAGTTCATTTTATTAAAAACTTCTAAAGTCAAGAAGAGAATTTGAACTAATGTCTTACCAAGAGAGACATGAAGAACTTGTGGAGGTAAATTATCTGGATGCAGCCCACTTTCAGAGACATTTTGCCATCCACCCTTGACATGTCAGTGTAGGCTTCCCCTGCCGTGGCGTCTGGGTAAAGGGACACGTGAAACCTGAACACTTCATCTCCCATGATGGACACAGCCTGCAAGGTCAAGTCCACACAGTTAATATTTCCAGGCAGTCATCTGAAACAAGAAATATTTCCCCAAGACAACTGCAACTTCTCAGCACTACTTGGACACAGACAATGCCAGGCAAAAAGGAAACAGAATCACCGATTTTACTGGATGCCTCTTCTCACTTGCTTATCCATAGCCCATTTTATATTTAACCCATGCCACTCAGAATTAAACATATCAGTGCAAACGTGATTAAAAAGAGCTAAATATTAAATGGAAGAATATTTTGCTTCCCTGAGATAAAGGAAATTAACCAATAAAATTTTGCTTAATATTTGGTACGTTACATCATACTTAGGATTCCATTACACAGCAAATAAACTACAGTGCTGTCATAAAATCACTGAAAGAACTGAGTCTTTTTGTTTGTTTACAATCTGCACAACACATCACCTTTTTATGGACTGTTTTTGGATCAACATTTGTAATTACAATGTCCTCAAGCCTGGAGAACACTTTAATCTTTTTAGGCTTCATTGCTACAGATGCATCCATTCCTGATTTGAGACAAAAGAAAGAAACAATAAATGCACTTCAACAAATTTCCAAATAAACACTTCTGCTAAAAAAAATCCCATTAATTATTACTGAATATAAAGAATAATAATAGCTCAGAATCCAGCCTTCTACTGTGTAACAACAGCCTGGGACAGAAGTCAGGACATTAGTACATGTGACAAATTTGCCAACACAAATTGACCCTAAGACTGAAGTAAAAATTCCCAACACTATTTAGGATTTTGCTATTAAAAAATGCAAGTTTGTGCTATTTATTACATAGTGCCTTCATTTCTTTTAATTTTACTCCACTATTTAAAAAAATCACCTTCTTTTTCCGAGTCAAACATTGCCTTTCCTTGCAGGTTCTTTCATACAATAAAATATATCCTAACACACATTACAAAGACATATGCAGTGCACACAGGCCTTTCAGAAGTGAATGGAGGGAAACCACATATTTCATGTAATATTTACATAAACTTCAGCTACTATTTAAATCAAAACCCCTCACCTTGTATTCTGATGTCTGCAATCCTACAGGTCTGATCACACACTGTGATACCAAATGCATTGAGCTTTGCAGTGAGTTTTAATTCACAGATATCATCGTGGGCTGCATCACCACACACTGGACAGGAAACACAAGAGGCACACAAGAACTTCATTATAAGTCCACTGTTTAAAACAAATATTACATTATCTGTTTGTACACAGATGAACTATTCAAAAAGCTACCTGCAGCTGTTCTCAAAAAGTTAAGATAATCGTTAGTCAGGATATAACACAGTTTTCTTCTGGCACATGAACAGCCACCAATACAGGCAAAAAGCCATCAAGATGCCATCTTTTCTCCCCACTAATACCTAGTTTTCACACAACAGGATGCTGAATGCAGTGTACACTGCAGTATTTGAAACCCCATCTCCCAGGAGAAATGTGCCTTTCTGTATCAAGGAGCAAGGCCAGTTTAGGCACATTGGCTGGAAAAGGTTGGCTGCTACACTTTGTGTTTCTGCAGAAACCACTGTGAACTCAATCCCAACAGTTTTAGGATTAGAAAACCTTGAATTTCACAAACAACACTACAAACACAAGAATCAACTACACAGGACCTGACAAAACATTAAGGAGCTTCCATGCCAACACTCCTACTATTTCAAGGTTACAAACACCAGGATCAAAACAAACACACCACCCTTCAGTTCAGAACTTCTCTTTGCTTCCCCAGAAGAAAGTTTATTTTCAGCAATGAAAGCACCCTTTGGAGCCTTCAGATTGGAAAGACACTGAATCTCTGGCAAGGCTGCACACTGCAACTGTCCTTGATTCAAATTTAATAATAAAAATCAGACCACCACCTAGGAAAAGTTACAGTGAGTAAGGAGAATTTGTAAAATTAAGCAACAGTAAAAATATCTGGTTTTTTTTTTAAATAAGATTATTTTCTCCCCACTTATGGTTGTTCCTGCTTTGTTCTTCCACCACACAGACTGCAATGCTGCCACCTGAAATGTATCCTTTGAGAGTGAAGGTGAGATGCTGCCAAACAACACAAGTACAACCTTTCTAATACCACATTACCTGGTCTCAGAGCACTTCCTTTTTCCTCTTCTTTTGTTTGAGGCTTGTGGTCTGATGATTTCTCAGCACTGGGAAGACCACCTGATGGAACACTGAAGGTGAGAAAACTCAAGATGGAAAGCAAAGCCTCTGTGTGCAGTACTATATCCAAAGATGAAAAGATGACCTAAAATGAGGACAAGGAGACAAAGTAATATTCTTTTTAGTCGCAGTTTATTGCATAACAACTCAGTTACTGCCACAGAGTTGAGAAAAAAAGTGTCTTGCTCAATATGACAAGTTTCTGACCCTTCCATCTCCTTCAATTTACCACCAAAAAAGCCCCACAACAGCTGAGGGAGCTATGGAAGGGAACTATAAAAACAGCCACAGAGGAGCTGAGCCAATCTAAAAACTGATGCTTCAGGTGGTTCTGTTTTTCCAGTAGTTCTTAGTTCTGCTGCATTTCAGTGTGGGCTGCTGAGCACTTTGGTTGACAACTTCAGAACCATGTGTGAAGATATTTTAGTAGATATGATACAACAACAGCAAAACCAAACAAAAAACCAAACCCAAAACCAAACAAAAAAACCCACAAAAACAAAACAAACAAACAAAAAAAACCCACAACCAAAACCCACCCCCCTCAAGATTCAAGATTTGCAATCAGAACAGAAAGTACATGAGCAGTAACTACTCTTACTAGTATTACTTAGTAAAACCTGGTATCAGGTACCCAACTCTCCCCAGCTCAAAGCAGCCCTTGGTAAATGCTGGTTTTACAGCTTCTTGTTTAAAAAAATTAATACACTAAATACTTCTGAAAAAAAAAAAACTTTTTTCCACCTGGAATTCCCTTTGAAGTAGTTAAATATAAATCAGTAGGTTTTAATGATGAGAGTCAGGGCTTTGGTTTTCAGCTGTTACCATCTGAGAAGCTTAAAAAAAAAATGAAACCCAGCCAGCACTTACATTGATGTTTTGCTTGGTGCTTTTGTAAGTTGTAACAAAGTCTGGCCCATCAGGATCAGCCTAAAGGGAAAGAAAAAAAAAGGACACAGTCAGTCTCTACTGAGTTAACCAATAATTAATAATAAATTAAATAAAAGAATGAAATTAAATGCTAAGTTGGAAAACAGGTATTTGGGAGAAAGTCTGGTTAAGTTTTAGATACAAATCCTACAAAGTAAGTATGGAAGCCTTATTTTACTCCCCATGTAATTTTAGTGAAAATGTATTGAAACCTTAATGTATTCCATTTTCAGAAGATGTTCATCTGTCTCACTTGAAGAATTAATAATGCAAAGAGGATCTCCTTTTGAGTCTGCAAATAAAGAAATAAAAATGTAAAATATCTCCACTCACAAGCTTTACTCCACCTATGGAATATCTCCATGCTAATTCTCAATTATATACTAATTATATACTATTCTTGCTGAAAGAGTGAAGGTAAACAGCTGTTTTCACTGGGAAGCTGCACATTAGCATTACCTTGTGAAATGCTATATTCCCTTTATTTTAAATTAAACTAGTAATAATTAACTTATCTTGGTCCTGAAAAAAGATTCAAAATTGGAAAGTTCTTTGCATTCCTGTAATTAGTTTTGCACTCCTATCTTCAGGTTTTTACATTCAAAACCTTACTTTTCTACTTTGAATACATGGCTATTTCAGTTATTACTTCACTATCACTTTTAATCATTATCTGACCAATCAAGGTCACTCTGCATTTCCAGTGCTGCCAGAACTGGTCACAAAGCACAGATTCAGCAGCTCAAACCCCACTGAACAGTCACAACACTTGTTAGGAATGACCACTGCAACTCAAAGTAGGCAACTCCCTCAAACTAACTCTGACAACAGCAGTAAAACTTAGTGTCAGGTAAAATACATTCATTCCATCCAAATGACACTGAACAGCCCCAGTAAGTGAATTTGCCCTTTTTTCCCCCTGTAATTATTGATTTGGAGGATGTTATTCTCTTGCTATAAAAGCTGATTGCACACACTCTACTGACTGTGCACCAGTTTTCTGGCAGACTTACCCTTTATTTCAGTGCATCTCATGACTATTTTTTTCAGATATGCTGCTGCAGTCAACTCATGATTTCTGACTTTGGTTTCAGTTCCAAGCTGTAGCACAGTCAGAATATGTAATGGGTATCTCTCCTTCTGAACCTGCTTCATCAAGGTTATTACAACCTGCACCATGGAAAGGGGAGTAAGGTCAGGGTTTCAGTGAGGCTGTCCAGACATGGCAGGCAGTTACACGCAGGCAGTACCTCCTCAGCTAAACTTCAACAGTAACATTAATCTAGATATTTTGCATTTTTACAGAGAGACCCTACAAGCCCAGTTTGCTAAAGACTTCCCCTGGTCCCACCTCTGTTCCTCTTGTTTTCTTTTTGTTGTTAAGTTAAACTGTTAAAATGGACTTTACAGCCCACTACTTCCAAGAACCAGACTTGAGTACTGGGTTCAGGAACAGTAATTTGTACAGATGGGCACATACCTCTTTGATTTCAAAATTAAGCAGCACATTGATTACATCTTCATTCAGTGGCTCTTTTCTCTTTTCAGACAGCATTCCTTCTGGACCACTCTTACCCTGTACCAAAACTGATCTCTCCATTTCTTTGGTTTTACCTGAAACATTCAATAATCTGGTTAACTTTTGAAATTGCCAGGGTTTGTTTAGCTCAAGAAACACATCCAACTCTTTCATCCATTCAGAGAGCTTACATTCACCTAAGATAAGCTGGCAACATGTCCCCAAGCAGAGCCTTGAACTTCAGAGCACGAAAAGGAAACAGAAACATGTTCTGGCAACAAGACAACTCTGCCATCTCAATACCTTGCTAGTTCCTTGACAACTCAGCCAACACAACTACCACATTTTGTCTGTAATGTTTCCAGTTTTTTGAAGTATCCAAGTATGAGCATTGTCCTTGGAGAATTAAAAAGAAGAGTTTCTCACTTACACACCTCTCAGATCTAAACTCGTTTTCCAGGTACTAAATGCTTTTCCTTACTCCTGACAGCTAACACACTTAGTATTCATGACAAACAAACTTCAGCTCTGACCTTCCTTTTGCAGGACTGATTTTGCATCAGTTTGTTTTTCTTCTGCTTCACCAAGGTTTTCTGTCAACACTCTGAGAAAGACATTCAAATCCTCTTGACTTAACACAACCTGAAAAGTTGCAGATCACAGTTCTCAGGAAAAAGACATTGCTCCTTAAACTTATCACCTGCTAACAAAGCAGAGCAATGCTTCCTGACAAGAAGAGTGCCTTTTTTACAAGTATTTTGTCAGCAGAATCATCCCTTGAATAACATAAATAAATTCTTTCAATCACTTATTGTTACAGTATTAGGAGATTAAAGGTTCTGACTTCCACAGCTGTATCCATACACATTGCAGCCCTTAACATATCTATGTTTTTAATACTTTCCTGTCAATGACATGCTACTTAATATTTCAATTCCAGTTTCACCCAAGATGTACCAATTATTGTCCTTCCCAGCACATAAAATGCCACAGAAAACAACTATCTTGAGTCTTTCAGGGGTGATGGGAAGGTATAAAGCTGCAGATACTAAGGCAAATACTTGCATTAATTTAAATTTAGTTGGTCCTGTCTCATGGCAAGGAATAAACAAGACTCCTTCACATCCCTTTCTGTTTTCCCTTTTAGTCCTCTCTCTTTTTCTCTCAGGTTATTAAATGCACACAGCAGTTTGGCTGTTCTATAGGATGCTTTCAAGCCTCTACATTTATATAGGTGGGGTCAAATCCTGTTACATCACTGAAACTCACTTCACATCTACTAAAAATTTGAAACTTATTGCCCCCTTGAGTCCAGAAATAACACAAGGATTAGTCCCACATTAAGTATTTCACCACCTTTTCACAAGACTTACATTCATTGTGTCCAGATACCCCGTGATCTCCAGCACAGGCAGTTGGTGAAACCAAGCTGCAGAGAGATTTCTTTTCACTGACAGGCTTAAATTAATAGGGTGAAGTATCTGAATATCTGGATGTGACAAATCTGTCTCCACAGTGGTCCTTGAAACACAGGGGGGAAAGGAAAACAAAACACACAGCTGGGAAGTTAGAAGTTCAGTCATATGTTGAATTTACAAAGTCAAATCTCAGTCTCAGATGCAATAAATAGTTTCCCGAGCAGAGCAGTTCTTTATTTTGTTATTGAATTGCCCTTAAGGTAAGAGCATTTTAACACTGATTATTTGACACTATCATCAACCACAGTTTCTAAGCAAGTAAATTAATATCCTATAAAATATTACTATTAGCAATTAGTGAGGGCATTATTTAGTGAAGTGCACTGTACCTGGACAGCTTCAGCTTTGTCAGCTGCACATCCATTTTGTCAATGACTGGAGGCAAGGAACTGCCTTCTGGAGCCACCAGGCTGAACTGGTTCTGCACCCTGATCAAGCCCAGGTCTATCACGATGGCCTTGGGGGACACTGAGGACTGGGGGATGACAATAACTGGTGCTTTCAGGTGAATGTCCATGGCCAGGCGAAAACTCCTCTGAGCCAGGTCCTTCACACTGGTGGCAGCCTTTTCTGCAGCCTGGGCTGTGGCAGCACTCAGAGCCTCCTTGGCTGTCTGGAAGTTGTTCAAGAAGGTCTAGAAAAAGCAGTTGAAGAGAAAGTAGAAATGTCTGTAAGCAGTTTTTTACTCTAGGTTACTTTCTTATACCACCAACCATGCTGCCTACCGTGTGGAATTTTCCTTGGGGAAAGTCAACTTGGTGCCTTCTGTCATGGCCTCTAATGGAGAATCAAAATAGTACTAACCAGTGCAACTCACTTATTTTAAACTCATCTTTACTGTTTCTTCCTTCCTAAGCTACAGGATTTCTTAGCTCGTTAGCTTTTAGGGATGCTTCATTTTTAAAGGCCCTCTTGCCCTCAGTGAATACTAATTCCTACTAAAGACAGTACTGAAGGAGGGAAAGCTCACTGGTGCTGTACTGAAAAAGCCAACATTAGGGTTCTTCAATGTGCAAACACTTAAACTGATGATTTTGCAGGTGTCATCACATCTAACCCTGCAGAAAGATTTGCCTCTAATGTTACCTGAGACACCTTTGCAATGAACTCAGGATTTTGCCAGGGTGGCGAGGGCAGCAAACACAAAACCCCCACACTCCCTTAACAGCACCAAGCTTTCCTCTATTTCCAGAGCTGAGGCTGGGAAGGGACCCACTTGCAATGCATTTGTTTTTTTGAAACTGAAACCAGTGACAGCTCACCGAGCAAAGACTGTTAACAGTACACATGGAAAATTAAGCCCATCCCTTCTCTTTCAAAAACTGAAGCTGCCACTTGTACTGAGGACACAAACATTGGAGACCAATCTGAGAACACTGCAGAGACAAAGGAAAAGAAGACTTACCAGAAGAGCCATGAGGAATTTGTGAAGGAACACTATCTGAATACAGCCCACTCTGAGAGATACAGAACCATCCACTTTTGACATGTCAGTGTAGGCTTCTCCCTCAGTGGCATGTGGATTTAATGTCAGATTGAAGCTGAAAACTTCATCTCCTACTATAGACACGGCCTAGGAAGAGAGAAACAGCACCTACCAGCCATCAGCAGCTTCTAAACAGGTCCTTAACACACAGAACTAAACAAATCATCAGCCCATCAGATGTGCAAGTTAGATTACTACTTCTTGAAATCCTTTAAACATCCATTCTTGTAATATGAAGATTATTCTTTACTACGTATCTTATTTGAAAAGACCTATTAATAACAAACCAAATACTTTAGAAAGAGTGGAATATGTATTACATTTCACTTTTATGCACATAAAACTAACCAAGAATCAAGTAAAACTTAAAATCTTGTAGTTGAGTACTTTTTTATGAAGGGTCCTTGAATCAACATCTGTGACAACTATGTCTTTAAGTCTGGCAAAGAATACAGTGTGACTTGGCTGAAGGCAAAGAGATGAGTCAAGACCTGTAAAGTATAAAAATAGAAACAGTAGTGTTGCATAGCAAAAGTGACACTTATTTTCAGGGTGGGGACACGTGACACCAGCAGAGGAAGTGAGAAAAGCTACTAAGCTCTGAAAATGTGACCATCCTACAGCTTTGACCAAACCAAAACAGAAACATTTCTAACACAGATACTGTCTCAATATCAGCCATCTCTAAAAATAACTGAGCTACTACTCATAGAAATACATTCACACAATAATCCATTTCTTAGTAACCAAGCTACTGAGTGATTTTATTGAGATTTTCTATCAGAATAAATGTTACTATATTGTATTTGAATACAATATATTTGCATTAAAAAATCTTGTGTGAATATTTCCTATGATTTAGAGATGGGCACAAGCAAAAGACTTGATGAACTGCACTCCATAATCTTGTATATCACACATTCTTAAATATCCATAACAAGAGAGAGTTTGGGCAGCTGTTAGGATGGCAGCTACAGCCAAACTTAGAAGTCAGCTCCCCCTCCCCACTCCTGTCCCCCACCAGGAATTATTGATAGTCCTTCTCAGGGTAAAAAGGAATCAAAAAAACAAAATCAAAACACGAAACCCAAACAAATCCCAGGGGTTAAAACGCAAAGAAAACATTTTTTAGCGTTTGTTATCCTAAATAATTCAGGTATACCAGAAAAATATCCAAAGCTTAGTACAATGTGAAAAGCCACCCATAATCTAACTCCTTCAAAGCACAAACCTAATTATCTGAATAATAATGTATCACATTTTTCTAGCTTATGATGGACAAGACTGACTTTGAAAACAAGACTACAAATCATGTTTGTAAAGATAACAATAAAAAAAAGGCAGATGCTGCCAATTTACACCTTAATTATCTTTAAGTCCAATTATTAACAGTTGCTTTGAAACTAAACTATCAGAACAGTTGCTACTAACAAAAAAATTTCACACCTTGTATCTTGATCTCTGCAATGTTCTTTTTCTCATCACAAATATTTAAACAGAAGGCATCCAGCTTGGCAAAGACCTTGAAGTCAAACACATCCTTATCCTTGGAAGGTCTAGCCACTAGAAATGAGAGAAAGTAGGATTTTCAAGGTACTTATAAGTCATATTTTCACTTGAACTCCTGAGAGTATTTGAGGGTTGTTTTGGTCTAGGGGCTTTTTGGCATTCATATGACTTAGTTTGGTTTCTTTCAGTATCTTGACTAAGTTTGCAACATCCCATCTTAGAGCAACAAGTCTTCCTCTGGAGGCATCTCTACTGCTAAAACACATCAGCATTTACTTATCACTCTGTGTCTGATATTACTCCCATCTAGCAATGGCTCCCTATTGGAACAATTTTACCTTTTCTAAATCAAGGGTAATTGCTGGGTTAAGAGGAAATAAACTGCACAGCATCCTGATTTGTAACATTAAGCCTCAATAGGCTCACTGCAGTGTTGGGATTTCTTCAGGTTATCTAACAGTTCCTGTTGCAGGATCCTTGAGTGGGAAGTTTACTCAAACTTCAAGCTTAGAAGAAATATCAAAACTTGGCAGCCTATTTCAGGCAGGCAGCACCCAGGTTTTGGGAGAGCAAGGATAAAGGCTGGGGAGAGTAAGGTGGATTCACTCAGAAGTGACAAAAACTATCTCTGGGGAAAGACCAGAAGCCATCAGACCTCACTGATGTGGTTATGCACCTTCACTAACCATAAGTGGCAGAGTATTAAACCAAGAGCTCAAATCTTTATGTGCTTTGTTAAACTGTGCACAGCAGCAGCTTGTTTTGTAGATTCGAACCCAGGCCATTTAAACTTACAAGTAACTCTGAACATTCTCCACTACACACCTCGTTTCCAGCTCACTTGATGCTCAAGTTTTGCCCTTAATATTAAAGGCAGTGCAGCTGCTCTCATCTGAGCCTGCGTAGAAATAAATTCTTTTTTTTTCTGTTTCAGTACTACAGGAACAGCATGATTTTCATTAGCTTAGCAAAGAACTTGGCTAGTTGTTTGAAAGTATATTTAATTGCCTGTATCAATAGCATAGCATAATCATTCAAGTACTGCTTATCTCCTTTATTTTACCAAGAACACTAAGATTATGTTGTTGTTTGAATCCTCTAAGCTGACAAAAATCTCATTTACCCAAATTCAAGTCCATTTGTGAAAAGGCTATGAAAAACATGAATAAAAATCTCACCTGAAAATGCTATTTATGATCCTAGAAATTCTTTCAGTTATTGGTTTTTTGGAATCAGCCCTCCAGCCTAGTGAGCCACAGACACATGAGCTTTCATCTTCATCTCACACTACAAAGCTAATCATGTTTCTCTGGATTTGACTGTCTTGCCAGCATGCAACACTTTTAGAACCATCATTTGGACAATCCCACTGTACCTTTTTTCAGTCTAGTGTCATCCTCTTGCTTTGCTTTCAGAGGTGTGTCTCCCCTGCTCTCGCTGCCCGAGGGACTGACAGCTGTCAGAAAACTGAGAGCAGACAGAAGGGCCTCTGTGTGCAACAGGAGGTTCAAGGATGAAAAGGTTACCTGTTGAAAACAGGAGACTCCAGATGACAAAACAACAACTTACAAGCGTAAGAGTTGGGCAGAGGTGCAAAAGCACCCAGTGCAACACAACAATCTCCTAGAAACAGCAAAGCTGCACATGTTACCAGCAACCTAAAGCAACAAGCTTTCTGTAAAGCAGAGAGGTGGGAAGCTTAGAAAATAAGAAAACCTAGCAAGAAGCCAGCAGCTGTCCCTGCTGAGCTATCAGCTCCTCAGTGCAAAAGCAGAGGAATATGACACTGGTGTGGTCAAACAGGAGCACTGGACTGCTCCTGCAGGAACAGCCCCACTGCAATGGGCAGTGGCAGGGCTGACAGGCACTGGGTACACAGACACTCCTCAACAAATCCACTGAGGCAGTCCAAAAGGTGAACAAGTGCCTGCTGTGCAGTTTAATAAAAGTTATCCACTTGGATGGGCTTGAAATTGGAAATAGAGCCCAAATGCAATTATTCCAGACATAGAAAGCCCATGGAAGAGTTGCAAGGTGACAGCAACACCTGCCAATGCATACAAAATTGAGTTCTCTTAACATCAGCACTGCCCCAGAGCATGAAAACAGGCAGCTCAGAGCACTGCAGTGGCAGAACTGTCATCCTCTGCTGTGGCTTCAGGAACTTCTTTTTGGCAAAAAGATTCCAGTATTGACTAAACTTCACAGATGAAATCTACGGATACTCTAAAACCATTAGGTGATAAGTGAAATATTTTAGTCTTCACACCAAAATATGGCAGGCAAAATAATGCCAAGTTACAAAGAGGGGGAAGCACCTATCACAGAAAACACAGTCCTTTGTACTTTATTTTCAGAATTCCTCAAGACACTCTTTGTCCTTAGACTGAAATCTCTGACTCAAAAGTACTATAGAAGAATTTGAGAAGTTAGGTACTTATTTTCTAAAAACATTTCCCTATATTGCAATAATTCTTAAGAGATCAAAGTCTCATCCTAGAGTCTACAACAAGTGCTGGAGAGGGACATGCAGGATTTGTGAGAAGTTCCCCAGCCATATTTCAGAGCGAAGAATTAGAACACAGTACCCTCTGCCCTCACCCCTGGATGGAAAATCACTCATAAATGGATTTAGACTTATTGAATTTAGCCAACAGAGTGGTGATTATGTGGCAGATTATAATATATACAGATTATCTGCCAAGAAGGGGAAAGACTTCTTGTCTCCACTAGTTTCCCATTCTGGGCATGTGAACTTCATGATCTCTGATGCAAGAGAAGATGCTTTCTCTTCTCTTCTTTGAATTTACCCACATGATCTAGCTACAAGTGTTCCATCACAGTTCAACAGACCAACAGACTGCTCTTCAGTGGTACAAAAGCTTTCAAGTACATTTGAACTCTAAATCTCCTGCTGCAAGGCTGGGAAGGGCAGGAAAACAGGAAAGTCAAAAAACTTATTCATTCCATTCTAAACAAGCAAACCAAAAGAAAATAAGCAATAAAATCTGCAAACACTCACTTGAATCATCTGTTCAGTGTTGTCAAAAGCTGTCTGAAACTGTGGCCCGTTTCTGTCAGCCTGAAAACGATGATTTGCATGAAGGTTAATATTAATTCCAACCAGGTACTGGTTGGTTCCTTCTTCAGAAGGTACAAAACAATCCAACTACCTCTGAATAGTAGGTTTAAGACTATATATAGACTACGTATTAAGAATATGTAGAGGTGATTTAAAAATAATTTTAAAAAGCTGTATGTATACCTTGATATATTCCACCTTCAGAAGGTCCAAGCCAGGTTTATCTGAGGAACTAATGAGATGAATAGGTGTTTTTTTACCTGGAACACACCACAGGAAATAAACAACAATTAGGGTCATTTCTGCTCTTTCAGAGAACCAAAGAATTTGTGCCTTGGAGGTAACAATTAACCCTCAATACTGTTTGTTAAAATACACTGCACCACCAAATATGAATCACTGGTTTCTCTTTGTTAAGTGCAAACTGGTGAATCTGTACCCCTTCTCTACCCAAAGACTGAGCTCTAAGCTATTTATTTACCCAGTAAGCATTTGGTGAGAGTGCAGAGCTTATCAGCTGTACCATGGGACAAACACTGCCAATGGACAGCTGAATATTGAATACTGGAACCCAAAAACTAGACCAACATTTGCATTTCAGTGAGCACAACAGACAGAAGAGCCACAGCTTCACATAACTGATATATATAAACACACACACACACACACACTTCTCTTCCATTCCTTATTACCTCCTATTTCATAGTAATCCAAGCTTATTTTCTTTAAATAAGACACAGCTGCTAAATTATAGGTTCTGACAGTAGCTTCTGTCCCCAGATGCATTACATCAAACACAAGCACTGTTTCCTCGGTTTTCTTTTGCTTGGTGAGTTCTACTAAAACCTGGATGAGCCAGAAATACACAGTTACACCATCTTCTCACATGTAGTATTCTCACCATTTAAACCAACAATGAAAAGAAATGCAAAACTAATGCTTTTCCTGCTTTGTTGTTATTTTTATTACAGACTTGAGAGTATAAAAAGAGAACGAGAAGTGATTGTGTAATAGTGACAGCTATAAACATAGAAGATATTTTGGGATTTGTTCTTTCCATGTGACCTGCTTCAGTCTGACTTTTGTTCTTCCAGTGCAGATTTCCCACCCCCCCACCCCCTAATTATGACTTGGTACTATTTTTTTCTACCAAAAATACTCCAACTCTTCTCTTTTTTCTTTTTTTAAATACATAATTCATCTGTGTGTATGTATTATGTTTTATTTATATGCATCACATATATATAAGAAATAACTCATATACATACCACATATAAATTGCCCACACATAGAAATATTATGTATATACTTGTATATTTTCTGTTTGGTGGTTATGTGCTTGCATCCACTAATCTGGACAACACTGGTAAATGAATACTGGATTTTTTAAAAAAATATTCTTTATGTAGAAGGTGAAAATAGAATTCCAGACATACCTCTTTAATTTCAAACTTCAGCTGAAGGTCTGTCAGTTCCTCCTGAGCAGGCTCCTCACTTCTTATTTCTTCTCCTTTAATTAGTGATTTATCAGTTGGTTCAGAGCTTTCCTCAAAATCAAAATACTCTTCTTCAGAGTCTACAGAAGTGAAATGACTTCCTCAGTGAACTTTTTCCAGAAACAGGATTTTTCCCATTCCAACAGGATTTTTAACTGCATGAGCAGTTTAAATCTACCCTGACAAAATATAGTGTAGATCCGTACTGCTCTCCTACCCACTGGGTGAAGGGTGAACAAAATTAAAGCCCTTCAAAACAAAAATGAAGGACAGCACTGGGGTCCAGATGCATCATCAGACATTCAGGAACACACATAAGGAAAATCAGTTATAAAGGAAGCTCCAGGAAAAAACTGTGCAAGGTTCCACTACAGGAAAGTTCTCCCCTAGAACAGTCGTGGAAATGAATGCTCAAATCCACTGTGTCAATACAGTAATTTCCCATTTGTTATTCTAGTTCTGCCTTTTCAGAAAAAGGAGAGTTTTGCTAATGCAACACAGTCAGAAGAACCAAATACAGCTGGAATTCATAGTTCACTTTCACTTGAAGAGGTTGCTTATGCATAATAATTATTAATTATTAAACATGAAGTGCCTTTGTTTTCTAGAAAAAACAAGTTTATTATTCTGAGGTAACATCAGCATCTTAAATCTTTTTATGCCGTTGAAGTTAGATATGACCAATCATACTCATCTCTACTGTTCTATGTTTTAGCACCAATAACATGAAAATATGAGCTATTCTACCTGTACAAAGGCACATCTGAGCTCCTTACCTGACACCATCTCTGCCAACAACTGGGGTGTCCTAAGTAACCCTTTACTGACAACAGGAATTGTGGGAATAGCTGGTACCTGGAAGGAGGGAAAAGAGAAAAATCCAACACATGATTTTCAGGTTTGTATAACTTGGTATCTCCACATTTTCCACTGATGGTGCATGTCCCACCTTGGCTCCCTCATATTCTTTGGAAAGGTCAGTTTTGCCAGTCCTTGAAACCAGCAGGACAATGCCAAAGGCTGCACAAGCCTGGTCTGAGTGAGCCCAGCATGTTCTGGTGGTGAGTCACAGTGAAGACACTTTGCTTAGCAATGTCTTTTTATTTTATTATTTTTTTTTCAGTTTTCCTTGTTGTAGTCAGCTTACCTTTGTGCTTGGAGCTGACACAGATGACTTCTGAGGCAAGGGAATGCTGTCAATCAGATCAAAAATTGCCTTGATCTTCTGGTCAGACAGTCTGACATGCACCAAAGGAAGGCCTCCCGACACTTTAAACCTTTTTTTAAAAAACAAAGGGATCAAACTCCAAGACAAAATGCACATGCCAATTCTTGAATTAAATCTTGCCAATGTGGATACTCAGATATAAAGATCACATCACTGTGAAACCTGTGATTCTGCACTAAAACAGGTCTGGAACTTAGTTTAAGCAGTAATTAGCAACCAGCAAAGGATCCAGGGAGCTAACTGGCCAAAACAGGGTTTGTAAACAGTAGTGAGCTATTCTTTAGTTAATACCTTCAAATTATAAAGTGTAACTGAACCTTTAGGGAAACCAGAGTTTTCTTTTCTGTAAGTACACAATAATTAAAAACAAATCTTCTCAACATTAATACATTACTTTGGCATCCTGGTATCTCTTTCCACCATGGATTTTGCCAGCTGTACATGAATATCCATAGGCTGCAAAATGTGCAACGTTGATGGATGTTTAAAACGAGCCTTCTTCCAGTCTTCACCTGCAAAGGGTCAGTAAATTCACATGAAAAACCATCACCTGCTAATTGCTTTAATCAGGGTATCATTAACTTAATCAAATGGCATCACTAGGATGGTAAAAAAAAACCCCACTCACCAACCAGAGAAACCTAAAACCATTTAGGTCGAGTATTTTAAAAGCTTTTAGTCTACTTTGTTAACACTATTGCCTTAGCAGCCTTAAAAGCCCAATTCCACACTAAAAGATATATCTAATTATTGAACCCCCAAAAAAGATGGACAGATAGACAAATTGACAGACAAAATACAAAACAGTAACCTAGCATTCTGTTGATTCCACAAACTCCAGGCATTTTGAGCTGTATTTTTTCCTGCACATGATGGAAAACATAATAGTTCTGTGCATTTACATTCACTGATGGCACCAAAGGAAGGAGGTGATGCACAAGTCCAAACAAAAAAGAGCAGCTGTTTGAAGAGAAACCAACCAAATTTTCACACCTATTATAATCTATCTTTTCATTACCTACTTGTTTTGCTTTGCCTTTTTTCTCTAAAAACATATTTATTACAGGTTGGAAGCCTTCAGCAAGCTTTTGAATAAACAACAAACTGCGTTGTTTTGTTACCTGTTCTTCCAAAAAGAAGCTGCACATTTTTTATTTCCACATCAAACTTGTCATAAGCTTTGTCCATAATCTCCTCCAGAGACGAAAAGCTGGAAGTTTCACTGCTGCCTTGATTTATGCTGTTCAGCTAAACACAAAGAACAAGATAAAATTAAGTCTAAATCTTACTGACATGTGCTGTTCATTCTAGTAAAGATGAAAAATATGATTCATAGGAGTTGATTGACATTTGGACCCTTACACAGAAAAAATCATTTCCCACTTCACTTATTCTTGATAAGTAATTTTTTTTTGTTACTTCTATCAATTCACTTAATTAAACTTGTGCAAAAGGAATTTTTTTAATCAGTTTACCATTTTACTGGTGGAATACAAGTAAAATAAATAATCAGTCAGCTAAATCAAGTTAAATTATTGCAATCTTTCAATTTTATAGAAACAAGGGAATCAACATTCAAACTCCAAGAGAAAAATGAAATTCTCTTTTATTAATAAAAGGCTACCATTTTACAAAACAAAGGAAACAAAAGTTCATGTGTTTTGCTGAAGAAATGAAAGATATGAAACGATGAGCATGTTTAAAACATGAACATGCTTCCTGGGGAGGATTAACTAATGCAAGTCAAAGACAACAACTCTGAACACTGATCAAATTGCTGACCCAAATGTACTTGGTAAAAAATATATCAAGTTAAAAACACATTCACACAGATTATCATCTCTGCCTTCTGAAAGCAAGACAGTTTCAGGTGACAGCTATGTTAAAAGAAAAGAATATTTGCTTCCTCTGAGCCTATAGGAGAGGTCATTTCCATACCTGAAATGTACCAAAGTCCAAAATGAGCAAATCTGAATTTTCCTGGTAGAAACCCGTCTGGGGAACCACAAGGTAGGAAGGTTTCAGGTTAATCTTCAAGTCAAGGACTTTTCGCATTTCAATGATATGAACTAACCCTGAAATCAAAAGGAAATTCAAATGCTCTTCCCAGGTGAAACAATTGTGCCAGTCAACATATCAAAAGGTGTTATTCATGTGAAAGATAAAGCATCTGGAGTCCAGACTGACTTCCCTAGCATTTACTGATTTCTCACCAAACTCAGTGCTCCTTCCCACAAAACATCCACTGATTCTCCAAGAAACCAACTCAAGGAAAAATCCCAATCGTACTATTTGGCCAGTGATCAAAGCATAACCAAAGTGTTTAGGTAATCACATCAAAACTTTTTAACACCTTCAAAGGTTCACCTTAGGTGAGATTTGTTATTATCTTACCTGTAGCAGTTCTTTCTTTGATTTCTTCCAGCTTCATTAACGTGGCTGTCGTTAATCTTTCAAGGTCCATTCCCTTACTTGTCTGGAAGAATTCTACCATTGCATTTATTGTTCTCTTTGGGAAAAAAAAAAAAAGGACAAGAATCAGCAATATATATAGAGGTCACTCAAGTAAAACCTCAAAAATAGAGCAAAGAGAGTATTGGCAGAGAAAGAGGAATCAGAAATAACTCAGGGCTTTGGTTACTACTCACTGCATCATATTTGACTTCCACAGGCTGGGATTCAATGGAAAGGCTCTGGTCAGCTGGACTGTCCTCTGGGTTAGTGTTAAACTCGATCTTAAGCAGAGAAGACTTGCTGTCCCCTATGGAGGCCACAAGAGATGGCACAATGTTGTCCTGTCTCAGGCCTGTAACATACCAGTTTTCAAGCTTTGCTTCAACCCTAAAGAAGATGAATAGTAAAAAATACTTAATTGGAATACTAAATACATCTAGGAAAGACCAGCAAGATGAGAAAGCCTTTAATAAAGCTCAGCATGACTAACATGTGACAGGTTTACAAAATTACATTATTAAATGGGAAAAATAAGAAGGCAAGGTGTTCACAGCAACACAGGTGTGTTACGTCCTCCTAATCTTTTGTTACCTGCAAAGTGGATTAAATAGAACTTTCAGGTCATGTTTATTAAGAAAATCAGTTGCAAGAGAAGAGAAAGGCAGAATATTTATGTTACATAAATAAAAAGAGCAGGAACGTTGTAGGAATGTTAACTCTGATGCATTGACATAAATATCAGTCACAGACTTGTTTTGGTGCCAATGGTTATTCTGTACTGACAGTTGCCCTGACAATAGGGTTAAGTGTCTGCAGGAAAAGCCTTTGAAGGAAGTCACTGAACACCACCAAGCTACATGACCTTCATTCATCCTCACAAGCACCTATTAGATACCAAACTGATTTTCAGGTCCTGGGTCTCCACCCTTGAAACCCTGACTTTGGGAGGCAACACAGTTTGGGCATAATCAGTGCCACGAGCCTGCCTCTGTTGAGATAACTTAATTATATTTTTCTCTGAAACCTAACATTAATAGGAGTATCTGTTCTCCTGTTTTACTCGTGCCAACTCAATTATATAGCATGCATTTATGTAAAAGAATTTCAAAGCTCTTCTTGGTTTTCTTCAGCATTCAGGCTGCACCTTTAATATTCACCACAATGGCTTTTAGCAAAAATGTTTCAAGAGTCAGCAGCTGAGCTGGTGATTTATGCATAAAGTCACAAGTGAAGGAACTGCAAATGAAACCATAAAAAGCGCCCAGACTCATTTTGCAGACACTGAAAATCTTATCCATTGACTGTCCAATAATTCATTTACTGACTGTCCAATAATTTGTGTTCAGTATTTCAGGTGTGCCCTCTCTTAAAACAGGAAGCTCTCAGGTTCTTACCTGAACACACAGACACAGTTTTTGATTTCTTTGGTAGTAAGCAACACATGCTTGGCTGGAGTGTGTTGGCCACAGCATTTCACACTGCTTAGCTGTCACTTCCCAAAAGTCATATTCAGCACTCTGACACTTAGATTCAAGAAAGAGCTTGCTATTGTTTATGATAACTAACAAACAGTCTTCCCTCTATTCCATGTTATTCACCAAATGATGATTTACAGACTGCCCAGAAAATTAAAAATCAATATACGACATAATGCACTAACCAAGAAAAAGAATTAAGCAGCTGGGGAGGGGGGTGGGGGCAGAGATGTTTCTACAAAAATAAAATACCAATCCAATTACTTGATGGCCTGTGCTCCTGGGCGCTGGGATATTTTGGTGCTCAGATCAATTATCTGCACTTTAAGAGTTTCTGCCACATTCTTGTCTTCTTTGATTGTAAGAGAAGTGCTTAACAGCTTCAGTGTCACAACATGGGCAACATACTGGTGAGAAGAACAGAGAGAATTAAAATTAGTCATCTCAATGAGAATAATTTTTCAGAACTCCTCAATTCAACAAATCACTGCAATGTGTTTTTTAAGTTATTCCAGGCACCTAAGGTTAGAAACATATTTCTATGTAGGATTCAAAGCACAATCCTGACTTGATTCAACTCTTATCAATCATTTCCTTAACATAAAACAGGGTAGTTCAACAAATGCAGAGCAAATCCAATCTGTGTCTCTTCAGGCTTGAGGAAGATGTTTTTAAACTGTGAAGCAAGCACAGCTAAACTGAGAACAAGCTACATAACCAAAATCATTATACTCCCATTAAATAACTACTTTTTAGAAGACATGGCATGTATGCCTTTGCTGTTCTTGCTGCTGAATGTCATGTCTTGATCTTGCCAAGAAAGGGTTTTGACTTCCCAATGTATGTACCATTTTAGGACTCTGTCAATCAGCAACTTAAGAAGAATCAAATAATATTTCCTATCTGAATTTGAAGCCTGCATTTTTCTTCAGGGTACTGAGGGAGATGAAAGCAGCTTTACACTTAATTTGTTGGGTGGTTTGTTTGTTTAACCCATCCCCATAACAAGTTGCTCACCTGCTTTGGTAAGGAAAGGTTGTGGGAGCTGTCACTGTATCCAATAGCAGTGAAAAGCTTGGCTTTCTCCTCTGGGGTCATTAGTTCATCAATAGCTAAAACCAAAAACCCACACAATTTGCACTTTATAAATAACAATAAGCACTTTTCCTCACATTAGCTGTACTTAAGTGCTGCTGATACATTTCATGGATTCTTCATATTGCACTAAGTGCAGATTGTAAAATAATTCACACAGCAGTGTCCATATACAGTGTTACATATGTAGCACAGAAATCAATATAGTTCTTAATCACGAGTTCCCATAATTCTCAATTATGAAAACGGCTTTGAGGAGTTTTATTAGAACAAATCTCTGATCCAGACAGCATATCACCAGAAAAAGAGTATTCCAATTGCTGCTAATTATCTCTATAGCTCTAAGTGCCATACTCTTCTCCTCAGCAAGATTCTGAGGCCAAAAGCATTGGCCATTTCAGAGGTTGCCTTATTTGCCAGCTCAATATTCAGTGAGTAATGCTGTAAAATAATCAATACTGCACTGTTTATGCCACACTCCCTCCTTCTGTATAGTAGGAAGCAAAACATAATATAACTTTCTTCTTAATGTATATAAAAACTGGGAGTCTCTCTAAACATTAGTGCATTAAATCTACACCTACTTTCAGGAACAGGGGATTCTTCATCTTCTTTTTTCCTAGATTCTCTTCTACCCCAGAAACCACCAAACCATCCTCCACTTTTCTTTTCTACTTCAGTGCTTTTCTTCTTCAGTAATTTTTGTCCTGATCTTATTGTCTGCAAACCAGAAATTAAAACACATTGGACAAAATAGGGAGTTAACAGTATTACTATTGATTGAAGCAGCCCCACAAGAAATAAAGAGCACTTTGACCCCTTAGACAGGGGCAAAAAGAGGATCAGAGTGGGAGGCAGGTTTATGTGTGTGTGTATGTGCATGGACAATAACAAGCATGTGTTACTTTAAACTTCGGTCAGCTTCTTCTCCAAATTTCACTGCCATTTAGACTACAAAAGGCAGAAGCTACATGAAAAGACAGCATTTAAGAGGATACAAAAAGCAATTACATTGCTTAAATCTGGTAGTAACAAACCTGAGGCCTGATCCTGTACCATTTAAAATTTTTGAAATTTTAAATTTTTTCAGTTCTAAATTTTTAAAATTTAAAGTATTTCAAATTTTTAATTTGAGCTCAAGTTTTTACTTCACATTTCAGAAACGAAATTCTGACCACAAACATCTCAAAAATAAGAACCATCATTATTATTTTTTCATCATAATTTTACACATATTCCAGATGTGTAGCCAAACACTGAGGCTACACTGGCATGAACAGTAAATCCACAATGCAATTACAGAGGTTAATTTTCATGTTGGGGGGATAACTACCAGTAGCATGTTCTCACAACAGGACTACTCCGAGCTGCTACATGGTTTTGATTTTACCTGCAGATACAACACTTTTCACACTGTTATATCATGAATCTCCTTGTTAAGAGTCACAAATGACTTCAAAAATAAAATGCAGTTAGAGACTTCATATACCTCCTAACAACTGTCTCTGAGTTACCTTCTAATTAGACTGGCTGTCCTCTAAAAACAGAATATCTAAAGGAGTAAGCAGGAAGGGAATAATGCAGAGCTAGTCTTGAATTCCCAAAAGTCAAAGGAATCATTAAATCAGGATCCTTCCACAACTGCCTGAACGGTACAACGTGGGGAACAGGAACTGTGCACACACTGGTAGGTTTTTGGAACTGGTTTCCAGGTTGACCACTTCCCTTCCCACCTACCTATCCTATCACACACATCAGCACAATTATTTTAAGATGACAAAACCATCCTATTTGAAGTGTTACAATATGTCTCAAACAAAAATTATCTCTTACCTCAACTTGTGCTTGTTGCCTTGCTAAGATTATATTGAAGACATCGAGCTGTCTTTCTAGGTCCTGCAAAAATGGATGATGAGATCATTTGCCTCTAAAACACATTTAGGAAAGGCTCTTCACCACAAATTCTCTAAGAGCTCCTTCATATTTACACTCCAGTTTCTTCCTAGATCTGCTCATTTCTTTCTAGGGTATATCCCCCCCCTCAACGTTCACTACAAGATGAAATCTGATGTTACACAGTCCAATTTCTTTTTATCAGATTACTCTTGCACTTTATTAAATGCATCCAAGCTTCTTAATCCTCCACCAAAGAGGTTTTATTTTAAATGGCACTTTACTAGTATTTTAATTTTCTTTGCACAGCAGCTTACACTGAACTTCAGATTAAAATGGTATTTCCACAGACCTCTTGTACCCCTGTAAAACCATCACCCTGGATTACTGAATTTTCAAGAATTATTTCACAATGGGACCAAAACATGCTTTCTCCAAAGAGAAAAAACTCATACCTGAATTTGTCTCTGAGTTTCTTCTGACAGTTTACTCTGTGTCAGCTTGTTCTTGTACGTGTTTTTGTAACTCTTCAGAAGCTGCCTGTGTTGTTTGATGTTACTCCACGACCACATCCGAGTGTGTCTTCTGATGTGAACTTCAAGAACACTGTCACCTGCGTACTTCCACCTACAATAATCCCAAATTTGTGAACAACTTCCCATTCCATTTCTGCATTACAACTTACAAGAGGTAGTTTATTAATATGCAAACTTCGTTTACCACTTGTGATTTGAGTAACTTGGCTTATAAAAATTTTAATGGTTTCAACACCACTTTGATAAATAGACTGAGGGCTTACATTTAATGCCTGAAGAACTACAAATCTTCATTCTTTATTGATTTCTGCAGGTTTGCACACTAGGGGTGTAACAGTTTTAAATACACTTAACTTTGATAATCAGCATCAGTTAACACTTAGAAAAAAGTCAAGAAAATGCATATCAGTTCAAAACTTTAAAAAATCACAGTTGACAGACATGTTTCCCTTGTACTATACATTCGCTAATTTTTTTTCTTTAGTCTTTCTAAAATTACATTCCAGCCTCTAAGAACATTGGCATGTTGTTCAGATTTTGGGGACTTCAGCTTAGCAAGTGAGACTTTCATCACTTGGATCTCAGGGCTAAGCAAAGCTCTGTGAAAGTTAAAATGCTATATGCAATCTAGTTTTAAACCTGATTTTAACCCCAGAGGAGAATGAAGAGGCTGGAGGGGGCTCCAAAGAAGGCAGGACCGTTGCCATCTTACCATTGCCCAGCGTGTTTATGGAGAGGGACACTGGGCCTGAACCTCCTGTACGGGGCGTTGCGAACCATGTAGTCGATGGACTCCAGCAGGTCGATCATGCTCAGGTACTGCACAGGAGGAAACAGGGCTCTCAGCAGGGGTTCAGGTTTGGTTTAACACTGCCTAAACAACTACCATGGTCTTCAGCATTCCTCAAACTCCACAGAAATGCAGTTTCATTAGTATGTAAAAGTGGGAAAACTATACCCGCTGCTCTCCAAGGACACCCCTGTACAAACTTCTGGTGTCTCAGGCTTCTCAAGCCAACCACATTCACTTGGCAATGCACAGTTCCCCTCATTTTAGAACTGCCTTTGCATTAGTTAACTTTAGTGCTACTGTCTCAATATACACTTTGACATGAGTAAGAGCTAAAAAGCTCTCTGGCCAACTGAGTGTAAATTCTCTCTGAATAAATAACAACACTGACACTGCTGGGGAGACACCTAAATTAGTTCCTTGGTCCTTCAGCAGGTTGTGTTGCCAAAGCCAGCACACTCCACTCATTCCCAGCCTTGCTTGTATTTTGCCATCTCTGCAGTTATAACATTGGCTTGTGGTTTGATAAGATAAGGGCTCCCCATGATTCCATTCTCTGTGTGAAAGGAATCCTATTGCAAGGGCTGAATGCGGATCAGGTGGTCCCCAGAGGGTCCCCAGAGAAAGAAGAGTGTCAGGATTTAGCACCAGGAAATTGTTACACAGAGGGAAAATGACTCCAAGACATTTCCCACAGGTACTGCTAAACAGCTCAGACATTCTACTTGCATTTAAGCAGAAAATTCCCTAAGAAGAATGTTTTCCAGGGAAAAACCCCGACAGTTCATCACAAACTGCAGTGGGGATAACAAACACCAAACCAGCTTACCTGTGGCTTAGTGAATTCAATGACAATTCTCTGTACTTCCACATTACAATCAATCTTGGGAGTTTTCAGTTCTACTTCTGCATATGGGTTGATATACAGTCTTGCAGAGGCTGACACTGGTCTAAAAACTTAAAGATTAAAAAATATTGAGATGGATTTCATATTTAAAAAATGGGAAGCAACAGATCAACCACTTTGTACTGATAATGTGTGTTCTAAAGACCCACAGAATTAGGACGCAATTCTTACCAACAATGAGGATAACCCAGAATTATCAACAAGCACACAGGTACCATCAGGTGAGGGGCTGTTGCACACCAACATGCTCAGGACAGTTATATTCACCCATCCCCAGCTTACTTACTGTACTGGTAATCTTCTGGCTGGTTACCACCACATGGAATTCCTCTTTTCAGCTGATCCTGCAAAGGAATATGACACTGTCTAGCAATTGCTCAGGAGCTCTCTTAAGCTTTGAGTACACAGGTATTTTACAAGGGCCTCCTCCCCCTAAATGGGAAATCTAATACAGCACAAGCACTTCAGAGTGAAGGGTTTAAATATACCAGGTTAAAAGAGAATTTTAAGTCTCTTGTACGAAGTGGAACGTTAGCACAGTTTTTATTCGACTTCTAAATCTTCAATAAATGTGTGTTAATTTAGAAACACAGTTCATGTGTGCACTCAAACATGTAACATAAAAAATCAAGCATTAGTTCTTAAACCCTTTGTAAGTAGCAGGAGCATCTATTCACATTCTACCCTTCCTCATGCTTAACACATAAGGAGGCCACTTGAGCCTATTCTGCAAGTGTGAGAGGAATCAAAAAACAGAAAGAAGTCAGGAACATAACTGAACAGCCAAGAAGCCTGACAAACATCATGCTAAAACTAAGACTTAATTCAAAATGAGGTCTGCCTGATGCTGTGATTTTTAGGCAATTCTTGAGAATGCTTTATTCATGCCCAAATATGTTTCAGAATTGCAATGGCACAACCAGCCCAAGCAGGAAGCCTGCTTTTAGGGAGACAAACATACTAGCTATTACATGAAGGCAGATGCAGTGCTTGTTCCCCTTCATATTTTAGGAAAACCATGAATATTAAGAGTTGTTTTGACCAGGAAAATATTTACTAACTGCAAATTTCTTCAATGTAATTCTTTTCCCAGTTCTTTATTTAAAAGCTGCTTTGTATTTTATAAAAGGTACATTTTCTCATTAAAAGTATTTATATTTCAACCTATTTCCCACATGCTGATCTATATTAACACAAGTTGAACTTCTATGAGATTAAGGATAAAGAGCTAATCTCACCACCAGCCATATACTCATGTTATTTAAATCTGAAGGCTGTTGTACAAAAGTAACAGACTGCTACAGATTACACAGCTTATTCTTACTACAACATGGACCAATTAGCTACTATGATAAATCCGATTTGCTGATGATGCTGATAAAATTAAGACCAAAGCAGCCTGTTTGGATGGAAGACCTTGCTCTGCAGGAAACAAGCTGCACTAAAGATTACATATAAAATGCATTCAGGCATTTAACACAACATTACTAAAAAGGACATATTATTTGCTATCTGCTCAGTTCCTGAGTTGTTGTAAAATTCTGAAGCAGAAAGGACTGAAGTGTGAGAGAAACAAGGAGAAAACATCCACAGACAGGTAGCTGAAGTAACTTGGCTATTATTAAACAACTGGCTGTTTCTTATTAAACAACTGGATAGTTTTAAGCACTCCACAGTTTTTATTCAACCTTCCATGTCAGAACCAAGCTCACCAGGTTAAGTGCAGATTTTGCTAAGGGTAAAATGAAACAAAAATAAAGATATCTGTAAAAGATGAGCACAAAAGAAAAAAGTAAACAGATAGTACTGTACAAGGACACAAAGAACACCTTTATAAACATAACGGGTCAAAAACTTATCATTTCTAAATAGGGGTTGATAACAAATGAGGTTCACAAACAATTATTAGCTGTGGATTGACATATGACCCTGAGTACAGCTGACCAAAGAGTGAGGAGTGGGGTAGAAATCAGTTTTGAATACCACAAGAGCACCAGATTGACAGTTGTGTTGCAGGATCTTACCAGGATCTGTTCCCGGGAGCCATGGTAGTACATTGTGCTGTGGACGTTCCAATAGGCACTGAGGCTGTCCAGGCACAGCAGCTGCACAGGAGAGAGAGTGCAACACGTTGCAACTCTGTATTCAACTGCCCCAGGAACTCGGCTTTGCATTTGTGCAAACAGAAAACAAAGGAAAGCAGACTAGACAGCAAAGCCACCATTAGCAGCGAGATGCATTTAACCCTACAATCCTATTTTGAAATGAAAACTGAATTGCTGAAAAGCAAGTTCCTAAAGCACAAGTTCATGCACATCTGTTAAACATGGCTCTGGATTACAGGGGAGCGGGTGCACAAAACTGATACTTGGCCTAATAAAGAAACCAGGACTATTAAACCCTTCTTGTATCGTTCCTGTAATTCCTTAGGTCTCTGCACACTCCTTTCAGCACAGGCTGGGGGGATGGTTGGAGGGGTTGGGCAGGGAGAACACAGACTGCTCAGCTGCCAGAATCCCAATTACCTTAGGAGTACAAACTGGGGTGGGAAATGGCAATTTGGCAACCTATTGAAATCAGAGTTTCCATGCAGACTTGCTGTGTAATACATCTAATGAGGGGATCAGCATTCACATTTAAGGGAAACTATTGGAGTTTAAAGTTATGCCTTACATAAAGCCAGTTATTTGTGCTCTACTTCTGTTTAAATACACAATAAAATAAAGATAAACAGGAGAATTCACAAAGCAAACTACTTTTCCAACTTTTTTTAGAACCCCAGATGACTACTCTATAGATAGGTGATTTCTTCACTTGTGTAGGAAAAAAACCAAAATACATTACCTTGTATATTATTTTTGCAGCCTCATTCAGAATAGAAGGTTTCCAGTTCTCATTTGTTGTCTAAAAGTTCAAAGTGAGAGACGTAATTTTGTGCATCTTAGTTACACATTTGTGGGTTTATCCTACACTTTCAAGCAAAAAATGCATCGTTTGGGTGCTACATGATCACAAATGCCAGTTTCTCTAGACTGCATACACACAAGTCAAAATAATATAAAAATTTCAGTATATTCTGATATTCAGCTCCTTATCCTACCCATAAAAATCAGTAACAACTAAGGCAAACAGAGGTTAGCTGAAATTTTCTCTCCCCGTTTCTCACAAGGCCTGGCAAAACACCACGTGTTCTTCATCATCACGATGTGATGTTTGCCCTAATTTATTAGACCTGGAAACAACCTGCCCTATGAAAGGAAGATATTAAAGATCACTGGGGTCATTAGAACATATTCAGCTTTAAAGATCACTGGGGTCACCAGAACAAATCACAGGTCTGGGAAAGCGTGATGTCCCTCCATCCTCTTCCCTCTGCTTGCTCAGACTGCAGGTACTATTTGCATGAATAAAAGACTGTCTTGGCTTCCAGCTGTTTGCATCCTGTCACTGCATCTGCTTAATATGTTACTTCTCCTTTCTGCTGCTCCAAAGACAAGCGAATTGAGAACACAAGAACGGGCATTCACACAATTACCAGCAAACTGAGCTCGCCCAACGTCATCCCCAGGGAAATCGGACACTGCGGGTCTGTGATCTGTGAAAACAGAACAACAACAGAGATTTAATTCTCTTGCTGCAAACAGTTGGGTCATTTAAAGTTGACTGAAATCCTGAGCTGTTATGAGAACCTTCCTTTGCTTAGTTATTCTGGCTGAAACATTCTTGGAATGCCCTAAGACAGGCCTAAACCAATATGGCTGCAGTGTAAAGACTTAGGCCTTCAGTTCAACTGAAAATTTCCTTTTGGCTTTTAACATCTTCATATAGGAAAGAACTAAGAACTACAGGGCACCACATCTCAGTCAGCTATATCATTTTATGACAGCCAGTCCTCCAACCTTTTTAAATTTAATGCCTCTGAAAACAGTCCCCAAAAAGGTTTGAGAAGCACTATTATCCAATGCTATTCTTTACATTCAATTATCTCATCACAAACTGCTCTATCATTTTCCTAAAGGAAGCTGGAATCAGACTGCAATAATACCTGTTTGGTTCATATCACATGTCACTTAAGTGTTGCCTTCAGGCTCATCCACAAACCCTCCATTTTCTGCCATTCTGGACTCTACTCAGGGCACTGAAAAACTCTACATCAACTGCACACACTGAGATCTGAGAACAGCCACCATCCACTTTTGGTGAGCAAGACAGCACTGGACAAGGGGAAAGGGACAATATCTGTTTCACAGATCCATATTTCTGGCATTTAGTCATGTCTGGGGTGCTTTATTTGAAGAGGTGCAGAAGAAACCAACTTTTTCAAGGTGACAGAGAACAGTTTCTCTCGGTGGAATAGACAATCTGGGGGATGAAGGGAATATGTTCCAGTTACTCACATCATCTTCATATTTAACGTGAATGCCCGTGATTTTGACTTGGACATTTTTTATAACTTGAGTTGCAAGCTTTTCTAAGAAAGTATCCTTCTTCTCCTCCTTTGGTTTGTCTAGAAATAGAATTTTTAAAAAGCAGCATTCAGTGTAGTAATTGCATCTTGAATTTGACCACACCAACAACTACACCAATATAAATATAATGTTTCCTCTAATATACCAGTTAAGTTTTCACTTAGTTAGATTACATATTTGCTTTTTTTTCCTTTTCTGCACATCCATATTCTGAAGATGTGTTGTCAGCTGCCTGTGTCCAACACAACCACAAGAAAATAGAATTTAGGTTTCAGTCAAAACAGTTTAGCTTACAGCAAGTTGTGGATTAATATATTTCTCCCCATTCCTTCCAAGGTAAAAGGTTTTCTAAGTCCCTCAGTGATTAACTGGGGGTTTCAACAAGCAAATAGATAAGACAATATAATTTAGCACAAAATACCCTTGAATAACCAGATGAGGATGAGACTTGCAACAATAAGAGACAAGTCCCTTAAAGCCTTTCATACAACACTGTCAGAGAAAATTAAAGAGCTGGGACATCATAAATGAAAACCAACAGTTACTCTGAAATATTCCATTTCTTCTACACTGGACTTACACTGTGAGCATTTAAGTGAGGTCCATATCAGACTTGGCACACAGGGATACTGAAATTTCTGCTGCACAAGGCAGGGCAGCAGGAATTGCACACCCACACCAGCCCAGCATCCAACCAGGGACAAATGTACATGTGCCAAAACAAGGAGGAATATTTAGAATCCCTCATTATTTCATTATAGGGACATGACTCTAAATTGTTCTCTCAGGCTGAGTGCCTGAACACTTCCCCTGTAGCATGGCTGCATGAGCAGCTTGTTCTCCAGCTGTCCTGACAGGCTACACTGTACAGTGCCCTCCTTCCAAAGTGCCTGCTCCAGGGAATGCCACTAATGAGTCTGCCAAGCTTGTACATTTTTGTTGGAAATGCTACAGATGGCTCAAGCTGAAGAAATAGTCAAGGCTATCCAAGCACCTTTTTTAACATGCAATGCACTCTGCACACCACAGGAATCTGACTTTGGACATCTTGCTATAATGAGGGGATAACTTCTTTTAAAGTTTTAAGAGAGGCTCAAGAAATCCATTTAAAAACAAAAAGACTTCACTATTGAATGTGATATAACACAATTTGAGTGTTTGATTTCAACTGAAAAAAATTAGTCAGGAACTCAGAAGAAACCAAAACATTGTATCACTTTTACATGCAACTCACATTTCCTCCTGTTAATTATTTTTTCACAACTCCCACTCTCTATTAGCAGATATCAAAACAATACTAATTAAAAAAAAAAAAAAAGCTAGAACTTCCCAAGAAGAGAGAATCAAGGACTCTCTTCAGCCTCACTGGATCCAGAGAATGGATAAACAGTAAAAAAAGAGCTCTCTCCAATTTACATCCTCTCTTTCAAACAGCAGGAAAAAAGGTATCACTGCATGAATAGCCAAGACTATGCAAAACTAATACAAACAGAAAGCAAGAAGAAGGAAGTCTGAAAGTCAAAAGTCATAACTGTTACCCACCTTTTGAGTGGTCATGACCTTTAAAGGGTCTCTTAAAATGCTTTTTGTACTTTTTACGCTTACGTCCTTTGCCAGTGCAAGCAATTTTTTGGGAGAAGGATAAAATTCAAGTTAGTAAAGCAGAAATGTAAGAAAGCATAAGAAAACATGGAAGAAAAGTTTAGCTTGTCTTAAAGCATAAAGCCTTAGCAAGGTCTCATTAAAAGCTTTAAGAAATTGAGATCTGTTAAGGAAGTAGCTACTTCTTACAGCGTAAGATATAAATCTACAAGAAGCTTCTACCATAAAGGGCATAACTTCCAAGCTGAGATATTTGAAATATATGTGGAAACCCAAAGAGAACTTTTCAATATGATTCTCACGCTAATCAACACTATGGTGTGAAAGCAACCTGAAAGAACAACTCCAGTAACTGCAAAACAGGCAGAGAGAAATGATGACTAAAAGCTTTATATGACATTAAATTCCCTTGTTTGCATACAAATGATGACCCACACTATCATAACTTTCAATAATTAAATAATGCTCGTGCTTTTGCCCAGTTCTAAGGCAAACCAGTTTGGTGAGTTGACTGTTTCTTCCCCCTGTCTGGGGGAAAGGCACTGGGCAGCAGTGCTGCCTGTGCTTATCTTCAGGAGGCTGCAGCCCCAGAAGGGTGGATCCCACTGAAGAGAAGGAAGCAAGTGTAACCGTACCTACTGTGGGAACAACTCCTGCCATTTGCAGGCCTGTTCAAACAAAAGAGGAGAAATTGCCTGCTAAGATTCCCCCTGTCTTGCAGGTAAGGTGATCCAACTACAAATAATAAAAAGTAAAAACTATGGCAAATAGAAATGTTTTCTTTTGGATGGTTCCTTTTAACATTACAAGTAATACCCTATAAATGGTATTTTAAGAGGACAGCTTCCTTCACTTACTATGAATTTGTAGGTCTCAGGCTTTCACTGCCATGTATGATAAAACTAAGGCAACATGATTGTCCTCTTGATCACCCACACCATTACTATAGGCAAACCAAATGTGTGTTTTTAAGCTCATTCTAAACCTGTGCTAAGAGAAAAACCCAGGAAGTAATTTTGGCTAAGTGTAAATTCCTGAAAATTTTGTTAGAGAAATTAAAAATACAGCAGGTACAACACAACCACAGTTCCTCTGAATTTCAGTGGAAGCTGTTTCCTTGAGAGTAATCCAAATAAACAGAACCAGGGGAGAGCATGGCAATGCCTTCAACCTGCTGTGGTTCAGTTTGTCTCTCCATGGTTTCAAGACAGCCTGAACTTCCTTTATCTTAAGCCCAGACACATTAAGTCAGGGTAATTACTCTCTACTTTACAAACAGCTAAAGATAGTCTTGTAAAACTACAGCAGAATATTGTCAGCATTCTTGAGCTCCATCAGCTGACTGATGGAAATCTCTTTAAGTGGTTTTTTAAGCATCTTGAACAGCTACTCTATTACAAGAGGACCAGTCATTGCAAGACTCCACTTGAATCCACATTCATTAAAACCTTACTTCTAGATCCACCAGTATGTGGATGTTTACAAACAAGTATTATGTTCTCACTGCTACATTTGGTTGCTTTGGAGGGGGGTGCAAAAGGTAACTAACCATGCATACCCACCAGGCTTGGTGTCCTTGTAAACCAGACTCTCCAACCCATACAGGGAATCTTGGGAGTGAGTGCCTTGGTCCACATGGCAGCAAATAACAAAAAGGGCATTTGGTTTAAAAGGATGTTAAATTCACAAAACCTTTCTGACACATTAGTATTTCCATTACAGCATGTGACAGCCAAAGCCACTTCAGAACATCTGCTTTCCAAGATTACCCACACAGGAAAACCATGCAACTCTCATTTTTTCTTATAACCAGCAAAAGACAAGACCTGCGAGCTTTGGTCTCCATATGAGGTTTGATACAGACAGGGATTGTTTCTTAAAAAAGAAAACAGTTTCATCAGATTGTGTCAGCAGTTTCCACTTCCCCATCACACCGTGCTGCCCCCACAGTGACATGACCATTTTGCTCAATATCTGAACAGCATGTCAAAAGAAAATACCCCCAGAACTATTTATACTGAGAGACTCTTAAATCCAAGTACTGAATCAAGATTCTAAACACGTTACTATAAATTGAGTACTAAGCAGAAAAGAAAATACAGCTGAGAATTCATGAACCCTGACAACTTTCTATTCCATATATTTCCTAGATTTTCAGCAGTATTGTGTGGTCTTAAAAGCCTACAGAGAGCTGAGTTCTTAGAATTTTATGGTTCAGTATGGTACAGCAGGTTTCTGTATCCAGCAAAGGCAAAGGACCTGCTCAAGCAAGATCTCCACAAGTCCTCCTGAGTACAATATTCCAGCACAATACCAGAACACAAACGGCTATCACTGAAATAGGATCACACAATAACAGAACATCTCCAGCTGGAGTTCAAAATAATCCAATTTAAATGTTCCTCCAGCTTTTCCTTCTCAAGATTGAAAGTTTAAAACTGCAAAACATGACTAAACCTAATTCTTGTTCTTTATATAAGGAGTTGGGCTACTGAGGCACCATTTTCTGTACAGTGATTTTTTTTCAAAAGCCTAACAAACCCACAGGTGCACAAACTCATTTGATTATATGAAGTTCCAGAAATGGAATTATCTCAAGCAGTGCCCATTAGATTAAATTCATCTTGGTATATTATCCCTTCATCCCATTGATTCTGGTGCCAAGAACTCTGGCTGAAGCACTGCTGCTTTACAAGTGCTACAGAACTGAGGTTAAACCTCCACCAACATTCCTTTGCCCCAGAATGGCTGCAAAATTCTTTCACCGGAGTTGTCTCAGCTTTCATACCATTTCTGGCATAATAAAGACAAGAAATAAGGCAAAGCTGCTTTCTTCACTGCAAACAGATTGTCAGATTGCTGTCTGAAGGAACTGCAAATGTACCTCTCAAACTAGCAAAGCAGGAAAAAGGCAGTAGGCTCTCCTAGAACTGGAAAATTAAACAAGCAAAGAGATTACACCCAAGTGTTTTTCCAAGTGTTTGAAGCATCATCTCACTTTCAGTAACTTTTCCAAGACCTGCACTATTACAGCTATCCTAGAAATGCATCTTCAGAACCATTATACCAGCCAACAAACAGGTCTCACTTCAGACGAAAACTTCAGTGAGAACTTCCTCCTCCAACATATGTCACTACCTGTCACTGGTTCTGAGCTTGGTTTCTGCCCAAACAAGCCTAATTTATATCATAATTTTATTAAAGGTATTTGTTACAACAATATAAGCAAACAACAGCAAAACAAACAAAACCCACCGCCATAAGTCAGGGTAATTAGACTTAAATATCAATTATTTTAACCTATAATCAAACCTCTAACATTTTTTATGACCTAGAGCTAAATTTTAAGTTTCCTATGTTGATGCTCAATTGTTTCCTTGTCTCCTGAATTATTTCCTGCTCAAGAGTCTCAATTCCCAAACCAGTCCAAACCCAGTACATCATAAAAGGACAGCAGAAACTCAAATGAAAGCGCTACTGCAGTAAAACTTTACAAGCCTGACCATTCCCCCTACAGATTCCTTTCAGCAAAGAACAACCTACCCCATGCCCCTCTAAAACACACAGTTAAACATCTGTTATTGAAGATCTAAACCAAGATAACAACATTAGCCTCATGCAATGCAATTTCTATTGCTGGTCCTGTTCCCTTAGAGCTTTAACGGGGGGAAAAAAAAAGAAGGAAAAGGATAAAAAAGACATACTACATTATCAAATTCCCATTTCCCATAGAATCTGACTGGATAAATAAATATTAAACAAACAAATAACACTTCCTTAAAGCTTTAGAGGAAACAGGCTTTTCAAAGCACTGTAGTAAGATTAGCTAGACACTTGAAAAAACAACATTTATGAAGTCAATCACAAATCAGGACTTTTCTTTCATAGCACAGCTTAAGTCCTCAAATTCCACTGGAGATTTGCATCATTAACTCAGTACCTTTTTCTGCTGCTTTCTGCAAGGCTTCTTCAATTCGTGCCAGTTCCTTTTGTTTATTATCCTGTAAGTATTTTTCTTCCTTCTCTGCATCATATTTGACACCTGTAAGTCAAGTTGGGACAGCTTTAACCCTAATTCTCAAGTCATATAAATGCATTATCAAGCAGCACACACCATATACAACATCATATTGCAAAACACGTTGTTTGAGACAAAGTCTGTTCCAGGTTTTGTTGCTGAATGCTGCTTCCAGCCTCTAAAATTGTTATTTTTGACACAGCAAGACACAACAGGATCATACCAACAATTCAGCATTACTTCACAGGAGAATTTATCTGTGGAAATTAAACCCCTAAGTGTGGTCTGTGGCAATATAGCACAGGTTTGTAAGTTTTACTACACATATATTTGACATTGTATAAACTTGCAAGTTTGCTCTGATTTCAGAGAAAACTAGTCAAGTTCTCTGACCCTCTTCCCTCTCCCTAAAAACAATACTAATGGAATTACTACTTGCAACTCTTGCCAGTTAGAAGCAGATAAACTATATCATGCAACAGCCAAAGCTCTAAACCATGCCAGAAAACTGGATTCAGGATAAACACATTTTAGAGGAAACTTGGCTGTTGAATTGAACTTGGAATGGATACAACCAAGGATCTCCATAAAAGCAACAGGTGTTGTTTTCCCCCACTCTTGTCTACTAACTTGTCAACATTTGTCTAGAAACTTCCCTGAGGGAACTGAATGTAGAAGTGGCAGCTCACATGAGCTACTTGCTGTTTTATACCCATTTACGTGGTAGCCTGAGAGATTTTTCTTTCCCATTAACTGTTGTAGAAGAGTTCACATACTTGCTCCAGGAACTATCAGAAGATACAAGCCTTCTAGAGTTGCAACAACTGCCTCTCCATAGAGATTCTTCCAAGGAATCTTCAGAGTAAGTTTATCTAAACAAAGCAGATAAAATCACATCAAAACAAAAATCTACTGTGCTTAGTCCAAACAAGCCCTTAGGAACTGAAGAGGATTAGTCCTATATCCTGATGTCCTGAATATCTTGGAAAGCAAAACACGTGGGCCTGAACATTTCATAAAGCCCTTGAAGTGATAAAACACATGCAGAGGAAACATAAGCCATAGTTTTGAGCAAAAAGTTGCAGTTTGAGTCAGAATACTTCATATCAAAACCTGAGATCATGACTGGAGTTCAATTCACTGGGATGAACATGATTTTCCCAGGGAAGTAGAAGAAGAAATGCAACATATATACACCTCCAACAATTGTTTCATGTGAAAAAGCAATGCTGACCACCAGGGAAAGGAAATTTTTAAAAAAACATCTAACTAAGAGTTCCTAAACCTTTGGCATATCTGTCAGCTTTGGGAATCTTACTTAAATTCCTCATAGTCCTAATCACCCCTTTAAAGAGTCATGTCTATACTAAACAGCTCCCTTGATCATTCCTGAATCCAGGAAGAACCTCTCAGACATGTTTTTCATACCAACCTGTAAAGTTACACAAACAGGGTTTGCCAGATAACATCCATGGCAGTCACACTGAATTTCTGTGCTACTTTCAGGGGTGAGCACAACTACACTTCAGAAAGCTTCATCAACAAAATTCAGGGGCAGGACTAACCTTAAAGCCTGCATTAAAATTTCCATTTCAATACTTGCATTGGAACTAAAACTTACCTATCTGACCAACTTTTATTCTAAAAGGTACATCCAGTTCACTCTGTAAATAAAAAAAATAAAGTATTAAACAGATCCATGCATTTTAAAGATAAGCTTGTGCCTACATAGAGAAATGAAAAGCTACTTCTTTTCTGGTGGAAACTCTTAAGAGGAAAACAAAAATAATCCAGACAGCAGCAGACATGCAAATTAGGGGGAAAAAAGAAAAAGTTGGATCATATCACATTCCTTTAATCCCTTCTTTTTCAAGAAGGTGTAGGCTACTTCTCTAAAAATGGTGTAAAATACTGACCTTCCTTTAGTTACTTTTGCATAGAAATCTAACACACTGCAAATGTAAAGCCACCGGAAACATCTCTTGTTTTAAGTTCCTGCATTTGTCTTGGCACACTCTCAGCTCTGGTCAGACACACCAGTGACTTTGCATTTTTCTAACTCAGAACTGCTGGAATCTTAATCAATCCCCAGAAGAAGGAATGGGTGTACAAAATAAGCAACACTTCCTTTTTTTATCTACCATCTTATGAAGATATTTGTAGCGAGAGTTTTTTAAAGTACAACAAAGTTATCAGGAATGGATGAAATGGGCAAGTAAAAGTGAAACTTCAGAACAGTGAAGGGAAACCAATGACCAGGTCATACAAAGATCCAATGTGTTTTCAATGCACAGGAGAGTAACAGTTCTCTTTAGTGAAGCTTGAAGCACAATAAATATTGGAGTGAGATTCTCTCAGCAACGCAGGTGTTCATTAGCTCAATTAAAGAACATGAAAATCAGCCAAGTCATTTGTTTTTCCAGACAACATGGGTACTTAATGCAAGCTACTTCTTGTTTTTCAACCATAGCTTCTGTTTTTCTCTGTTCTAGTAACATGAAAAAAATTAGAAGCAGTGAACCAAGAACTTACTTCCAATAACCAGTAAAAAAGGACACTGTGTATGCTTTTGTGATGCTACAGCAAGCAATATTTTATCCTACAACTTAGTCTTCAGACCCATAACAACAATTTTAAAGTTATTACTTACTAATGCATTCTCCTTGATCTGTAAATTGTCAAGTGCCACATTACCTGTTTAGAAAAAATAAAGATAAAAACAGAACATGGGACTTAAAGCATTATGTAAGTTGGAACAAGGAACACAACTACGACCTTCCCAAGTATACATAAATAAAATCCGAAAAGCTTATCACAGCTACAGAATAGCACAATAAATGTGTAATTTGTAACAGTCATTAAACACTGATAATAGACAAATTTTCAGGTGGAAGAGATGACAAAAATATGACCAACTTAGATGTCTGCGTGTTTCCACTCTATTAAATACACCCACAATAATAGAGAGTTGTCCTTATTATTCACATAGTTGTGAATGATGGCTACAGTTCTATCAATGTAGGGTAGACTTGGAAAATTGTATCTTGTTTTTCATGATTTCACATAACAGAAAAAGCATGAATCACAGAGCCACAAAAACACATGCCTGTTTACACAAACACATTAACTTTTTTTGACATAGGCAACATAATTGGATTTCCATAGGAAACACAGGCACAGAATTATACCCGTGGAGAGCACATGTAATATACCTCTTAGTGCTTTAATGCTAGATTCCTTAGAGCTATAATCCATTTTAAATATAGGTATTAATATTGCACAAATGTTAAAACACTTGCAATACATGGTAAGAGCATAAACAAGGTCACGAGAAAAGTCTCATCCCTTCCGCACGGGAGGCATCTAAGCCAAGCCAGCTCCTCTAGGCAGCACTTGGGCTGGTTTTTACATGGCTACAGAGTAGCGAGTTGAAATGTTTGATACAGTCTCTGGAACAGCCGCTCCCCGTCCCTGCGCTGTCCCGGCTGCCCCACACGCGGTATTTACCCCACAGACGAGCGGGTGGGACGCGGCCCCCGAGCGCCCCACGGGCTGCACCGACACCCCGGGCGCGGAGCGGAGCGCCCACAGCCCCGGCAGCACACTCGTGCTTCAGCCAGCACGGCGGGAAAGAGAAAACGGCGGGGTCATCGCTGTGCACGGTTTCCTCCCTCGGAGCTCCGGGGCCGAGCGCCCCACAGCCCGACCGAGGCGGGGGGCAGAGTCCGCGGGCTCACAGCGACCGCCGGCCCGCCAGGGAAACGGGGCGTCTGCGGGCACAGACCGCCCGCCCCTCACGGGGAACACAGACCGACTGACCCTCACGGGGAACACACACCGACTGACCCTCTGGGAGGGCCACGGACCCACCGCCCCTCACGGGGGAACACACACCGCCCGCCCCTCAAGGGGGAACACGAACCCACCGCCCCTCTGGGAGGGCCACGGACCCACCGCCCCTCACGGGGGAACACGCACCGACCGCCCCTCACGTAGGGACCACGGACCCACTGCCCCTCATGGGGGAACACGGACCGAGCGCCACTCTGGGAAGGCCACGGACCCACCGCCCCTCACAGAGGGGCACGGACCCACACACCGCCCGTCCCTCACCGCGGCCCGCGGCCCCGCACCTCGCCCTCTCCTCACAGGGGGCCGCAAACCTACCGCCCGCCCCTTGGATCGGACGGCGGCCCCGCGGCCCGCGAACCCCTCACGGGGGCACCGCGGCCAGCGAGACGCGCTCCCCGCCCCCGGCGACAGCGGCGGGAAGGGGCTCCTTACCGCCCCATATGCCCAGCTTGAGCTGGGACTTGTTCAGGTTCTCCACATAGTCGCCCAGGAAGCGGTTCAGCAAATCCGCCACCACCGACTCCAGCACCATGGCGGAGGCGGCCCCTCAGCCGGCGGGAGGTGAGCGGAGCGCGGGGAGGGGGCGGTGAGCGCGGCGTGACCCAGCGCGGCGCGCCCCCGGCAGTCAGGTGACGGGGCGGGGCGCGGCCCAGCGCCTGCCGGGCTGGCGGGGCGGGGGAGCGGGAACGCTGGCGGTGCCGGTGCCGGTGCCGGGTACGGACGGAGCCGCGGCCCCGGGCTGGGCTGTGGCAGCGGGGCGGGCAGAGCCGCCCCCGGGCCGCGGCGGGTCCGGGCGGCGGCGAGAGGCGCCCCCTCGCGGCGCGGGGCCGGCGCCGCCACAGCCGCGGAGAACCGGCCGCGTGAGGGAGGAGCGGCCGCGGCTCCGTCCTGGCCCTGCCCCTGCCCCCGGCACGGTCCTGTCCCCGTTCCCGGCCCCTCACCCGCGGGCACTGTCCTGTCCCCGGCTCCTCAGCAGCCCTGGGCTGTACCCTCAGCCCCCCAGGCACCGCCTGTGCGGGGCCGATGCCGCCCCAGGTTGAACCCTCTGTTCCCCTGGGATTGACGGGACTTGTGACTACGGCTCCTACATAAAAAAAAAAAAAAAAAAAAAAAACTATTTCTTGTTTTAAAACTATTAATTAAGCTATTAAAACTGCTAATCTAGCAGTTCAGGTGACACGGAAACTCACAGAGGAAGGGAACGCAAGTGAGAAAAAATCACAAACCCCAAATTTTTTGAGAGTTAATAGCACTGCAGACAAAACAGGTAAGAGCTACTCTGTGTCATGAACCTGCAGGTCAACCCTGGAACAAGGTTTTAAATCTCAGGGAACTAATCTCAAACTGGTTCTGTAAAGTCATTCTGAACTCCTGGGCACAGCAGTTTGTAGCTCAAAATGGCACATTCTATCTAAAAATGTGTTCCAGAGAAAGGAAATCAATATTAACAATAGGACTCAACCTCAAAGGTATAAAAAAATATATCAAGACCACATGACTATGATCAGGGTGAGACATATACTGCTTTAAACAGTGCACAGATGTACTGTGGAGCTTGGTGCAAGAGGATGTTACGGAACCACAAATTCTTGAGGGAAAAAGAGTAAGTAAGCTGACAAAGGACAAGTCCATCAGCGACTGTTCCTCTGGTTCTATTACAGCCTGTATGTCAGGCTTGCAAGCTCCCTCTTGCTGCAGTTGAGGTCAATTCACAGAGCTTTGCTAGGATCTCCTTTGACTTTAGTGTGGACATACACAGGAAATCACCTCACCCAAATAATGATGTGTCAAATGCATTTGTGGCTTGTTACACTGTATGTGATAAACCATAGAGTCCAGTCCAAGCAGCACAAGAGGATTTATCACCTTTTCTCACACTGTAAGAGATAAATGGCACACCTGGACCCCATTACTATACATATATACATGCCTACCTTTCTTGCAAGCAGTTTTTAACACCAAAGATTCAATGGATAAGTCAGACCCTTATGCCACAAAGGCCAAAGTTCAGGCCTGCAGCAGCTGTTAAACACAATGGTCTGGGTCAGATTTGACTGGGGAAGGTGACAGTGCTGGAGAAGCAGCACAGAAATGCTTGGGAGGTTCATCAGTGGAAGGTCTCTCCTTGTGCTCTTCCATAAGCAGACCCAGTAATTGTCATGATGGATCAGTGCACACTGGAAGCCTTTTTCTCCCATGTATTCTGGCAGTTCTTGCACAAGGACTGTTAAATACCTTATTAATAGTTGCAGTATTGCCCCAACATATCTGAGCATAAAAGTTCTTCACCAATTAATTGATTTCTGCATATTCTAGTATTTGAAGTAGAGAGTTTTAATAAAATATTACAGGATTCTCATTTTGTGTCTATTTAGCTTCAGATAAGCTAATTGCTCTTTAGGTAAACTATAGAAACCGCATAAATTACATTTTGTATTCAATTTATTTGTTCACTTGTTTTGTGCAGTGTTGGCTGTTCAAAGCTATTCCTGTCCTAAGGAAGTGACACGTCAGGAAATTGTGAATAGAGCTCCTGCTGCTATTCTGTTAGGTAATAGATTTTCATTTGTGATTTTTTTAAAGTGAAGTGTTAAAAGACTTTATCTTCTGTATATGCAAAGCCCAGCTGAATCACTAAAGTTTGAGCAAAAGTACTGGCTGACCAGTGGCAGTTCATGTTCTTAATGCATGTAAGTTTAAGAACAATCATGCAAATCAATGGTATTACATTTTCTCTGTAACAATTATACAATACAGCCAGGATGATATATCCATTTTCTACTTCACTTTTCATAATGGTCATAATTTCTGCACAGCTAAAAAACCAAAGGAGAGTTAATCACAACTATAAAGGGTGTTGAAAACCACAAGAAAATAGCTTGTGTGTGGTTAAATAATATCCTGATTGACTAAAGTGTTTAGCTGAAGAACTTAGAGAACTTTGTGAATTTTTAAAATTGTCTTAAAATTTGAGGAAATGGCCTCAAGTTGTGCCAGGGGAGGGTTAGGTTGGATATTAGGAAAAATTTCCTCACCAAAGGGTTATCAGCATTGGAAGAGGCTGCCCAGGGCAGTGGTGGAGTCCCCATCCCTGGAGGCACTCAGAAGACCTGTAGATGTGGCTCTTGGGGACATGGTTTAGTGGTGGCCTGGGCAGGGTGAAAGGCTGGACTCCATGATATTAAAGGTCCTTTCCAACTGAAATGATTCTATGCTTTCCTAGCAAACACAGGGAATCAAAAATTGCTCCTGAAGTAATGGGATTTGACCTGGAAAAGAACCCCAGCTAGCCACATTTGTGTCAGATACCCTGTTTCAGTAAATCCTACACAGATTTCAGAAAACAAAAGGAAAGTGGAATGGAATTAAGAGTGGAAAACCTGTGAACATGGCAGCTTTCATATATATTGCTTGAAAATAAAGATACATATTTTTGTACCTCTGTTACCAGATAATCCTTTGTTAGTCTGCCTGAGCCTTCCTTGCTCCTTAAAAATGACATTAATGCTCTGTCTGTTGGCAGATACCATTCCTTGTGTGTTCTCAATGAAAAAGGTAAACAGTCCAAAACAGGGGGGGGGAAGGGAAACCACCCCAAAAAACCCTCATACACAGTTACATGACGTAGGAGTTCTGTATCCAGGAGAACAGACACAGGACAAACAGAAATATTGATATTTGCTTACGTTTCATTGAATACACAGATAAGGTTCATCCTCCCTAGGGAAAAACCCCTGCATTCTACTCATTTTTCCTAAATACCAGCATTGAATAGACATGACTGGTTTGATAAATTTGAATAGAATCCTTAGTTTTACTCAGCTGAAAGTCATCAAAAACTTGTTCTGGTTGATGCATGGAGGCTCCTTGTATGCTATTGTAGCACTTGGTTAAATAAGAGGATTTGATGATTCCATCACTGGATACTAATTTACTAAATAGAAATCACAGATACAACTCTATAACACTGTGTGTTTGCTATTTATGTGGCAAGATTTGATCACACCTCTTAGGGGAAACCTCTACCAAAAATTGAAACCTAAAAAAAGACAGGAAATCTGCCCTGGAAGTATCAGTTAAAGCTTCAGTTGTATGAACAGAATTACAGACTGCAACAGCAAATACTTGTTTAGTGTTGCCTGTTACACCATCTTGCATAAATAAATCACAGTCACAGCAGCTCTAATGCCAGTCTGGGGGGGGGGACATGGACTGGTGGCTCAATAGCCAAGCTTTCTTCTCCTGTTTGACTGCTTTATTGTTATAAACTCTCCAGCCATCTGAGTGTTGGCAAGTGAACAGATGGCAAGTTTTACCCACTGTGCCTCCCTAAGCAGAAGGGGGGAAATCAGCCAGGTAATGTTGCATCAACTCTCATCACAAAGTCTACAGAGGGGACAGGACTTTGGGATGAGTTCCATCAGACAACTTCTGAAAACCTCCAAAATCTGGTTGTGCCACAGCCTCTCTGAGCAGCCAGTTCCTTATTGACTCTGATTATGGGGGGTGTTTTATTACCTCCAGCTATTGAGGATTTCCCTTCCTGCAATTTTTGATTGCAACAATCTTGGAGGTAACTATATATTTAGGGCACATATTTTTGGGCCTGACAAATGGAAGAGATCAGTATACAAGATTTTGCCTTTTCTAAAGCAAAGTTTAGTATTTGCAGAAATAATAGTATTTGATATGGGGTTTAATCTTATTTACCTTTTGATTTAAAAATTTTATAGTAACTTCATTTTTCACTGTTTTTAAGCTTGTTTCTAAGTAATTCATAGGAGATTTCAGTGCTGAATGCACTTGTAGAAAATAAGCAAAAGGAGTTTAAACAATTATGTCAAATACTCAAACTCCCACATTACATTACTAGAAGAATAGTTAAAATAACTGCTATTACTTAGAAAACTGCTAAGTAACAATAAGATAATTCTCAGAAAGTTTTGCAACACAATTATCTTAGCAGTAAAACCAACAGATTAAGATATATTAAGATGTCTGACACACACAAAAGATGCCAACACACAGCAATCTGCTTTCCCTTTTCCCTGCTGACAGCTGGAGTCTCAGCTCCCAGTGGAGAAGAAGTGACATCTGCAAAAAGCTCTGACACTCTTTCACTGTGTGTCCTCTCTCTGATTTAACAATAAAACATAAAAGACTTGCCATGCACAAATATGTAGGAACTAAGTGACATGCAAATGGAAGCCTGTCTTCTTCATCAAAATAACCTCAATCATCTGCAGAAACCCCAGTTTTGTTTCTCAGGGTAATTTTAAGCCAGATATGTTGTCTAAATCCTGACACATTGATTACATTTTTCCCCTATAAAAGTGCCACATCTGTTTCTAAATAAATAAATAAATGTGCAACCTTTCCCATTATCCTCCAACCTTGCATAAAATTATCCTCTCTGGATACTATGAACAATTTTTCAGAGAAAGCTACATTAAAAAAAAAACCCACACGAATTCCCACTGACTGTTCTTTGTTAAAAGCCTGGACCCAAAGCTTTTTATAGCTTTCATGTGATTAGAACAAACAAGGACATCACAGTGTAGATACCACATGGTAAGAAATAATGCTGTATCCATGGATGAGGATAACTCCACAGACAATTGGACTATGCCAGGTGGGTTTCAAGGGAGTACTGCACCTTATCTACACCTAAGAGATTTATTAATTAGAATCTGCATTTCTGCATGAAATCTCTATGCCATGAGGCTTAGTGTTTCTTATCAGTATTGATCACATCCATCTCATACCAACTGAGATTTGGAATATAAATTACATTGCTGTATTTTATCCTCTGTAAAAGAATCTTCAAAAAACATCTCAGTTCTATCATAAGTAGAATCTAAGTTGATTTGTCCTGAAGGCTTTATTTGACAGTATTTCTGAGAATCACAGCTTTCTGATTCAGTGATGTGCTGCGAAGATGAAAGAGCCACTAACTATGTAAGAAAATTGGTTGAAATAAAAATGTGCTTATTTTAATGAATATGTTGCCTTTAATTGGGGGAGGAAGCAATTACAGTCTAGTCTGGAGCAAACAGATTTTAAATTACAAGTGTGATTTCATTCACTGGATAAGAACTTGAACTTAGTAATTGTGAAAGCATTCATAAACATCTATTAATCCAAAGCCAAGCCATTTCACTTCCTAAAAATTTCAGTTCTTTGCACTTGGACATTGGAACAGTCCTCCAGCGAAACCCACTGAGACATAAATGATAGAACTGTTAGAGATACGTTTTCTGAGGGGCTTTTCTGGAAAAGTGATGACTGATATTGAAGAAATGAGATGCTGAAAGGTAGCACAATCACTTATTTATTGCCAGCCACAGTTTGATTTGGAAATAGTTAAGAACAGCAGGAGGTTGCACAGTTACTGTTTACTAACAGATGGAGTGAATTCCCAGATGTGGAGGTCAGTCTGTAGCACAGTAAGGAAAAATTCCAAATGTCCTACTTACTGTGAGTTAAAAAAAAAGAGTTTCTTTTTTCTCATGGCAATCCCTCATACTCCAGACCTCACTGAACTACACAGTGCTGCTTGTAGTTAAAATAATAATGAAAAAATTGATATGCAAATTGAAATGCAAAATGTCACAGGAAAAACTCTGAAAAAAAAGATCTCTGAGGTGGGCTAACTGCTTCAAAGATAAATGTTAGACAGCAGGTATTATTCCAAAGAGCTGTTGTCTTCAGGTGTCTCCTCTAGGCCATACTTCTCTCTCATGGCAATGTATGTACATTACAGAACAAAACCACCACCAGGTGGGACTCTTTGGTCTCCTCTGTAAGTTTAAAATTATAAACTCTGTTACAAAGTTAATGTGTGTTAAAAATTACTCCCGGCACTTCATGAGAAACAGTATTCTTTTCAGCAATTTTTTGGCTCAAACCTCTTGGTGCTTATCAAAAAGCATAAGAGGAAAAAAACTCCAACCATTAATTAGAATTGTGAGAAGGGGAGAAACCAAGCACAATGTATAAACTTTTATACTTTCCCATTATCCAAATAAACAAACAAAGCCGAAAAAGCCCATTTCTTATATGGTCCTGAATTGTCAGTGGCAGCTGAGCTTTGCAGCATTTGCAACACTTCACAAAACGGCTTTTAGGACACATAAAATGTAGTATAATGTCTGGAGAGCTGATGAGAAATTAGCCTTTCCTATAAAGTAGGACTGTTTATATCTGGATGGCATGAACCTGATAGCCATGGTCACAGCATTGTCAGAGGCAGAAGTACAATAGGGAAACACCTAAAATAATGTTCAAGGGATCTCAATTTGTCATAAACTGTATCACAGTCTGAAATGATTGCCTTGTGCAGCTCTGCTCCTTCCACTGGAAACCCCACATTTACTTTCTGTGCGTATTTCATCACATGTAATGTATGAAAACGTCAAATTTTGGAAATTCTGACTTTTTCTTACTTTGTTGCACAGTATGAATTACACTTATCACACAGAAATTTATGTGCAGTGTGTAGTTAACATGAATCACAGGCATCTGGGGCAAAGTGCTTGCTATTAACTTAAACTAAAAAAGAGTAGTCCCACCATGAGGCTCTACTGTTTCACTCTACTGTGACCATTGGCATAGATATATCAATAATGATATATCAATATTTATAAATCAATATTGTTTTATAAAGTCAGAAGCAGACTCCAGAAGAACTACAAGTAGACACTATGTAAAAAAAATTGTTATTGGCAATAGAAACAAATTGAATTATTTACATTTTGAACTTCATTCTAAAAAGCTTTTCAAAAATCAACATGACAACAGAGAATAAGTGATTGCTACGGTTCTTTGTTAGCAATAATCCAATTAAGCCTCACAAAAAAGCCTTAGAGATGAATGCAATACTGAACTGCTCTTCCTTCCACACCCACCATTGTAATTAGATTTGTAACAGTTCGTTTCCCTTTGTCCCAGGCTGCAAGGACCCACCTTTCCCTGAGGGAGAGTTTTTCTCCTTGCAGACAGGAGTGCGCTGACATCACGCCTCTACAGTCCTAGAGAGGTGAGAAGGCTGCTGGATTTGCTAAAGGAAGGTTTTTCCTACAGGAATGGAGTAGGAAAAGAGCAACGATTCCTAAGTAGTGAACATTATAGTCACCCTAAGGGAAGAGCTGGTATTAAACAGAGCAACAGCAAAAAGTCAGAGGGGATAATACAGCTCATAGTCAGACTGCTGGGTGGTTAAAGAGGTTACTGGAGGATTTTGCTTTTCCATACACAGTTCAATTCAGCAAAGCTATTTGTAAGACAATATATTGATTGATTCCCTTTTTATAACGATGCAAAGAACTTCTTTAATCCTATTATTTTATTATGTTCACTAATCAAATAGAAATTGAAGCCGAGGTACTTGTTTGTTAGAAGTTCCCAAAAAATTTCAAAAATGTAGTCTGTTATGACTTGTTCCTGAAAATAATCTGAGCCTAGCCATTATGACAGGCTTAAAAAAAGACTGTTTAATTGAAAGCCTGTCTGTTCTTGAAGGCAGAGGGGATTTGTAGAGATATCCAGAAGACTGCATTTGATTTTTTCAGTGTATAAAGGGGCACAATTTCACCTAAATGTCTTCAAAAATCTGCAAGCAGAAGCCAACACCAAAAAATGAAAAAAACAACCCAAAGTGTTAGTTGCACAAGTTACACAACACGATAAATTCTCAGGTCATTCTGCATGAAAAGGGGAGGGATATGACCTGATATCCCATATTTCTACGTGTTGATCTGGTTCTAAAGGGCAAGAAAGGACAGGCCAGCAAGAGGGAAGGGGTGGGGTAGGGAAAAAAAGAAAAAAGAAGAGAGAGATTTCCATGCAAGGAAAAGGAAGGTTTCCCTGTCAGTTGTTCCTGGTGGTTAAACCTTTGACAGTAAAAGCAAGACAGAGTTAGAAGCCTGCAGAAAATGCCAACCTAAATCTAGATTGTAGCAACTTATTACATCAGCCATTTCAACAAGTTGGGACACAGGTGCAACACAGGAGGAATCCTAAAATAAATTATAATGCTATTAGTACCAATAGTGTATTTGACAGGTTTATTTTTGTGTTTCTTCTATTATGGCAAATTCATTTTAATGCAAAAAAACATTTTAATGCAAATATGTTCTTTTGTTCTTAACCCTTAGCACTGAAGCTGACCCAGGGTTCCTCTTGCACTCTGGTCAAGTTCTTCAAGAGATACAAAATGCACAGTTCAAGCTGAACTTGTGCAGCCTGTGTGTGTCCCCAGAGGGTCACTGTTCTCCAGACCCTCCAAGGCCATACTCAAGAGCAGGTAAGCTGCTACTTTTGGAGACACATCTTTCCACACACCTCAGCGAGAGTGCCAAGACAGCCTGAGGGTTCCTGTAACCTCTCATTACAGAAGAATATTTTTATATTCCCACTTAATTGTTGAAACTATTCACATGAGGACAAACTTTCGAGTACTGTTTTTCAAGTTTATCTAATTCCAGAGCTAATCATATTTCAATTGAAGGTAAGTACATTTGCCATTCCAACTTTATTGTTTTCTGTGTTTAATCTGGGTGTTCATTATACCAGGATTCTCACACAAGAAGTATGTACAGAGCTGGGTGTGAGTGGCAAGTTATCAGGTATTCCACAAGCAAGGCACTTGAAGGTTAAGTCACAACATATATTTCAATATTGTACTTGAACTCAAGTACTCCGTATCTGTCCTTAAATTCTGCATTTTTCAGTTCTTCTGATAAGGGATACTGAGCAGCTCAAGCCTGATTTTAAGAGCAAAATCTACCTCAACTTTCACTCTTATATTTGGCCTTCCCCTTTTCTCTAAAACTTGGTATTCCTTGGCTTTTTCTAACGCTCAGATACTTAAGTTGTAGCCAAGAATTGCACCCCTTTTCCCCACAGGCAGTGCAACAGTCCTGCACTGCCACCACGCAGAGAGGAGATTCATGAGAATGTTTATACTGCTTAAGTGAAACCCTGACTTCATTCCCCTTGGAAACCTTAACAGTGATAGTTCATAACGTTGTTGTACATGTCGAGTTTGACACTCAGATTGTGCTAAACCTCTGGTTTTTCAGAGCTGTAATACAACTGTGAAGGATCAGAAAGCTGTGCTACAGTGTCCTGGTCACCTTTCCAGCAGAGGGACTCCTTGTTTGTCACATCTCTCCTGTGCCACTTCCTTTTCCTTGTCCTTCGTTATGGTATGAGGAAAATGCTTTCCATCAAAACAGAGAGAAGAATCGAGTTCTTTGGCAATGTCCAATTCAGGTTGATTTTTGACAGTTCTAGCTGTATTCTAGGCTTCCCAACCTCTTAGGTAAAAAGGGAATTGTCCCCACAGCCTCTTCCATGCTGCTTGGGAAGCAGGAAGGGCAACCTGGCCTAGACTGTATGTTAACTACTTGTAGAAAATATTGGGAAACACAAACCCTTTATTTGCAGCATCTTCCACAACCCTAAACACCAGCATTCAGTATTAAAGTTATTCACAGATTTAGCCTGATTCCAGAAGCTTGCCTTTCCCGGGAAACATCACCCTCTGAACAGTCAGCATACGTGACTTGGGAGTGCTGAAGCTTCTGGATACCAACTGCATTTTAAGTTGCTGTACATATTGTAAGCTATCCCTTATCAGGAGGAAGCCATTTAATAATACCTAATAAAAATAACAGCGTAGCAACTACCTTTTACATGTCATTGGGTTTTTTAGGTGAAAGGTTGTACTTGACAGATGAGAAAGAAATTAAGAGCCTCTGCTTACCATGCTTCTCATCTGCATTTTTGACAGCAGTGAGCCACATGTGCTTTTTGTCTGCTGTTACTGTAACAGAGGCACTCTGTTAAGTAACAGACGTGTCCATGAATCAGGCACTCACATGCTGTGCTGCAGGAGTCTGTGCAAATCAGATTATCTGAACGACAAATCTCTTGGTTTATGCATTTTAAGAATTCAAAGTAGCAATCCTGAAGTACAGACACACATCAAATGTGTTACCTTACACATTACACCAAATCCTAGTCACATAACTGGCTTCCCTGCGTGGGCACAGGGATCCATCTGAATTCCACTGCCAGTTCAGAAACCTCTCATTTCAAAACTTTCTTTATTTTAATCTCAGTTTTAAAATCCTTTAAAATACCAAACTAAATGTTTTTGATCCAGCCGAGACCTCTAAACAGCAATCTCCAGCACATCCTGGAGCCTGCCTGTCCATGCTGCCCTTATTCAACTTACTCACCTTTATATAATCCTAAATTCTGCCCTGGTTAGATACCCAGTTGTTTGGTGCCAACATTAAACACTTCTCCTGCAGACAAGCTGTGTCATTTCAATTTTTATTTTATTCCTCTAAACTGCACAGGATAAGATCTACATGGAAATAAAATTAGACACTCGTTTCAAAAGCATATTCCCCATTAACTGAGAAGCAATTAGTAAGAGTGGAGCAGCCAGTCCTCACTTTAAACATCAAGGACTGCCAAACATGGAAGGTATCTCCTGATCCTCTGGAAGAAGTTGGAGTCAGCTTGGAGATGCAGAGTGATTTCTGCCCTGTGGGGCCTGGGAATCTCAGTTAGTTGCTGTGGGAAAATTCCATGGAGTAAAACTGGGAGCTTGAGATTTTTAGATACAAAATACGGAGCCAGTGAGCTGAATGTAGCTTTGCTGAGCTGAATTTTGATGGCACCCTGCTTCTGAAACTTGTCACCAGCCCACCTCCAGTCTCTAGCAGAGTTTAGAAAGATCCTTCCACTATTCTAAACTTCATATGAACACTCTGCATACACTTCTGACACTCAAATGGTCAAATTTGAAAGTGATGCTACTTCTCTTGAGACCAAGAAAAATCTTTGAAGTCAGTGGAATAATACTGATTTCCATGACACAGTGATTTGGCCCATAAGCACATCAAATGTTATCGACTTTGACAACATACAGTTTTGAGAAAAGCCATTTTAAATCATAACACTCTCCGAGGCAGAGCCATCCAGAAGTAAACAAAGCTGTTCCTTGACACTCAAGCATTCAGGGTAGCAGGCACTGAAGTATCCTGCCACCTAAATCCTTGAACTCTGGCTGGCATTCGTCAACATGGGCATGGTCTGACAGAATGAACATCACCCAATTTCCCATCTCATTACAACAAGACAATCTGCAGGATCAGATGCACTTCTTGCCCAATGCCCTCAGTCAGCTGCTTTTACCACTGAGGTAAAAGTTATGCAGGAAGGAAAACACTGAGCAGATGGGTGTGTTTACACAGCAGTTAAACTGTGTGTGCAGAAGCACCACTTACAATATTTCTGGGAAGCAGTGTAGTCAGGAAAGGATAAAAGCATATTAGAATTAATAATGGCGTCAGGCAGGTCAATCATATATGAGTTTTTCAGGCTGTGATTGGAATTTTTTTTCCCAATTTTTGTCTTCCATAGCCAATGCCAAGAAGCTGTATAAAAATTTTTCCACTTACAAAGTATTTTGAAAAGCTGTAGTTTTTACTGAATATGTGAAAAACACTAAGAATATGTAACCGTAGAATGTTAGACTGAGATTTAAATAGATCAAATTTCAAAATACAACCCAGTTACATAAGTAAAGACAAGAGATGGCGACTTAGAAAGACACATTTACAAAATTTCAGATTTTCTGTTTATGAAAGAAAATGAGTGTTCAGATTATTCAGAAACTGGAAAACATCAGTGAACACAGAAGAATTATCTTGAAAAATACATTTGGCAAGTAAGTTATTATATGCTCTCAGATGAACTAAAAAAAAAAAAAAAAAAGAACTTTTCCAGTTCCCTAACCTCAAATAGATACATGGGTCCTTTCTGAGATTTTTGCAGCATAGAGACCAGCTCTGAACAGGACTTAAGTTTTAAGATTTCCCACTTGAGGAGGACTGGGTCACAAAGGTTGTGCACAATTAAGTTGACTGTCAGCCAGTGCACAAGATCAGACACTCCTGGTTTGTAGGGACAGTCCACAATTAGCTGAAAAGCAAACCTCAACTCACAATCCTGCTCTTTAAATGGAGACGGAAAAGGAGTGATCTGAAGTTGGCCATATTGACCTACAGTCCTAAGGCTGGTCCACAGATGAACATTGCTGCAAACCCTTGGCAAACTTTGTGCTCATGTAGAGGAAAGGAATAACTAAGGAGGGGAAACAATAGCTCTGCAAATGCTCTGAAATTTTCAGGAAGCAGGAAATGGCAAAGGGCCTGTTTAGATCTTTGTGGTTCCTTAAGAAGGGCTGAAGAGGCTTTATCCTCCCTTCCAGGCAATCTCCCGTGTTCAGGGAACCCTGGCACTGGCAATCCCAGGGGGCTGAAGTCCTGTTCCAGAGAGGCCTTTACCAGAAGGAAACAACCCCTCTACCAACCACCTGATGCAAAATTAACAAATAGCAATCCTTCTGTGCTGGGCACACACATGGATTACACACTGCAGAACTTTATGACTTCATAAACTAGTGAACTAAGTCAATATAGTTGGTAACACACCATCTAATCTCAACTGTCATTCTGGTTTGATTATAATGTTGTTCGTTTAAAGTTTACAGCAGTTGAGCCCATGTGATGTGCCTCTGTGATGCTAATATTTACCTTTGTCATTTAAAATAATAAAATATGAAAAAGCACACAGAACTAGATTGTGCCTTCATATTTAACAGCCCTTTGCAAGTCTCTCATATAATACAAGTTAGGACTTCTGAAAACAAAGGCCATCATGAGAATGGGTCACCCCTTGTCAAGAAAGATGAATTAAAATGTATCCACTAACATGATCAGAGGACAGGTGAGCATATTTTACAGGAGAACAATAGAAGAGCTTGGCTAGCAAACTGAAGGATGATAGGATACAACTTAGTTCTTACAGCTCCTTTTTTGGGGAAGTTAATTCCAAAACCAGAGCTTATACTCGTATCCATTTTTGTAATTTAGATGTGATTATTTTGGAGGATATTAGTTCATCTTAAAAGAAACCAAACCACAAGACTTAGCAATTTTTATAACATAAAACTAGAGTTTGAAATATTTGGCATAGACTCTTCTTACATACTCATCAATCCTTAACAAGTTTGTGATATCCTGTGGTTGCCTTTCCTACACTGTGAGCTCAGATTTGCCCCTAAATTGCAGTCCTTAACCATGAAAACTTCCTGTTCTCTGCTCCATGAGGAATGCTGGATGTGCACTTTCCTGGAAGATACCTATAAATAACACCTTTTCTAATGCAAACAGAAACCCTCCAGTACCGGGGTGAGGGTTTTTTAGGTCCTGATAAATAGGGCTCTCTCAATATTAGACAACTGAGAGAGTTAATTCTTCTCTTCACTAATGATGCTCCAAAGTGGTTCCTGTGCAGTCTTACCCAATCCAAGCTCTGGGTTCTTGGCTGGACAAAATAAGGAAGATCAAAGTTCCAGACAGAGGCAAGAGTGTTGAGATGGGGAACATCACTTCCTGCAAAGGCATAAATCCCTAAGTTAAAAACAGGGAATCAAGGATGGCAACTCAGCAGCTCCGAGGGTGAGCCTGTACCAGGGAATGGAGGAGGCACTTGGTCATCCCCCTGTTCCTGTCAGGGCCCTGCCAGCTCTCCTTGGCCTGCTCTCAGCTGTGTGCAGAAGGCAACAAACACCTGCTCTGTCCCTCGAGGGTGTGGATGCCCTGCTTGCCCTACAAATTACTGATATTGACCTCAAAGTTACAAATTACTGACATCCAGCTCCAGTGACAAGAAGTGTCCAGCAACCTAATAACCAGCTTTATGAGTGTGCATTCAGTTGCCAAAAATGACAGAGAAGAATGAGGGCACCTCCAGCATTCCAAACCTCCCAGCATGGCTGGGCTGCCTGACAAGAAGTGTCTCCCTGAAAGATGGTTCATACTCCACATCCAAGCAAGGGAAAACCCTGTTGGTGCTTTGTTCCATGCAGACAGATTGCCTCCAGATGGGAAAAGCAAGATCTCTTCACTTGTAGCAAATGTTGAGGGGTAAAAAAAGAAACAAAACAAAACCTACAAAACCAAAACAAACCACAAAGCAAACATCTGATCACCGTTCCCATCTACATCTATCTGAGTATCAAGCTTTGGGGCCTCCCAATTCATCAGGGCCACTGCCAGGAAGACCCCCCGCATCCTCAGAGCTGGCAGCACAGCCCAGGAATCCCACTGATGCTCAAAAGCCACAAGGTCAGACTGAGAGCTGCTGCTTTTGAAGCATTTCACAACTTTTCAAAGAGGAGAATTCTGATTTTCTTTCTTTGTCTGTGAAGCTCCTTAATTTGCCTGTGTGACTGTGGAAAGTTCGTTGCATTTATCCACAAGCCAAAAGGAAGTAGGGATTAATCTTGAATGTCAGACAGAGTCTGAATCCCCACCTAAACCAACACAAACTAACTGCTCTATAATCTCTCAGTAAATTAGTTTTGCCTTTTTGTGGCAGGAGGAAATGCCAGTAAGCTTAGAAACAGGAAGCCAAAAATAAGGCAACAACACAAATATATCATTTAACGTAGTAGGGAGTAAGATTAAAGAAATACTGGCAGCCATAAGGAGATCATTTTTCCTTCACTTTCTTCCACAATTTGGATTTGAGAAATTCTTAATTAATGAATGTTATCTGCAGACATTCATAGCTAACCAACAGTGTTCATCAGGTTTTCTCTGACTCTAAGTGACTACCTGGATTGCCTCCCACTATCCCCTGCACAACCATTTCCCTCTCCCAAAATCCTTCAGAAATAACTAGGGAAACTTCTGCTCCAGGAAAGTTCTGGATGCTTCCTGCAATAGTAGCAATCATGGTATGGTTAATGTTATTCCTTTGAAATTGCTTTTTTCAAAACATATCTTTCAGAAAAAACACAATAAAAAGATAAATTCTGTTCACCTGGGATATTTTATCCTCAAAACCAATAAACAGGTTTCGCTGCTTGAGAAACTGCTGCTATTGTTTGTTTTCTTACCTTGACCAGTGCAGCTACAGACCCTCCCAAATCTCCAGTGCTTTACCTCTTCTCCTTTACTCTCTTCCCTCTTTTGTCTCCTCAGAGCCCAGCTCTCTGGGCTGTTTTCCTGCTGACACCTTCGCCAGCTGGGCTGCTCCCCCCCAGCCACCCCTGCAGAGGCTGCCATGTCCTGCCAGCTCCCCGAGGTGACCCCCCCCTCCTCCAGGCCTTCACTCCTCCCTCTGATCCCTCCATTGAGCTCTAGCAGGAGGATCAATGAAAGCACAAAAAGCACCAGGTCTGTGCTGGGGCCAGAGTAGCCTCGATGGGCAAAGTCTGACTCCACTTGCATGCCTGGGCTAATCAGCCTTAATTGCTCTTTAGGGTTCATGCACACACAGCTTGATCAGAAACAAGACAAATTATTAATTTACTCCCTAAAATACAGTCTGAGGTTAACATTCAGGCTGGGAAACATGAGACCAAACACCTGTAATTTGACAAAGTTACAGATGACTGAAATCCAGCTCCAGTGACAAGAAGTGTCAAGCAACCTAAATAACCAGCTTTATGAGCTCCAACTGTAATCAGCTTCCTACTGTTTGTGGTACCTGTGCATTACCTGTACTTCTCCAGAGCCATTTTTCAAGAAAAGTTATAAAAATGATCTGTTTTCGTAGGTTATTTTTACCCAGCTCTTCAGAGCATTATAGTTTCACTTGGTGAAAGGATGTTAAATTAGCTTCACAAATATTTAATCAAGCTGCAGCACAACTTTCCTCCTCTCTTTCTGGACAGAGCTAATAGCTGTGCCTCCTGGTTGCTGTAGTTACACCTTACTGGAAAAGCATCCAGGCTCTTCTCCCTTTGGCTTTAAGACTTCCTTCCCAGAGCCCTGGGTCAACTAAAATGCTAACTAGAGCTGTTCAGAGAGTAAATCTCCTCTAGCCAGGCTATTTCACTGCCTTTGGGAAAGGTGGATTTGGGTTTTGATGGGTTCGAGGTGAAGTGTTTGCATTAGGTTTTTGGGGAATTTGGGTGGGGGTTTTTTGGAGTTGGTGTTTTTTTGGGGTGTTTTGGTTACGGTGTGTTTGTTTTTTACAGAACACTATCTGAGAGTGCTGAAATAATAACTCTGCAAAGTCCATGTTTATTGTAGTATATTCACTGAAATGAAAGGTCACAGAGTTTATGTAGTGAGACATAGAGCTATCCCTTTTATTCCTGTGGTGTAAATTTTGTTAAATAAAACCCCATAAATTCTGCTAATAAAAAACAAATCAGAAGAGATTTAAGCCCTGCATGTTGTTCCTCAAAGAGGCTTTCCTGTAAATACTGTGGGTTTTTTTAATTCCAGCAATAACCACTCAAAGAACAATCATTAGTTATGTTTCAGGTTGTACATATCAAGTTTCTCCTCTTGTTCAGGCTTGATTAATTGTTAAATTAGTGTGACAGAGAATGAGCTCCCTCCTCCAAGAGTGGTATTTCAGCCTGGGGGCAGCGTTTCGCTGCCGTGCAGTGCCAGCCCTGTGAGCCTGAAGATGTGCCAGGCTTGGAAATAAAAGGAACCTTGTTCTGCTTCAACCTCAGCCTTGTCCAGCATCGTGCAGTGACACTTGGAGGTCTTCCAAGAATGTGTGTCACAGGCCCTGCTAGAGCAAATATGGAAAACAGTTTAACAACTACACAGCTCTGGGCTGTAAGAAATCCAGTCCCATGCAGGCACGTTCAGAAAGTTATCACTGAATAGTGAAAGGACATTTGAAAACATCTCTTTCTAAAGATACAGGTGAAATGTATGTTGTGGTCATTTTTGTCCACTAGTAAATTAAAGTGAAGAATATAACAGAAGAAGTCTTAAAGATGAAATTGGCTCTAGGAGACCACCAAGGAAGGAGGGAAATGTCAGCAGTATCCAAGAGACACAACACACTTGTTAAGCTGTTTTAGTTACCCTACTTCACTAAGCCTGCCTGACTACAGCTGTTCCTCCATGTCACTCCAGAAGCTACAGGCAACAACTCCTAAATGGATCACAGGGGGCTGGGGACCCTCTTTGCTGAATTGCAGCCATGAGAGTCCAACTTCATGGCCAACACATCACCTGCTGTACATATGTACCTGGAAATGACTGAGATAGGCAACTAAAATACTGATGGCTTAATACAGGAAAAAGTGATAAAATAGGTACAAAAACCTCTTCCATATCAGAAATAGCACAGAACTCCCCAGGCTGCAAAACACATCAGGTGATAGAACAGACTTTTAAAATCGTGGGTGACACAAAGACAGTTAATAGGGAAAAACTGCTCAGGCTTTCTTCCAATGCAAGACCTGCAGACTATTAAATGACAATATTAGCAAGTTCAAAGGAAGGGGAGACACTTCTTTTCTCATAATGCACAGCTCAAGAATGAAACACTTTGCTACAGGAATGAATGTTTACATCAATTCCAAAAACTCTGCAACAAATTCTTGGAAGAGAAACCTGTCAGGCCCTATTAAACACAGAGACACGGGCTGCAGAGCAGAAAGCCCCAAAGCAGCCTCAGCTCTGCAGTCTGAGCTGTGCCACCTGAGCTGCTCCCACACTGCTCCTTTGCCAGCCACTATTGCAATATCCTGCCTCAAGACAGCACTGCACTGGAGGAGCTTTGGGTTTCCCCAGCTCTGTGGCCATCCCTGTTTTCCTGCAGGACCATAAAGCTGCCAGCAGCACCTGTGGGCCATACAGGGGCAGTGCTGGGAGCAGAGCACAGCCCCACAGTGCACTGGGGTTCCCTGCACTGCAGAGCTTGTGGTTTGAGTCCACCACGTCTATGGAGACAGAGAGACAAGTTTCTCCCTGCTGCTGCTTATTTGCAGTAATTTGCTCAAACGTGGACTTTCCCCATTGAAACATAAAAGCATGAATATGCAAATAGTAAATCCCTGTCAAAAAGTAATTTAGCAAGAGCCAGGTCCCTTATCTGTGCTCCTCAGTCCCATTGTGACTTATCGCAGTTGACATTTCAGCAGGGCTGTAGTGGCAGATCCCAATTTGAACATTCATGAGGGGAAGATGCAACAGCCCAGCTTTGATGTCAATAGAGTGTCAGTCTCTGTCGACTGAACTTAATTGCAGGAACTGCATTAATAGTCAACATAAGCCATCTGTTTAAACATGTGTGTTTTGAAAAGGACTGCCATGTACAATAAACATGCTCAACTGTAATGACTCACATATCTGTTTATGTGAAAGGAGGATTCGGCAATTTCCCTCACAAAAACACTACATTACAGGTTAAAAGCAGTTTTATATCAAGTTAATTTGTTTTCATGGCAGGTTGACTGATCTCACAGCTTTGATGCAGCCTGGCAAGTTTGTTCACCACAGAGCTGATGAACCACACTGGCCAACCTTCCCTCAGGAACCTGTTTGGGAACTCAAAGCTGCACCAAGGAACAGCAGCAGCTCAGGGAATTGAGGGGCTGACAGCACATAGGTGCAGTTGCAAAGTGTCCTTCAAAACATTTGTCCAAGGTGCACATGGAGACCAGATACTGAGTCCCAGGTAAGAGGCCACAGGTAATTCCAAAACAAACCAAGGGATCCTGGGGGTACCGGCAGTCTGGATTAGGGTAATACCTGTAACCACCATGGGCTCATGCATGGGGTAAACATTCATCTTGGTTATACATTCTTCTGATCTTCAACCCCTGATCTTGCACAAGGGAGAGCTTGTTACCCTCTCCTGTGCAGGCCAAAGCCGCTTCTAGTGGCTGGCACACACCTGAGCAGCCATGTACCAACGAGGGGAAAGTCAGAAGTGTGTAACCTCCTGTGTTATCCGTCAGACTGAGGCAAAAAACAGGCTTTCCTTCCTTTGTTCTTCCTTAAAAGTAACAGCTAATATGCACTTACAAGAGAGAAACAACCTGCCATCAGCTATCACTGGTGGTGCCATTTCTGAGTAAGCTTTGTTACATTAATCACTGCAATGCACTGGTGCCTGGACTTACTCAGCAGCAGCATAAATTATGGATCTGCTTTCATCCACACTGAGCAGGGATGCAGAGTCTGGCCCTGTGCTTCCCTCTCACGTGTACAGGGGAGAATCCTGTTGCATTTATCAGCCATTAATATGCAAAACATTTATTAGTGCCTGTAGAGAGAGGCTCAGGAACTGGAGGGGTAGTGGAGAAAGAGGGGAGGGGGAGGAAAAAACCTCATATGGTTAAGGCACATCGTGAATCAGCAGCTCCAGCACCTTTCCTCTCCTGGACAGTGAGCCTGACATCGCCATGGCCTTGTCTTTTGGTTTTTCCTTCCCCCTAGAACCATTTTAAACTCATGGGAAATATGAGGAGGTCTCTTTTATACCCTAAACTTTTCTATTGCACAAACTGCTTGTTCCTGTGAGATGTGATGCTTCATTAAATTAGGAGGTTAATAATTGTATTTTAAGACACACTTTAATATCAGCAGTTTCCTCATTAAATGTTTTCTGCTTCATATACCTGAGCTAGTGCTGCTCAGTCAGTGGGTTTTGTTAATGTTTGTGTTTCTGTGACATTGAAGTGGAGGTGCTGTAGAAGAAAACTGTAGAACTAAAGTTCTGTGTGATGTGCTGGAGCATTCCTTTCCTTTGACATCCTATCACCTCTCCTCCTTTTGTAGTTTACAGACATTCTGACAGCACAGGCCTGTGTTAGTTTAACCACAAATATACAGCTAACAAGATAGATAGATAGATATATAGAGAGATGACATATGACAAGCACCTACCACTACTCAGTGTATAAGAGCACCACTAACAAGCCAAATGTTGCCAGCTCTTCCCAAATCAGAGAATTATTACCACATTTTCAACATCAGTCAGTGTGAGACGTGGGTGACAATTCAGTAGCTTCGCAGAGCCCAAAACTTTCCTGTCATTAAGTATTAATTAAACTGGAGTTGATCCCCAGTTTTCCTTATGATGTATTCACTAGAAAATGATCTTTTTCTTGTGAGCTGTTTTATAAAATTCTCACTATTTTACTTGGAGATATTTCATGTTTTGTTTCAGGGTCCAACCCTCCCTTCAATAATACACCCAGATTTCTGTTGTTGCTGTTATTATACCCACATTTTTGAGGGGACAACTATGGCACATGCTTGCTACTTTCACTTTTTCTTATTCCTGATAATCTGTACAAGATGAGAGATGAAAATGGGATCATTTTCAGGTTACTCACCTGGATTTATCCACTTAAATCTAGATACAGAGATGTCAGCTTGAGGTGACTGTGGTGATGGCTCTAGGCCTGGTGTATTCCAGACCATGGTAGTAAGAATTTTCTCTTCTGTTGTATCCTGGGCAAAAGCTCCTTCTCAGACTTCATTGTATCACGTGTGAAATAATATATGTTTATCTAGTGAATTGCTTTGTAAGGAGGGTTCAGGGTCACTCTTCAGAAAAACATTAAACAACTCCTGTCTTCACTTCTAAACTGCTGTCAGTCAGGGCTGTGCATCTGGAATTACCTTAAGAAAGAAACTGAACTGAGAAAGTGCTGAAGAAAATAAACCAAACAGCCAAAAACGACTTTTCTGTTCTTGCATCTGACAGACAAGAACCTGATTACAGAACTCTCAAATGAAACATAAAACATACTGACCTATTTAACAGGCTCCAGCTATAGAAGAGCTCAAAATTAAGACAAGACTTTTTTCTAAGTTGTTTCTTAAGGCCTTAGTGCAAATTAAATTCAATAACAAGAACCATAAACAGCACCATGGTTACAAGGAGAACTCTTCATTCTCTGCTATAATGGAATAAAAAAATAAGGAAGAGAGATGAAAAAAATGGGATTTACACCCCTCAGCCTTTCAAAGGACAGTCAGTTTTGGCTGCTTTATATTAAAAAAAATCCAACTCCTCATTCCATTCTTTTTATACATCAGCATTTTTATATTCTTTCTTGCTTTGGAACTGGTTATATTCTATTCAGACAGCACTGGTTTCTAAATGCAGATGAGACATGGCTTAATTATTTTTTATATATCCCATGTTAACTATGGTATGTTTTTATCACATGCTGCAAATCTTTTCATCCTTTGACTCGACAGCCTTTAGTTCTGCAGCCTGTGCAGTCAAAACTCTTGTTAGTGCAAGTGTAATGAGCAGAGAAAGGGATCCTGCCTGAATCCCATGTTGAGCACTGGTAAGTTATCAAAAGGCAGCCCTTCAGCCCTGCCAAATTATGTTCATCAGCAGACTTCAAACAGGAGCTGCCAGCCTTGGAGCTGCTGGGGTTCAGAGGATCCAGCAGGAACAATCCACCTCTTTTATCTGTACAACTAAAACACAAAAGAAGCTGTACCATCAAAGATGAGTGCTCAGGCTCTGGATCTGGGATTAGTTCACAGCTCAGAGCTCCTGAAGGCAGAGCCCAGGTAGACACATGCCTATGGCAGGAGCAGCTCCCTGCTCGGGCAGCAAGTGGCTCAGGAGGGGAAAAACCCAAACCAAAAGGAAACCCAAAGCACCAGACATTGGGTGCTGTGGCCTCCCAGGGAGGGCTGGAGAGCCCAGGGAGGGCAGCTTCAGCACCAAAGGCTCTTGTATGTCAGCCAGTCCTCAGATTTTATTCAGGGTCTGCATGTAACAGCTCCCAATCCCAGAGGTAACACACCATGGAAAACAGTCCCCTGGAGCAGCCTCCATGCCCTGCTCAGTTCTGTGCAGGTCAGTGCTCTGGGCTGCCCAAAGCTCTGCTCCTCAGCACGTTGGCTCTTGGTTACAAGTGACATGAGTTCTAAACAGGAGAACTGTCAGAAACTACTCCTACAAATGTGTTCCCTACTCAGCTTCAGTAGTTTGAATAAGAAAACCTACTCAGTTCAGGTGCCAGAGGAATTGCTACTCACCTCCACCAGTTCAGTTGTCAAACCCATGAAACCACCCCAAGCCCAGCTGCAGATACTCTGCACACCAGTTATCACTCAGTTAGTTTTCAGACACTGTTTTAAGCTTAGACACAAAAGCCCCAAATATTCCAATCCTTCTAGGAATGTATCTTTATGATCAGGGCCTTAGTTTCCTAAGAGATAAGCAAGAGTATTTGAGTATCTAGTAATAAATATACTACACTGTTCCTTTCTGGGGGCTCAGGGTGGTGCTGGTTTAAGACCTTTCTCACAATATTGCAGTTTTTCTTACCAGTAAATATGTTGGGCTTTTCAGGTTTTAAGTCTTGCTTAGTTTTCCAACACTTGCATTTTGTACTGATGACATTTACAGCTCACATGGGCATTACAAGTTTTTAATGTGGCAGTCATTACATTCTTCTGAGATTCCCTTTCCATGAAGGATCAGACTACAGATATTTGTGGTACTTCTAAAAAAAAGCCAAAATTGGTGAGATATCTTATCCTATATACATTTCTGGTATTACCAAAACATACGAGCAAAGCACAGAAAAATCATCTCCTGTGTTTGGAAGGTGAAAGTGAATAAAAGGAAAAGGGAAGTGTGATCTGAGAAAGCAAAGATGGGGGAAATTCTACCTTTTGAAGATACTGGAAGTCGAGCTGACCATGGTCCTGAGCAGCTGGAGCTGCCCCTGCTTTGGGAAGAGGTCAGACAAGGTGATCTCTGGGTCCCTGCCAGCACCAACTATTTATTCAGTGACCCTGAAGTGGACAAAGGTCACGGGCCAATGCCATAACTAGGACTGTTTTTCTTTAGGAAAAAGTAGTTCTTATCAAGAAAAAGTGAAATGAGTGGTACCCAGTCTTCAAAGAGTGTTTCTTTACAACACAAGCGCTGAGTGGAAACATAAATAAGTGGAGGAGATTAGCTCCATACTGGTAGTCCTAGTTCTGCATTTTGGTTTTCTACTTTATCAGTTTTTCTTCCAGTAACTTCCCTGGGAGTATGCTGCATTTTGACCTTTTAGAAGGTCCCACAGATTAGATCTCCCTTTGTTTCAGTTCATATTTTTGCAATTCTTGAGTATTCTGCTCCTGTGGGTCTCTCCACATTAAAACCTCATCTTCTCCTTTGCCCATCTAGTAAATTCCAAGAGTGACAAGTCATTCCTGTCAGCTGGACATGTCAGTTGTCCCATAACTTCCACCCAGTCCCATTCCTGAAGCAACATTAACTCATTCATTCCTAGCAGGATACCTTCACAGCAGATGGCTAAAGAAAGCCACGTGCACTTTTAGAACAAGACAGAAACATTCCAGCTGCTTCCCGCACCTCCTGGTCTACATTTACTGGATGTGTCTGTTCCCTTCCAATAGATGCGTTTAGGACAAGTCTTAGGAAACTCATATTGAATCAGATTTGTGCTTAAGCTTTATGCAGACTTGGACAATGCCCAACTCTCCCAGTGGGCTAAGAACAACTCTGTTTCATGAACTTTTCCATACAAACAATGGTTTTGTTTCAGATTCCTCTGGATTGGGTACATACCCCAGCAAAGCATCCTACTGCAAAGACAGCTGGGTTAATAAGCAACAAAGCTGTAGAATAGTTTTGTAACTTTTCTGAACAGAAGTCAGACGTTTTATCTTAAAAATAAAAATACAAAATGATTTCTCAGGTGCACAGCATCCTCTGTCAGGGGGACAGAGTTAAGTGGGGTTACAGAACCCCCCTTGGCAATACCTGCACTCCCAGCCCAGCCATCCTCCATCCCTGGTGGACGCACAAGGCAGGCAAACACCACTCAGTGCTTGACACAACTTTTCCCATCCATGAGAAATCACCTGGGGAGGTTTGGCTCTCCTCCTTCCCCCATAGCCCAGCTGATCCAAGGCTGCACAGCTGAGTCACTGGCTTGGAGCAGCTTTGACAGCAGCTGATTAGGGGTGTGAAAGTCAGAATTTACCACAGTCGCTTTTCCACCATTTGTGATGTTGCTTTTGCCAACACCCAGCATGAGCTCTTTGCCTTGAACGAGCTTCACTGGGTGATCCCCCCTTCTCCTCCCCTTCAGCTCCACGGCTCAGGGTCAGCTCTGGGAGCAGGTCCTGCTGAGCCTGATAACACCAGAGCTCTGTCCTGCTGTTCCAGGGCAGGCAGGAGCAGTGCTGGGGCCTCAGCCCAGCTGCAGTTCTGGCCCCCAGCACTGCAAGAGCAGCTGTGCCCAGTGCCCAACTCCTGCACAGTCTAAAGGTTGGGATCTCAGCAGGAGCCAATTCTGACAGGTGGGCACTGGGGTGCCAGAGGGCATCAAGCAACACATCTTACAACCAGGGTGTCTTCTAGAGTCACAATTACCTAAATTAAATAATCTGGTGAAACCACAGAAACCTCAAAGACAAACTTCGGTTGGCTCTGGCATTTCAAGACATCTGTTACTGTTGTGATATCTACTGGTATGGTAAGTTCAGGTTTACTGCTCACTGGAAACAGCCAATGGTTAGCATAGGAATATTTGACAAAAAAACCCACCCCACCAAAAACAGGACAAAGATTGGAGTTAAGTGGTTTCACCTTCTGGAACTGTGCACTTTCGTAAAGGGATGATAGAAATAGTCCTGGATATTCATGCAATGCTGATCTAAGCTATGTCATCTCATCCTTTGCCTCTGCACATGAGCAAATGAGCACCTTTAATACAGGCCTCTTCTCTGAGAGCTTTTCCCAGTGTCTTTCTCATCCGTGATGTCCAGACAGGGAAGAGCTCTTCCCTACAGGCAGCTGAGGAACATGGTGAGACACAGCCACAGGAAACCCACAGCATGGAGGGATGCAAGCCTTGGAAAATTAAACCTGTGTGACCTCCTGTAATTCACAGCAACAGTTTAAACAGGCTGTAACTTGCTTCTGTGTGTGTCCTTCACCACAGCAAGTCATGAACACCCAGAACTTTGGCTGGTCCTCCCACTAAAAACAAGCAACCCTAAGGCTTTGTTCAGACACCTTCTTTCACCTTGTGCTACTTCAAATGCTTCCTGCATGAAGCCACTGGAGAGGCTGAGCAATGCAAGTAGAAAAATCATTAAGATTGAACAGAACAGAGCAAGCTAGAAAAACGTGTTCAGTGCTTTGCTGTCTGGTACATGCAATGCTTGACAAGGTCAGGGTCTCACTGTACCACTCAGGGTAGCTAATTTTGCATCATTAGAACATTGGTAGCCAGAAATAGAAAAGTAACAGCAGAAGGAATAACGAAATCAGAAGACAGAGCTGTGGGGTCACCTTTGGCTGTTAATTCTCTTTGCTCCTGTTTGTTGGACCCATCCTCTCCTCTCTGTGCTCAGTTCCCAGTACCTCCCCCCAGATGCCATATACCACCAGGAACTTGGGCTGTAGCCATTTCTGTTCCTGACAGGAACAAAGAACTACTGGAAGCTCTTTTCCTCTCATAAGGACCCCTCAAATGCAAAGAACCAGCAGCACAAAACACAACGGGCTATTACCCAGAGAAGAGTGCGCCCCTCTCCCCACCCTGCAGGCAGCATGAACACTGTGCCCAGCCCAGGCTGGGCCTGCTCTGGGGCATCTGCACCTCTGTTTTACATCCATCACCTTGATGCAAAGTAGTTTCCTTCACAGACACTTTGCAACAATAAACTTTGTTTTATCTCTGCTGTGAGGACAGATTGTTCAGCATCATTTTATCTTTTCTTCTAAGAGTACTAATAATGATATTAGAGTACATTTCAGTCAGCAGCATTAGGTCTATACTGAAATGCCACTTCATTTCAATACGCAGATCAATCTCCCTGCATTGTTCTGTTGGGGCACACAGTAATTGAGAGCAGATAGCCCTGATTACACCATTCCTTTGGGGAGTGTAGGGCCACTGTTTGTTTTAATCAAACATCCTGCTGCCAAAAGCTATCAATAGATGTGACTCATTTCCTCTCCTACCCTGGCCAGAGATCGTGGCCCCAGAGTTCAGCCACCTCTGCAAAGCTCTGGATCCCTAAGGTGGACACAGGACAAGTGCCCATCCCTGAAGCTGCTGGAGAGACAGAGATGGCCCGGCGAGCACAGGCTCTGTGGCACGGCCTCCCCGGGGTCCTGCAAGAGGTCCTTCTACACAATCCAATTTACACAGACCTCTCCAGGACAACTTCCCCAGCTTGGCAACCCACAGACAGGCTTTTTGCAGATTTATACATTCATCTAAATGTTCTTTCCTCAGTTCTCCGAGGAAACTCAGAGTTGCCCACAGCAATCACTGGCTAGACTGAAAAAATAAAAGCATTTTTGCCCATGAGGCCCGCTCATATATTCACAGTCTTTCACCACAGTCACCATGACTGACTGAAAAGCCAAGCCCCAAGAACAGAAGTTCCCTTCCCGAAAAGCCCCTTCAGAGCAAGCATGTGCTGTGTCCAGCAGTGCCTCTCCAGAGCCAGCCTGAGAAATGGGAGCAGCTCAGAAAAAGTGGTGCAATCAATAGAATTCGATACTGCAGACATTATGCTGCCTAATCCCCAGTCTACAGGTCTGTCCTGTCAGGCTTTTTAGGTCACAGCTATTTGCTTCCTGTGGTATTATTTCTGAACTTCTCCTGAAAAGCAGCACAATTACAGGAATTGCATCTTCCCCTCCCTTACCTCAGTGTATCGCAACACAAATTGTACTGGAGACAACCTGAGGGGATTTCTGGAAAGAAAAACACAACACTTGCTTTGCAGTAACATTTCTTTTCCAGAATGGAAGAGGCATGGTCAAAATAGCTGGGTTTGAAAAGGCCAGCACAAGTAGTACTTCCAGAGCAGCTGAAAAAAATAATATTTGCTTAGCAAAACATGAGTCTGGGATCTTGGCACAAAGACCTTCTTTTCCTCAAACAACTGTCTGGGTTTTTTTTAAATTTAAATTAAATGTGATCTTCCAACCTTTGAGCACCACCGAACACAGCTGATCACTACCCCAAAACAGGAGTTTTGCTTGAGAGTCATTTATGCTCCCACATTTTCCTGGTATTTTAGAAGTTGGGAAACTTCTGCAGATGATATTTCTTAACTCTGAGGAGCTGTTTGCTAATGCCATGGGGTGGATTTTCTTCTTGCTGTTGACTCTAATCTGAAAGCATCGAGGCATCATGAGTTTTTCCAGGCTGGAGTATCCAGTTGCTGTTGTGTTTGCTTATGCAGGTGTTTTACGTAATTGCCCCAGCGAGGCTGACGCTCATGGGAGCAGCTGCAGCACAGGCAGCACTGCAGGAGTTCCCCACTCACAGCTCAGCTCACCTCTCAGAGCTCAGCAAAACAAGCCCTGAAACAGCCAAGCAAATGGAAGTGTTCAAACTGCATTATTGCTTTGCACTCTTAATGAGAACAACACCTGATAAGCAACAACCCAAAGCTCAAATGGGATCAAATAACCCAACGTGTAAAAAGACACACTAAAGTGGGGTGGGACCCCACCAAAACTGTTTTTCTTCTAGTGGTACAAACAGACCTAGTCCTGAGTCAATGTACTAAACAGGTACTTCATTCAAAGTTCTTACGTGAAAGAAGAAAATTATCAAAAAACCCTGAATTTAAATTATTCACCAGAGAAACATAGCCAAAGTCTATCAGTCCTTCCCAGGCTTAAACTCTGCCTTTGAATTGGGTCTGCAAGTCTTCTCCTGCTTTGCTTTCTGTCACCCTCTAACTTGCACGCCTGTCATCAAACCTCTCAGAAATAAGTCATTGCTTAAAGAGCCTTAAAACCAGCTCAGTTTCCTTTCAACCAACCTAAGATATAGCCTTCACCTCTTTAAGCACCTGATAGATAAGCCCAGCTGGAAACTTACTTTCTTCAAGGACTTACCTCCTCCCCTGCCTGCTGCAGGATGAGGCTTCAGAAGCACATTTCTCTGGTGGCAGTGACTCCAGCACGGCCACTGGTCTGCAGAAGAGAAGGCTCAGGGGAGATCTCGTTGACATGTATGAATATCTGCAGGGAGGGAGTGAAGAGGATGGAGCCAGGCTCTGCTCTGCAGTGTCCAGTGACAGGACAAGAGGCA